GCGCCTGAAAGTGCCAGTTGCGGATGGTGTTGGTGCCCACCAGCAGATCCCAGGTCGTCTGCCCGGGCCACGCCTGCTGCGTGGGGAGAGCTTGCGGGCGCTGCGGTGCAGTGCTCTTGTCTGCATGGGCCTGTGCCTGAGGCCTGATGAGGCTGCGCGGCGTAGGTCTAGGGGCTGGACGTGCCAGTGGGGTAGGTTTTAGGGTGTTATTATCCCAGCGCTTTGCAGGTGGGTGCGTTAGCACCTGAAGCGGGGCTGAGGGCAGAGGTGGAGGCGCACGTGCGGCTGGGCGTGCTTTTGCAGAGGGAGCTGGAGCCCATACGTTGCTTTGGTGCGGTAGATTATGCACAGAATGGCGTGGTGTTGAGGCTCGTGTCGCTGCCCGTCGGACTGCTCGCTTGGGGTGCGGGGCTTTATGGAAGGCCGGGTTAGGGAGATTAGCGCCGTGCAAAATGCGAGGCGGGCTTGATGCAGTAATGGGGTCTTCTTCTGCATCATGCAAGCAGGGGGCTGAAATGCCCTTGCTGAAGTGCGTGGCAGAGGGGAGGCTGTGCGATGCGATGCTTCTTTCGGCCAGCAAGCGGTTGGCGGCCTTGCGAAGAGTTTCATGCAGTCTGATGGGCTGATGGTGCGATGCTGTGGCAGGGTCTAGGCTGGGGTAAGGCAGAGTTGCTGGGCAATCTTCTGCGGCGCAAAGTGAATGCTGTGCAGAAACCGAACTAGACCCTGAAACCCCAGGCACGGAGAGCGAGTGCGGCGGTGCGTCGATGTCCTCGATGAGCTGCCAGTTGTGGTGACCTGAGCGCGGGGGAATTAGGTAGGTGCATGATGGGGTTTAATGCAGCTCATGCGGGCTGGTAGCTCTTGCGGGCTTTATGCAATGCGAGCTCGGACTTGCTTTTCGTCCCAGAAATGCGCTGGGTCATGATCTTGCTGCAATAGCGCAGCTCTCTGCTTGCGGAAAAAATGCGGTGCAGTGCAGTGCTGTGCAACTGTACAAAGCAAGGCGCGGTGCGGTGCGATGCTGCGCTCACTTGTCGAGCGGGCTCTCCAAGGGTTGCACACTTGTGGTTTGCCTTGCGATGCGTTATGCGCTGCCATGCATTGACTGCACCTATGTGAGCGGTGCGTGTCCATTTCAAATGGGAGCTTAATTGGAAAATTGCATGGTGCGTTGCCATCATATGCGCAGCGCGGGTCTTTGCAGCGCGCGCAACACATGATGTTGCCTCGTTGCGGATGGCGGCACCAGGGGTGCCCATCCGCTGTGTAGAAAATTTTTCGCATGCAGAGCTGGGGCAATGCTGGCTCCCATCCAGGAACGGTGCCGTGCGGCGCGCATGTGGTGGGACGGGACCCCTGGGCCTCTGCCATCCGGCGCCTCGATGATGGCCGAGGGTGCGCCATGCTGTGCGGGGCGGTGCTGCGCTGCGCTGGCCTCCACGATTGGGAACTTGCTCGGCTTGGGCTTTGCCGGCTGCTCCTGCGGTTCGTCTGCCCAAGCCTTGCGTGGCGGCGCTGGCACGGGCGGCTTCTTTGCTGGTGCAGCCTCTGACCCAGGCGGCTTCTTTGCCGGCGCGGCCTCTGATAGAGGAGGCTTCTTAGGCGGTGCAGCTTCCGACAGCGGCTTGCCTCGCGGGGGTGCAGGGTCTCTGATAGCAGCTGGCGGAGCCGGCTGCTTTGGCGGCGGAGGCTGCGGCGGTGCCGTTAGAGTAGGCGGTGGGCCTGGCTGCGGCTGTGGCTTTGGTGGCCCCAACGCCCACTGCGATCCACCAACGCAGCCGGGAACTCCTGCGTGCCAGCTTCGCCAAAGGAGCGGCGGGGGGTTTTGAACAACCCCCCAACGCAATGTCCTGGCTGCAGCCGGACAACGTCCACCTCCTTAGAGAAATCGGTGCCACATGTGCACACGTGGCCGCATGTGCACACGATTTGGACGTGCACAAAGCATGGGCTTTCTGCGGCACCAACACAGAGCTAGCAAACCTTCAAAGCACGTGCCAACACGGGGAAGGAGCGTACACGCGCCGGAAAATAAGCGCACTGCATCGGGCGAGTTCCTCAGCTCGCAGTGTGCCACATACCCCCCTTCGCTGGCCGCACAACTGGCATCCATTGCAGCCCTGTCAGTCACGCAGCACGCCGGTTCGACAATAAGTATCCAGCAGGCACTCTCGATGCTGCCCGCCTCCTTCAGCCTTGTCCCCCGGGCAATCGTCTGCGACGGCTCGGGCAACAGCAGCACAGCCGACCATTGTTTGCCAACTCATTCAACGTGCCTCCATCAACTCAGGCAAGCATTCCTCGGGTTCATTTCGGACCACGACCTTGCATCACGCATCCCCAAACACCTGTGCGCAGCAAAAGACGACCATCCCTTAAGCCAGGAAGAACAACTGCAGCTGGCAGCTCTCGCCCATGCCATTGTCCATCCTAACTGCACGGATGCTAACTGCCTGAGCATTCGCGAAGACCAGCCTCAAGCTCTTGCAGCACACACCGCAGACCCAGATGAGAAACTCATCGACATCCTCATCGAGGGAGTACCAACCGGGGCCTTCGAACCCCTCCCAGCAAGCGGCCAATGGATAGCAAATCAGCACAGCGCCGCAACGCAACTCGATGAGCCCCTGCAGCTCCTGCACTGCTCGGGGAATTGGACTCGAGCAGAGAGCAACCCAGAAATCCTGCAAGAGCTAATAGATAAGGAGCTGCCAGGCAACTACATTGCCGAATTCACCGGCACGGAGGAAGAGGCCAAACATCATTGGCCAAAGGTGGTCTTGGCCGAAGGGCGCGACCCGCGCATGGTGCTTGACAGCACTATATGCAACCTTAACCCGCGCTGCGCACTGCCAGAACGCATGCAAATGCCCACCGTATGCGATGTTCAGCTCACCTACGCACCGCAAGACCCGCCCGGGTTCTGGCACGGCCTGTCTCTCGACTTCAAAGCAGCGCATAAAGCCTGCGTAGTCCGAGATGACGAGCGCGGCACCTTGCTTTTCAGGCACAAAAATAAGCTCTACTACTCCAAAGTTTGCCACTTTGGAGCTCGCTTCAGCAGCTACTGGTGGCAACGCCTTGGATCAGTGCTGCATCGCATTATGCATCATTTACTCAGTCACAAGCCACACCGCAGCTTCCTTTATGTCGATGACATATTCGCAATGCTGGCAGCACAGCATAGCACAGAGCTTTCTTGCCTTATAGTATGCTTCTTGGCAGCCGTCAACGCTCCCATCAGTTGGCGAAAAGCACAACTGGGGCATAGCATCACTTGGTGTGGATGGTCATTCGACCTGCTCACAGACACAGTGCAGCTTGTGCAAACTAAAATTAGCAAACTTCTGGAGCAACTCGCGGCAATGCGCCGCACCCCCAAAGTGCAACGCAAAGCACTAGAAGCTATGTTAGGCCTCCTCACGTGGGCAACCACCATGTCTCCGCAGCTCAGACCATTCCTCGCACCGCTCTACAACGACCTGCGCAGCGCCAAAGGCACTCTGCACAGCATACCGGCATCGCAATGGATGCATTTCTATCAGGCCCTGGACAATCAGGCCTGCGTGCAGCACACCGCAGGTATGTGGCTGCCCAAACAAGCCAAGCTCCTAGAAGTCGCCCATATCAAAATTTCGAGCAAAGCCGACGTCCCACGCGTCCCTAAGAGCTCGCAACGCACTTGGGTCCGACTGGCAGACCCACACAGGCACGAAGTGCACCTTAAACAGCAGAGCCGGGACGCAATCTTGTGGCTGGAACAGGTTTTTAAGCATAATAACCGGATCCCTTTGCAGCTCCCCGCCATGTTGCAATGCCTCAGCGCAGCGGACGCAATGGCAAAAGGCAACAGAGTAGGCATCGGGGGCTGGATTTGCACAAGCTCGGGGTTCGCGTGGTTTAGTGAAATATTCTGCATGACCGACGTCAGAGCAATCTGGCCCCAGTTGAAGGAAGATGCACAGCTTTACATAGCCTGTTTCGAAGTGCTTGCACAACTAGCACTTTTGCAACTCGCATGGCAACGCATGCGTGGACATCGCATGCAGTTCATCCTGCCTACAGGATGCGACAATACCGCAGCAGAAAGCGGCATCAACAAGCTCTTTAGCACCGCAGAACCGCTCAGCACTTTCCTGCGCATGGTGGCAGACTGGGCACCGCCACAATGTGCAACTGGCAGTCTCCCATCTTGCAGGAGAAAAGAATACCTGGGCTGACGAACTCAGCCGCGACAAATTGCAACGTTTCCGCCATCGCGGCGCGGAACGTGTCCGCATGCCACTCGCATTTTTGGCGGAAAACTGCCAAAGCATCTCTTTTTACCCCTCGGATGCACGCTGGCCCACCTCACTACTGGCAGCATCTGCATAGCAGACAGGGCCTCGCATAGCACTGCACAATACGCGCCGTAAATGCGCTAGCACAGCTCGCATAGCTGATGACAAAAAGAGAGCCTGCACAACAGACGCTGCGCTTCAGCATGTCAGCATAACTAGAGTCAAACATAAACACATCCGGCATGCGCCCTCTCGACACTGCCTAAGGTCAACACTGCGACGCGGAGGGGGTGAGAAGCAGGATCCCAGTGTTGCCCGGAAGACTAAAGTGGGGGTTCTCTCATTCTCCTGCACTGCACTGCATTCGACCCCCCGAGCAACACATGTGAAAAAAGAGTGAGCCGTGCGGATTGCGAGCTCGTAGCATGCTGCACAAGGGATGGAGCCTGAACGTTGCGTGTATACTTGTGTTTTTGATTTACACGCATGTTTTGATACGTCCTCTTGTTGCTGACATACATACACTGCAACATCAGGCTCCAGGACGCGCACGCAGCATATTCGCATCATCGCATTTGAATTACCCACCCTCCTCTCCCTATATATTTCTTTCGGGACCGCAGTCCCCAAGTCTCGCTTGACTAGAGGCCGCTGACCTCTGCAAATAGTCAATCTAAAAGACTATACAAGTCTCACTGGTCTCACTGGGGGGTTCTCTCATTCTCCTGCACTGCACTGCATTCGACTTCCGAGCAACACATGTGAAAAAAGAGTGAGCCGTGCGGATTGCGAGCTCGTAGCATGCTGCACAAGGGATGGAGCCTGAACCCTCACGTAGGTCAGGTCCGCCAGGTGCCCTTCGCGGGCTTGCTCCACGTTGTCCTTGGGGCAGAAGATGGGCGCCGGGAACTTGGCATGGGCCAGGCCGTTCTTGCGGCACCGCGCCACGTCTATACCGTGGCAGATGTGGTCCGGCTTGTGGCTGTTGAGCTTGAAGACGAGCGGCGGGAGTCGAGGCGATTCCACGTACTGCTCGTAAGCCCGCCGGCTGAAGCGCGACTCCAGTGTCGTGGCGTGCGAGGACTCCAGGGCCGTTTTGTTCCGGTGGCACTCGAGGCACAGTGCCTGGAGGTTCTGGGCCTGTGCGGCGAAGGACACTGGTGCACGGGGACGATGTGGTCCAACTCGCACGTGGTTGCGGTGATGGGGGCCGCGCAGAGCTTGCACTGGTGGTCCTGCTCCGCGAGCAGGGCTTGCCGAGATCCGGGCGGATCGCGGCGGGCCTTGAGAAGGTGAAGGAAGACCTCGCTCGCGGCGCCCGCCAGACGCTGCCCGCAATAGGGGAGCCCCAGCCGCCCCATTCAGGCCTGCAGCACATCCAGGTCTTCGTGGAAGGCGGAGATGACGCAGTCCTCGCCGCCCCGCACCCTCAGCCGCAGGCACCGCCACTCGCTCATGCTTCGCATGACCACCTTCGGGCAGTGCCCCTCGGCCAGGAGCTCCCTCCGGACCTGCTCCAGGTCTTCAGTGTAGAAATGACCGCTGGTGACCTCGCCCTCCCACTCCCGCCAATCCTTGAACTCGGGCGTTTCGCCTGGCTTCCTCTCGCCCCGGTACCTGGCCCGCTCCCCGATCGGCTCGCACTTCGCGACGGTGCGGGCGGATTTGTAGAAGAAGGCGTGGCCGTTCCAGCTCGTGAAGGCCACGGCCCGCTGCTCCTTGACGGTAGGCTCGTACTTGTCCAGCAGGCAGCCCTGGCAGTCCACGTAGAACATCGGGGCCTGGCGCCAAAGGCAGAATTCCCGGATCTCTCGGGGGGTGATGCCCTGCTCCCGCCACGTTTTTTTGGTGCAGATTGCGTCGAAGTCCGAAAGCACCTCCTGCAGCGGCAGCCGCATCAGCTCCGCGAGCTGCCGAGGGACGCAAAGCTTGTCCGGCCGCTGTTCGAAGGCGGACTCTAGGATTTCGTCGCCGCAGTACAGCTGGTAGGAGACGTCCCGCAGAGTCCCCAGGGGCTGATCCAGGACGGTCTCCACCACCACCCGGTCGTCTACGACCTGCATGGCCTGCTGGCTGAAGGTCCACTCCCTCGGCGCGTCCAGGTAGTAGCTCTCGTCGGACAGCTCCCAAATAATGTCGTTCGGCTCGGGGTTCCCGAGCTGCGCGAGCGCGGACGCCTTGAGGTTCCGGGCCGCTTGGGCTCTGCCGGGGCAGTGTGACGTTGAGGTCCGTGACGGGCAGGCGCTTCGTGCGCTCGTAGGGCATGCCGCGGTTCCGGCCGTTTCGCCGGATGCCGCGGATGATGACGGGCACGTGCACCACCCAGTCCACCCACTTGTCCTTGAAGAAGCTCTTCCCGATCTTGGTCAAGTGGTAGTTCCCGTTGGGCTGGAGGCTGCGGAGCAGCTTTTTGGCGCCCCCCCGGAGCATGATGTAATCGTTGGGCCCCTCGCGGATGAGGGGTTGGTTGCGGTCGTACTGCCGGCCGGGAGGGGGCCGGCCGATCAGTTGGTAGTAGTACTGGCCGGCCCTCGTGAGCTCGCCGTTCGGGCGGCTGAGCATCGCGTAAAGGAGGTGGTGGTGTCTCAAAGGAAGGGTTTCTGAGCCTGCCGCCGAGGTCCTCGCCCTGACCCCGGCCTCGGCTGCAATTCTGATCGCTTCTCGTTGCTGAGCCCAGCTCATGACTTTGAACAGCCCGCCCGGAAAAAAGGTCATCGCCCGAGCGGGCCCCCTTTGTCGGTCAAGCTTTCCGGGTCGTTTTTAGCGCCGCGAAGCAGTTGTTGATTTTGACCAGCTTTTGCCGGTAGCTCAGGGTCCAGTGCACGCATGTGGCGAGCACTCTCCATACTTTTCTCCTCCAATGTTCGCGCAGCGGCCTCACGCACTCGCACACCACTTGCTGGGCCGTCCGCCCCAAAAGGTTGAGCGACAAATCCTCAAGTTTCCCCCACCGGTAGCGCCTCTGTTCCGCGATGGTCCGGCTGTTCGCGAAGACGTCGCGCGACTCGAACCAAGCCTGCATCGGATCCGTGGCCAGGATAACTTCTGCGAAAGCGACCCGTTCAGGCAGGGGCCTGGGCTGGGGCTTACAGGGCCTAGGGGGCAGCTGCAAGAAGGCCACAATCATCTGACTCGCGGCCATTTCGGTCACTCCCAGTCGGTCCGCCCACTCCCGCGCCACTGGGTTCTCGACCACGCCATCGTCGTGCTTGATCGAGATGACCACTTCCATCAAATTCCTTGGCTTGGGCTTGGGCCGGGGGTTCACAAGGAACCGGTCCATCTTTTGAACAACCCGCCCGGAAAAAAGGTCGCCGCCCGAGCGGGCCCCTTCGCCGGTCGAGTCTTATTGTACAGTTGTTGGCTCAAGTCTTCGTGTACAGCTTCGGCTCAAGCCCTCCCCGTTGTACAGCGGCTTGTACAGTTTTTGGCTCTTGTGTACAGGTTCGGCTCAAGCCCTCCCTAAACCCTATACTCCCTGACCTCAAGACCCTATACGGCAGTGTTTTCGTTTTGCACGAGTTTTGGCATGGATTTTTCCATGATTGTGGGCATGTTTGTTTTTAGAGTGCGAGCGCCGCGCGCGCTTCCTCGAAGGACGCCAGCAACATGACTTTGACACGGCTTGCTTGGCCGACGATACATCTTTCAAGCGGACATTTCGAAGGAAGACAGCAGACAGACAGCTACCACATCTTAGGAAGGCAGCAAGTACAGACAAGCACAGGCAGCACACACAGGGTAGTGACGCCGGACGCCGCAGGGTAGTGAGGCTCGGCCCCACAGACAGAGGTTCAGGGTTAGGGTTTAGGTTGCTAGGCAAGGCGCTCCGAGGCAGTGATGTCTGGAAGCGTGGCTTCAGGGTTTGCTGGGTTCACTCTCACGGCCCAGGTTCTCATCACCTTCTTCTTTCTCGTCGGACACTGCAGAGGTTCAGGGTTTAGGTTGGAAGGCAAGGGATTCTGAGGCTGCGAGGAGTGCCCTGCGCTGCACCCTCCCCCTCCCCCCCCTCTGTAGCTGTAGAGTGCCCTGCCGCTCCCTTCCCTTCTCGGAATCCCCGGGCCCTCCCTTGTGGCCAGGCGCTCGTTGTGACCTTCCTCGACATCTGCGATCATCCTCGCCAAGCGCTTTGAGTGCAGACAGAGCGCGTTTTTTGGGCGACTTTTGCAAAAACCTCCTGAACCCGAGTTCTAAACCTGGATTCGCTTGGTGCATGCAGAACAAAGCACGGCACGTCTTGCTGTCCGGAGTGTGCCAGCGACGGGGATTCAATTACGACCAAATGGCACGCTTGCTGGAGTGGAACACCCTCCCCAGAGAGAGGTAAACCACGAAGTCGTTAACATCGGGGGTAACGGATATCCAGCTTCTCTCAGTTCCTGCCGATGCTGTTCCGTTGCTCGAGCAAAGGCCTGCAGGACATGGGTTCCGGTGGCTTGGAGGGGAGGGGGCGTGACTTTTTTGAATCGAGGCGTGACTGTTGGGGGGGCCTGGGCCGGGAATTGAGGCGTGACTTCCGGGTTTTGGGGCCGGAGGGAGGGGCGTGACTTGTGACTTTTGGGGGGCCTGGGCCGGGAGAAGGGGCCGTGACTTGTGACTTCTGAGGGGGCCGGGCGGGAGGGCCATGAGTTGTGACTTTTGGGCGCCTGGGCCCGGGATGGCGCCCAGCCGTCCGCCGTCTGCGCTCCATCTCCAGATTCTGTGCGGAGCAGTCTTCAAGATGAGCGTGACTTCTCGGGAAACGGGCCGTGACTTGTGACTTTTGGGGGGCCTGGGCCGGGAGAAGGGGCCGTGACTTGTGACTTCTGGGGGGCCTGGGCCGGGAATTGAGGCGTGACTTTTGGGTTTCGGGACCGGGCGGGAGGGCCGTGAGTTGTGACTTTTGGGCGCCTGGGCACCTGTGACTTTTGGGGGGCCGGGCCGGGAAACCGGCTGTGACTCGTGACTTTTGGGTTTCGGGGCCGAGAAAACGGGCCGTGACTTGTGACTTTTGGAGTGGGCCGGGAATGGAGGCGTGACTTTTGGGTTTGGGGGCCGGGCGGGAGGGCCGTGACTTGTGACTTTTGGGGGGCCGAGTCGGGAAAACGGGCCGTGACTTGTGACTTTTGGGGGGCCGGGCCGGGAAAATGGGCCGTGACTCGTGACTTTTGGGTTTCGGGCCGGGAAAACGGGCCGTGACTTCCGTGACTCTTGGGAATGAGGCGTGACCTCCCCGGGATTGAGGCCTGACCTCCCCGGGATTGAGGCGCCGAGACCCAAAAGTCACGAAAGTCACGGGCCCGACACCGAAAAGCTATACGGAAGTCACGGCGCGTTTCCCGGCCCGAAACCCAAAAGTCACGGAAGTCACGCCCTGCTTTGCCGGGCCCAAAACCAAAAAGTCACAAGTCACGCCCTGCTTTGCCGGGCCCGACACCGAAAAGTCACGAGTCACGGCCTTTTTTTGCGAGAGCCTACATAAACTACTGTCTTGGCTGTTGGTCTCCCGCCTTGCTGCCTCCTGGGCTGTACCAGAAAGACAGCTGGGAGGGATCAAGGGGTCACAGGTGTGCGATGCAATGATCCCAATGGGAGCAACCCCGTTGCCGCGGCCCACCCATCCGACCCAGGAGCTTAGAAAGGAAACATGAAGGGAGCCCAATGGGAGCCCAACCCCGTTGCCGCGGCCCACCCATCCAACCCAAAAACCCAGAAAGGAAACATGAAGGGAGCCCAATGAAAGCCAGTTGCCACGGCCCACCCATCCGACAGAGGAGCCGCGAAAGGAAACATGAAGGGAGCCCAATGGGAGCCCACCCCGTTGCCGCAGCCCACCCATCCGACCCAGGAGCCCAGAAAGGAAACATGAAGGGAGCCCAATGCAAGCCCAACCCCGTTGCCGCGGCCCACCCATCGCACCCTGGAGCCCACCATTGAGGGGTTGCCGAGCCGAGGCCCAAAAGTCACACCTCAATTCCTCCACCCGGCCCCCCAAAAGTCACCAGTCCCCGCTCCACTTCCCGAAGCCCGGCCCGGAAAAGTCGCGAGTCACCACACTGCTTCCCGAATCCCGGCCCAGAAAAGACACCAGTCACCGCGGTCCCAGAAGTCACGCCTCCGTTTTTCCAAGCCCTGCCGCGGAAGTCACCTTTCACGACTCGATCCTTGCGGATTGTGTCGCAAGAGTTTTCGCATTGTTGCGCCGCACTTCTTGGAGAGCCTTGCGCTACAACTGGCGATTTTCGCTGTACTGAACGGGTAGCCGCATGCCGTGGTGCCACCGAAGCACGGGGAAGATCCACACGTCGTAAATGGAGCGCTAATTCCCAGCCCCTTCCCAAACTTCTGACGATGCTTGAATTTATTTGGTTGCGTGTGCTGGGGACGCTCGTGTCCGCGTGATGTGTTAGCTGTGTAGACCAACCCTGGGCTCTCGTGGCCGCTTCCGGCGCTCTGCATCACGCGCCAACGCCTAGCCTAGCCTTGCCCTTCCTCGAGGGAATTAGACAGTCGAGGCCGTGGAAGGAAAGGTGGTGGTGAGCACTTAGATCGAGCTGGACAACCTAAGCATCGACCATTTGTTGTGCTTGGTCCCACATGTGCCGCTCAGCATCCCTTGTTCTGTGCACTCAAACATACCCAAGCTTCCAGTACGGGGCGCTCGGGAGATCGTTCATTGATGATGCGGCCAGGTGTCATCAGAGCGCAAAACTGTCCACCTCTCCAAGGTTTTGCGGCCTTTACTTGGATCAGCTGGCTTGGCCCCATGGCTATGTGCAGGCCGACATCCCAGATTCTGCAGTAGTCAAACATGTTTCCAAGTCACGGGCCTCGGTTTCGTGCAATGTTGTTCGAGTTTTACCGAGAATATGGCAGTTTATACAGGGTCTCATGCAAGTTTGTTGCTCGAGCGTTGAGGACCGCTAGGACCTGGAACCGCAGCCATGGCAAGGATTCCATTTGCTTCGCGCAAGCCGCGTGCCCGGTTGCTGGTGCTGCTGGCGATGTGTTTGGTATGCATGTCACGGCCTTAGACTCTCCATAGAGTCAGGACACTTGCACAGTTCGAGAGAAGTTCCTAAGCGTCAGGCACACAGTGCAGACGGTGCGGGCCTGCGTGGGAGCCAGAGCCGTGTCCTTTGGGAGGCCCGGCGTGACAGATATGACATCCACCGCCAATCCTAAACATGAGCGAGGTCGGTTCCCGTGGGCTGGGCGCAGAAGCCGCTCACGCCACGAAGGGCTGCGGGCAAGGCAGGAGGCCGAGACTCAGAGAAAGTTTTGCGATAAGCTTATGACCTGCGCAGCTCAGGTTGCTGGCGGTTCGCGTAGTGAAGCCGACGACAACGGTGAATCTGACGAGGCGAGAGGGCGTCGTCGAGCACGTGAGGGTTGAGCTCTCTGTGACAAGATGGCTCGTTCGTTGAGGTGACTACAGTGGCTACAGAGTCCTTGGCAAAGACGTTCACGGAGCTTTCAAATTCCGCCAAAGCTGAGGTGGCCGGCCATCGTGTTCTTGCACTTCGGGTTTGTTAGTAGGAGCTGTTGGTGAGGAATGGGTGCGGTCAGAAGCACAGAATCTTCCACTTGACAGCGATATCATTGAAGAGGCCGGGATGTCGTGTTTTCTGAAGAGTGTCCACTCTAGAAAACATCTTGCTTGAGGTCGCGCAAGGTTTTGCCGACGTGCAAGCCAGCGGCGAGAACTTGGTGAAAGCTGACCTCGACAAGCTCGAGAATTCTTTCAACATCAAGCCAGGGCCAGCGGAGACACTACTGCGGTACATCGCAAAGCTGAAGGCCGCCAACGCTCCTCGCCTGCCAGCCTTGCAATTGCTTGCCGTGCCGTTGCTTTCGTGTGGGGTTTAGGGGTTCAGGGGTTTAGGGCCAAGGTTAGGGTTATAGAGTTTGGGGGTTCAGGGTTGCCTTGCTGGTCTCGGAGAAGCTGAGGCCATCGAATGCACCAAGCGCGAGCTGAAGGACCAAGACACCACGGATGAGGCCTGCTGCGGAGTGTACCTCACTGTCCATCGCACCGGGTGCATCGGCGCAGGCTCGGATGACGATGGTCGGCCGCGGCCTCGGCGCTGAAGTCAGCTGTGTCGGAGATGGCATGAATGGGGCTGAGCGCTCAGGGAAGATGCTGGCTGCACTGGGCAAGCTGGACGTGGAACCCGATCTCTGGGATGCCGACGCTTACCCGCATTGTCCTACGCTGGGGATCAGTGGGGCAGCCTTTGTGTTTTAGATTTTTGCAGCACCACGCACAGACGCAGAAAGCTGAGGCCATCAAAGTGATTGAACAGCAGCAAAGCAAACTGCAGGGCGATCAGGCCAGGCTGTCCGTACATCGATGTCCATCGTACCGGGTGCATCGGCGCAGGCTCGGATGACGATGGTCGGCCGCGGCCTCGGCGCTGAAGTCAGCTGTGTCGGAGATGGCACCGGGGCCGCATGAATGGGGCTGAGCGCTCAGGGAAGATGCTGGCTGCACTGGGCAAGCTGGACGTGGAACCCGATCTCTGGGATGCCGACGCTTACCCGCATTGTCCTACGCTGGGGATCAGTGGGGCAGCCTTTGTGTTTTAGATTTTTGCAGCACCACGCACAGACGCAGAAAGCTGAGGCCATCAAAGTGATTGAACAGCAGCAAAGCAAACTGCAGGGCGATCAGGCCAGGCTGTCCGTACATCGATGTCCATCGTACCGGGTGCATCGGCGCAGGCTCGGATGACGATGGTCGGCCGCGGCCTCGGCGCTGAAGTCAGCTGTGTCGGAGATGGCACCGGGGCCGCATGAATGGGGCTGAGCGCTCAGGGAAGATGCTGGCTGCACTGGGCAAGCTGGACGTGGAACCCGATCTCTGGGATGCCGACGCTTACCCGCATTGTCCTACGTGTTTGACTTGCGGTGTTGGTTGATTTTCAGACTCAGCCAGCTGAGGCCATCGAAGTGATCAAGAAGAACAACAGTCCAGCTTCTGGGCTGCATTGGCTGCACCGTTAGCTGTTGCAGTTTGGGATTCTCCACGCCTGACCCAGGTAAAGGACACGGCCCTCGATGCCACTAAGGCTGATGTGCAGGGCTACAATGAAATGCAGGTGGCCTCGTGGCTGGTCGCAGTGCTGTGCAGCTCATACACAGTCGATGCGATTCAGCAGGCCTTGGCGTCTGCTAGCACTTGAGTTGTGGGCTTCATTCTTGATTGCGGCCGGCTCTGCCCACTTGGGTTCCCTGCTTAGGTGGTGACGTCTCTTTCCACGATGAACTTGAACGGTCAAGGAGTGGTGGTGGCCAGTGTCGAAGTGCTCGAAACGGACTACGCACTCTCCAAACCTATGGCTCAGTCTCTGGTCAGGATAGTCCAACGCTTAGCGGACCCTGCAGCTGCTCCGACATGAATTAGTCGCACTTGTCCGGTAGGTGTGTTTGTGCGGTCAATTTCACGTCGGTTGGCTTGTTTCAGACTGTGCGCTGAAAGGAAATCACCTTTGCCGACATTGCACAAGATGCGAAATATGCTGAACACGTCTCGGATGGTGTTTGGGTCTACAACCTGCTGACACGGCTTCCTTGCGGGTACATCCCTAATGCGCAGCAGCTTGGTAATGTCTCTCTTGGAGACGGTCCACAAAAACGATGCATTCCAGTTTTCTTCGGAGAAAGCGGCTCAGGCAAAACGGTGCAAGCACTGTTCGCGCCAGCGTACAAGATGCTGACCCAAGACAAATCTGGCATTGTAAGGGTTTTCGCCTGCAGCCTTCCTGATGGTAGTATGCATCTCGACAATGTCAGGCAAGCCAGCGAGGACAACGACACTGTTACGCGTGCGAAATGGTGCAAGGAGTTCGTCTTGCAAGAGTTCAAGGGGCGGCTGATGAATGCGTTTCCTAATCACGGCGATTTGGTTCGAGGCTGGCTGGAAGATGAGCAGCGAAACAGGTCTGCTCTGGGCTCTGTGGTGTTTGTGATCGACGAAATCACGAAATGTCCTGAGCTGGCGAAGGGCATTGCCGCATGTCAAGATGACATCTACAAAGAGCTGAATCTTTATTGCGACTCTCCACAACTGGTGATGGCCGGCACCTCCGCGGCACGTGTTCTTGAGCCTGGTCCAAGCCTCGACTACTCTAGCGACCCAAGCAAGGTGTGCTTGGTTCCTGTTGGCCAAGTTAAGGAGAGCAGCTTTCTGGACAGCTTAATCGCGTGTCTCATTCCTCAGAAGTGTGTCTCCCACACGGATCTAGCCAGTGTACCGTTCCTGGAGCCATACCTATCAAACGCACGGACAGCCATGCTTCTAGTGGAGGAGGTGGGCAGGTTTGTAGAGCGAAAGGATATCGACAGTGATGACTCATACCGCATTTGGAAGCGCTTCCCGTGGCTTCCTGGCTGCTTTGTTCCCTTGCGATACCGGACGCTAAATGGATTGCAGCGCATCACATCCCTCGAGGAAAGAGAGCGTGTGGCCAGGAATGCGCTGGCGCTACTCATGCACTTAGGCGTTGCAGGCCAAGGTGTGAGGCCGTCTGCGTCAGATGCAATGACTTGTCTGGACTTGGGCCTGTGCACTGCCTCAAACTACAGCCAGCTGTTGGCTCACTGTGACCGGGATCCCAACAGTACAGAATACTGCAGGGAAGTGACGTTCGTGTCCTCGCCCGCGCTAACACAAATACTTCTCGCAGCCTTCAGCATGCCAACGATCATCCCTCAAGACGGGGACTCGTTCGAAGACATAATTGCAGAAGCGGAGAGGCGCTTCGCTGAGGTTGTCACAGGCAACAGAGCCATCGTCGTGACCCTAGACCACGCATTGCCCCCCCAGCAAAATCAGAACAAGATGGAGGGCATTCCTGAATTGACCTTTCATGAAATCCTCGCAGCCCTAGCTCGGAAAGAGACTGTGGTGCTGAAGAATGGACCAAGTGCCCAGGGCGCGGACATTCTGGTTCTTCGGCGGTCTGAGGGCAGCAGGAAGCCTTTGGTTAGGCTTATCCAGGCCAAAAACAGGAGAAGCAGAACAGAGATTCTTCCAGCGGTGGCCACATTGGGAGCGACGTGTCAGAATCAGTCTCACCGCTTGTATGCCTTGAACCGGTCCGCCGCCGTCCTGCATTTTCTTTGCCGACTAGTGTCTGAGACATCAACACCTCAGGACACGGACCTACAAGGCAAGTACGGATTACTTTTTCGGCCGGGACACTCTTCTCAGGTGGATGTCAAGGTCGAACTGATTGTTTGGGAGAGAGTGGGGCCTCGCAGGGTTCCTAGAGCCTTCAGGGTCTTTCGTCCAAGTTTCTTGAAGTGCGCACCCATTGTGAAACTACGGAGCTTGGAGCACCTAGCTCCATTTCCGACAGGGGTGAAGATGCAGGTGGCGAGCATGAGTGAGGCCATGGCAGAGCAAGGAAGCCCGAGTAAGGTTGCGTGCCGAGATGGAAGAGAAGAATTATCACAAATTTCATCCACATCTTGAGTACACGGGCCCTTTCTTCCCAGCCAAGGATAAGGAGTGGGCTGTGAGCTTTTCCATGTATGGGCCGCTGCCTCGATATGACATCGGCCTGTTGGCCAATGCCCGACTCATGCAGAGCATCTATCCTGGTTGGCGCATGAGGCTGTATCATGACAGGAGTTGCAACACGGATTTGCTCAAGTTTGTGCAGAAGGTCTACCCATATGTCGATCTAATTGACATGGCCGACCCTTCCCCTTTTCTTTCGACTCGGTGTCCTGGCGGTTTTTAGTGGCTTCAGACCCCGCGGTCGAACGATTCGCAATCCGGGAGTCCCATGTGGGATGTATCCTTGCACGAAATCTGGGGCCCGTGCTTCTGCTCTCGGTGGTTGCTTTGATCATGGTGGTGATGCACCTGCTGGCCGAGCCGGAACGGACCGGTCAGCTTGTGCCCGAAGTGACACATTTCGTAAACAGCGACCTTCAGATCAATCCGTCGGACGTGTCCCTGGGTAAACTGACGCACTGTGCTGTTCCCTGTCGGCTGACGCAAGACGTGGCGGCCATGAAGAGTGCCGATGCAGTCATCTGAAATCCCAGGTGGATGTTTCCCCTCAAGGAGGCCCTAAACCTGAGCTCCAAGCCACCGCACCAGAAATGGCTCCTGGACTTCGATTTCGAGGCGCCCAACTCTCGCTGGGTTGAAGTTCGAGATCTTGTGGCCCAGTTGGGGCTTGGCATCGATTGGACCTTTACCTTCAAGCCATCAAAGCGAGTTCTGGAAACCTTCCGGGGCCCTAAACCCTAAACCCTAAGCCCTAAACCCTAAACCCTAAACCCTAAACCCTAAACCCTAAACCCTAATTGCCTGAAGAGCTGGCGAGCTTTGAGCCCCCGATGCCGCCCAAGAACCTCCTGCTCCTCTGGGTAGCATCAACCCTGCGAAGGTGAGCATGATAACAATGTAGCAAGTAAAATTGAGGAAGTAATGCTGTAATGATGTAACAGTATCTCAAGATCGAATCCGCAGTCCTTGTGACAGGGCGAGCGACATCAGCATGTTGGCATTTTTTCTTGCTGCTGACGATAGGAACCGTCCCTTTTTTGATGTTTTCTAAAGAGCCCGACCGCTCTGCTTGAAAACACCCGGTCTCCTTTTCACCTGCTGATTGGCGGTTAGAGTGTGCTTGGTGCATGAAATACGGGGCGCCTGTGTGGGATGGGGCCGGGTCCTTGCGTCAATTTGGAGGGCCTCGACCCCAAATCGTTAAGGCCTCGGCTGTGAAGCATCCTATCATGGCAGGTCATGTAGCGCAGAGTCCTTCCTTCGAAGGTGTGTCACATGGCTCACAGGGCGCCCCTTTTTTGGGGACAAAGGGACCGGGGTTGCAGGAGTCCTCAGTTGAAGATAGGCCGCCTCTTCAGCCGTATCGGCTCGCGAGGGCTTCTTCGGCGTGCACTTCTTGCAAGAGTTTTGCGCACTCGACTGGACACATGGAAGCTGCGCTGCCAAGCTCGGCCAAGCCCCCGGATCTTTCGGGTTTCTGGTGGGTTTAGGGTTTAGGGTTTTAGGGTTTAGGGTTTAGGGGTTAAAGCCAGTATCCCGTCAACAGCTTTTCCGAAGGGAATCATCATTGTCGTCATGCGTGTCCCGGGATCTCGAAGTATCCCGAAATCCATAGTCGAAGAGCTTGGGAGGTCGCAGGCGAGCTTGCGTTGAACATGCTGAATTCGCCCAATGATTGCAATGAGGCAGGTGTCAGTCAAAGTCGTGACATCTCCTGGGCGTGTGCCGCGTTCGATGCTTGCAGCATTCTTCTGCGCTTGCGCGCAGTGGCTTCTCAAGGCATGGACCTGGATGGGGGATGGATCCTCTCCTCGACCCTTCCCGATCCCTCTATGCCCTTGCCCAGCTATGGCTATGCCAAAGGCTCAAGCCCCAGTCTGTTGTGGTGCCCATGCTTAAGGAAGAGAGCAGGTAATCAATGTGCCCGATCCCAGTCAGGTATGGCAGCCGCTGCCGCTACCGCCAGGAAACTACGTCGTCGCCTGCAACGGGGCTGGTCTATGACTCAGCAAAGAACTTGCGTGGCTATGCCCTAAACCCCAAACCCAAGCCCCAAGCCCCAAACCCTAAACCCTAGCCCAAACCGCAAAACCTGTCTAAAATCCTGGTGCTCGCAACTGAAGGCCAGCTCTGTGTCCTCGCACCTGTCAATGGATGTGAGCACGTGGAGGCCAGGCCTCTGAGAGCAAGGGAGATGGGAGATAGGGTTTAATGTTGCAGAGGTCGATCAACCCGGAGTCTCTTCAAACCACCCCGAGCCGCTCAGCCCTAAAATCCTGAAGGATAAGCCCCAAATAAGGACCCAAACCCTGAAACCCTAAACCCCAAGACTTTAATTTAAATTAAGCCCTAAGCCCTAAGCCCTAAGCCCTAAGCCCTAAACCCTAAACCCTAAACCCCCTCTGCCTGAAAATGCCGGAGGTGCCGACTCTCTTCACGAAGGTTGATTTCGAGATCCCGAGGGCGCAGTCCACAGGCAGGTGTCTGGTCTTTAGGGTTTAGGGTTTAGGGTTTAGGGTTTAGGGTTTAGGGTTTAGTGTTTAAGGCTTAGGGTTTAGGGTTTAGGGTTTAGGGTCTTCTGGGTCTAAGGGGGTTGCAGTAAACTCCAGGAAGTTGGAACATCCATCCCCCCCCATAGCCCAAAAGGTATGACTAAAGGGCATCCCAGCTCTAATCATCCTGAAGCCATGTTCCAACTTCATGGAGCTTACTACCCTAAACCCTAACCCCAGACCCTAAACCCTAAACCCTAAACCCTAAACCCTAAACCCTAAACCCTAAACCCAATGGGTTTGTCGGGGTTTCGTCTCGTGCGAGGAGACAGCGAGGAGCTGAAGTCCACCAGCGCCGAGGAAACCGATTCTCCAAGGCAATCGACGAAGCGCGTTGTAGGGGGCTTGGGGTATTAGGGTTTAGGGTTTAGGGTTTAGGGTTCAGGGTCTAGGAGTCTGGGTTTAGGGTGCGCCAGGCAAAGCTCTTCTTCCCAAGCTTGTTGGGCGGCATGGCTCTTGCCAGTGTCTGACACAGCTCAGCTACCCTCAACCCTTCAACCTTGGTGCAGGACGATCCCTGATCCACTGAACATGATGCTCCAACGTGACCTGGCTCTACCCATCTTGCTCACTTACTCTGTATGGTCGGTGCGTTATAAAGGGCTAGGGTTGTTAGTGGCGGAAAGACTGGTCTGAGCATCACTGAAGATATGCTGCTAAACTTCGTCCCCATCTTGGCATCGTGTGCCACTGGACTGGGAGATGCAGCTAAGCAGCTTCAGGTTTAAAGAACAAGCTGGAGGGTGCTGAGGACGGCGGGCCGCATGTTGAGGACGAGCCTGCCACAACATGTGCCTCCCTTTGCAAATTAGGGTTTAGGGTTTAGGGCTTAGGGTTTAGGGTTTAGGGTTTAGGGTTTAGGGTTCTCTCCCCTGCTTGAGGGTCTAGGGTTTCGGGTTTAGGGTTAACTCTACTCCAGGTGAAAAACTTGATCTCGAGGAGCTCGAGATGGCAATGGCTCAAGAGGACAGAAGCGATCGAGTCTAGGGTTTAGGGTTTAGGGTTTAGGGTTTAGGGTTTAGGTTTAGGGTTTAGGGTTTAGGGTTTAGGGTTCTCTTTTTGCGTCTGTGCAACAATCTGTGCAGCATCTTCCCCTGCCGAGGACTCTGAGAGGGAGGCTGCGCTGCCGGGGGCCCCTGCAATGTAGGAACTGTAGGAAGCCGTGTGGTGTGTGTGTGTGTGTGTGTGTTCACGTTTTGTTATTCATATATATATATATACGCATATATATATATATCTATATATAACTACACATGCAATGATACCAGGGCCCCGAACTTCGGAAAGCTTGGTCGGAAAGCTTGGCAGGGCTGCGAACGATGTGAACGGCCGGAGGATGGGCAATGAGATTCTGCAGCTGCGCGGAGCTCGGCGCCAGCTATGTTCTTAAGCAGGGTGAGTGTAGCTAGAAGGAGTTACATCCTGATTTTGTAGTACATGCAATCCTTCCTGAGCTGTCCATCAATGAACTGCCAAGTAGTCTCTTCCAGATGCAAGAGCCCCCGAAAGGCTACAGCAAGGGCCAGATGCTGTGGTGGCACGCCGGTGCAGGTGGGGACTCTCTCAACAAGAGCTGCGTGCACTTCTGACATATCTTGCAGTTGCATCGGTACACCTCTAAACCCTGAATCCTGAAGGCCCTACATGTTGGAGTTTAGTCTTTACATTTGGTTGGGCTGCGGCTCGGTGCGTATGCGGGGCTTCTCTAAATGGTGGGCGCTTTTTTTGGCCTTAACGATGAGGCTCCATATGGTGCCAGCACAATGCCCCGAGTCCTGCACCCCAAACACTAAGTGTCGGAAACCTCCCTCGCGCAATTTCCGAGCGCAGCAAGTCACGCGCAAGAGAGAGCGACGCGTCATCATGGAGGCACAGCCTGCGTGGATTTAGTGTTTTCTAGGGTTTAGCGTTTCTAGGGTTCTTGTGTTGAGAGTTCAACCTACAAGGCAAGGGAAGAAACAGCGACTTTGCTGCAACTTCATTCTGGGGATGGGACGCGATTACGTGCCCCGGACGCACCAAGCTGACAACAGCCACGCGCATGCCAGTTTTTGACGTTTGTGTTGTGACCGGTCAGGTGCCGGTAATCATCGGGAAGCGTGGAATCAACACGAAGTCCATTCATGAGAAGACAGATTGCAAAGTGTCCTGCCCCCAGCTCTTCTGTTTAGGGTGTCGCATGGCGTCGGGGCTCAGAGTTTCAGGGCTCCTCTATGCCCCGCTCCTTTTGCGGTAGGCGAGTTCGTGGTCGTGGCTCTGGGCACAGGGAGCAAGTCAGCAACAAGGACCCATGGTGTGCTCATTTTGCCCATTTTTAGGGTTTGTAGGCTTTATAGGGTTTATAGGGTTTATAGGGTTTGTAGGGTTTATAGGGTCTTGCACACTAAGCGAGGGACCCTAACCCCTGCACCCCTGTCTTCTGCAAAGAGCGAACGGAACTACGCAAGGAAGCGCCCGCGAACCTCATGCTGGCAGCCCCTTGGCTCGTGCGATGTGTGGGCACTAGGGTGTTAGGGTGTTTGGGTAGTAGGGAAATTTGGGGCCTCAGGGTCAGTTCTTCTCGCGCTTCGGGTCAGGTGACGGCTGAGGCGTCGAACAAGACTGGCTTCTTGCTCGCGGTCGCCATGAGCATTGACCTGCTCTGGACCGTTTCTTCGGCTGAATGCAGCATGTAGACGGCCGATCATGGAGAAATCTAGATAAACCTGTTTTGTGATTTTGATCATTTTTGCTGTAGCAATAATTTACTATTGTTCTTTCTATGGCATCTCATCGAACCGTACAGGTGGACAAATGCTATCGCCTTGACTCCATGGACCGGGGAGTGTGCGCGGTGAATCCGAGCTTCTACGCAAGCGTGGAGAACGCGGAGTTGAAGGCAGAGCTGTCGGAGGCCCTCGGCAGGGACTTTGCAACCCTTCCCGACTACTCGGACGTCTCCTTTTACGGCTACCGCTGAGCCCTCGGTGGCTTCGAAGACAGAGTGCAGACTCTTCAGGTAGCGAGTCTGCGAAAGTAATAATTCGGCCTCATTGTTCTTACAATGTGTGCCAATTGTCCAGCTTTTAATGCCCGAATGCTTATGGAACGGCCGTTTCCTCTATGATCCCTCCAGGTGAACTCACCCTGAACCCTGAACCAGTGCAAAGTCTGCGCCAGAGGGATCGCTGTGCATGGACGGCCTCTTGATACAGAATTGGACGGCTCAATGGCAGGATAAGTCAAGCATATGTCCCGGTCACCCACTCTCAGCCCTAAACCCTAAACCCTAAAGCCTAAACCCTAAACCCTAAACCCTAAACCCTAAACCCTAAACCCCAAACCCTAGGCCCTAAGACGTTGAATGTCAGAGCTGTCCTTCGATACTCCGTTGATTTACGACTGGTCACAACCAAAAAGGGGGTATAGGGGACCCCAGTTTAGATCCCCAAATAGTAGGATCCCCTATAATTATGATAAGGACACCAAGAAGGTACCCCTATTTGTGGAAACCTCCAAGAAGGCCAGATCAGACTCGCATGTGATTTAGCTTTGCCTCGAGAGTCTCCCAGAAGCCCTCGCGTGGGGAGGTTCTGCATTCCGAGGCTGCTCCATCTCTCTCTCCCGCTGCACCCCAACACCCACGGTATACACAAGTTTGATGAAGTTAATCTGTGAGTGGGGTCTTGCACACGGTTAACGGTGGACGGGGTGCGCGTTGAAGTGGGAAAGGATGTGCTTGACTTGTCAGCAGGCAAGTTTTAAAAGGCACCAAGTGGTTGCAAGTGCTGACGGCAAGACGCCCTGCCTGTGCCAAGCACACGGCCGGCGCCAGCAAGAACTAAACCCAAAACCCCTAAACCCCAAATCCGAGACCCTAAACCCCATAAGCCCAAAACTCTAAACCAGGCCGGAAGCCAGCTGCCCTCAGTAAGCCACTCGCGGTGTTCGAAGGGGCAGAGCAGCCAAAAGCCCACAGCTTTGAGAGGAGTGAGGAGCGGAGAGGTTTTGGTCAACCCATGTTTCGCATGCGCAACCACGCTGTCTAGCACTGGGAATGTCACCGTGCCTTCGCTGCTCTACGGATAGGAGCTGCGCTCGCCTCTTCACGGCGAGCAGGAATATAAAACTACGCGCTCCACGAATAAGGACAGCGACATGTCGCCCAACGTTACTTTCACATCTGCAATCATGTCCAACAGTGCCCACCGCACATTCATACGGCAACAAAGAGTCTGATCTAAGGCTGCATATGTGCAAGCATTTGTAGAGACTTCTCGTCAAACTCACCCAGCAACCTTATCCGGAGGAGCCATGCCCTTAAACCCGAACCCCTAAAAACCCTAAACCCTAAACCCTAAACCCTACACCCTACACCCTAAACCCTAAACCCTAAACCCCTAAACCCCTAAACCCCTAAACCCCAAAACCCCCCCCAACCCTAAAGCCCCTCCTAAAGGCCCCTAAACCCCTAAAGGCCCCTAAACCCCTAAACCCTAAACCCTAAACCCTAAACCCCTAAACCCCTAAAGCCCCTAACCCCCAAATCCGCCCCAACATGTGTTGACCCTCATGGAGGGTCGGGCCGCCGCCCGGCGCCGGCTGGGCTGGGTGCTGGGCCTGGGTCTCTTGCGCCTCGGCCTTTGGTGAAGGTGTTAAGCTGTTTAGGGGTTTAGGGTTTAGGGTTTAGGGTGTTAGGGTGTTAGGGGGTTAGGTCTTAGGGCTTGTTGTTTCTGTGGTTGTTGTTCCTCCGGGGTTGTTAGGTTTGGAGTTTCAGGGATTAGGGTCAGGGTCTTCGTTTCTTGTTTGTCTGTCTGGGTGTAATATTGAGTGCTTAGGATGTATTTGGGTTATGAGGGTTTTATGGGGCTTTTTATGATACAAGGTTGTTACAGTTTATGGTTCAGGGTTTTGAGGTTTCAGGTGGAGGGTTTAGGTTTTTGGGCTTCGGGTAGAGGGCTGAGGGCTTAGGGTAGCAGGGTTTCAGGGCTTTAGGTTATAGGTACTTAATACCCTAAACCCTAAACCCTAAACCCTAAACCCTAAACCCTAAACCCTAAACCCTAAACCCTAAACCCTAAACCCTAAACTCTAAACCTCAAATCTCCGAGGTGCATGGCGACCTGGAGTTGCCGGCCGCGCTGCTTCCTCTACAGGCGACCCCTGTCACGCCGTAAACTCCCGATGCCCTAAACCCCCCAAAGCTCTTGTCCTAAAGTCAGGCTTGTCCCTTTTTGGAAACAGATGCTACGGCAGATGCTCCTTCTTGAGTTTTGTAACATTTGAACCCCTGTCATGATTGTTGCTTCAGGGTGGAGCATCCCAGTTTCTTCGCCAAGCTCTGAGCCAGCACCCCGGACCTGAACCCAGACCGCCTAAAGCACCTGGACCATAAACCCTCGACCCCAGGCTCTGAGCCCTCAACCCTGAACCCTGAACCCTGAACCCTGAACCCTGAACCCTGAACCCTGAACCCTGAACCCTGAACCCTGAACCCTGAACCCTGAACCCTGAACCCTGAACCCTGAACCCTCAACCCTAAACCCTAACCCCTAAACCCTAAACCTTAAACCCTAAAACCCTAAAACCCTAAAGCCCTAAAACCCAACCCAAACCAGACCTGGAGGTGCGCCGGCCTGCCAGTGCCGCGCGTGCGCGCGGCATGCGCGGCCGCGAGTGGAGGTCTTCCAGGAGCCAGCGTTGGGGTCCAGGTTGGGTTTAGGATTTAGGGTTTAGGGTTTGGGGTTTGGGGTTTAGGGTTCAGGGTGTCGGCTTTAGGGTTAGGGTTTAGGTGCATTAGGGTTTCATGGGTTAGGGCTCAGGGGGTTAGGGTTTAGAGGGTTTAGGTAGGGTTTAGGTAGGGTTAGACTGTATATGGTTCAAGGTTTCTTTCGAGCAGTTGTTTCTTGAAGGCGTTTTGAGCAGCAATTTGCTGGGCCAATTGGGTTTGAAGTCCTCCCCTCGTTAGCTTTTAAGGGCTTTCAGGTTCTAAGGCGTTAAGGTCTGAGGGGTCTAGAACCCTAAGCCTCATCCTTAAGGCATGCGGGCCCTGAAATCTAGGGACCAGAGGCATTATACATAGCCCCTTCTGGGCGGTTTCCGAAACTAGGGGTGCCTTCTTGGGGTCCTTACTATCAGGGGGATCCTATTATTTGGGGGACTATATTCGGGCTTCCTTAGTTTCGTAAAACCCCCTATTCAGCCAAAGCCCTCCTAAGGTTTTCAACTCCTGTACCCTTCACTCTGATCCCGAAATCCCAAAACGCTGAAACCCTAACACTTCAACTCTGAACGCTGACCCCTGAAGCCCCCTGAAGTTTCGGCCCGAAGCTTCTTAAGCTCTACAACCCCGAGAGTTTAGGGTTTTGGGCTTTAGATGCTTTAGAGTTTATGAATTCGCCCCTTGGGGAACACAAGTCTCTCGCGGCCGTAATCCTGGCAATGTCTCAGAAACTGAACGAGCTACCCGCCCCGATCTAAAACCCGGAAACAAACTAACGAAACCACTGCACCCTTAACCCTAAACCCTGAACCCTAGACCCCAATCCCTAAACCCCAAACCCCAAACCCAAAACCCTAAAGCCTAAACCCTAAACCCTAAACCCCCAAAGCCCACGAAAAGCCCAAAAGCTGCAGACCGGTCTGCGCCGCTTCGCGCGCCCGAGCGCATCTTGCTGGTGCCCTTTGGGTCGATCGCCTCGGCTGAGGATGTGCCGCCCGGCCGTTTTGGGGTTTAGGGTTTAGGGTTTAGGGCTTAGGGTTTAGGGTTTAGGGTTTAGGGTTTAGGGTGTAGGGTGTAGGGTTTAGGTTCAGGGCTTCGGGGCAAATCCAAGCCCTAAATCACAGTCATTAACTCAACTCCTAAGCCCCAAAACCCCAAAGACCCCCTACATCCCTGAGACCGTTCCCGCTTTCTTTCCCTAAACCCTAAACCCGAAACCCTAAACCCTAAACCCTAAAACCTACGGTAAACCCTGAGCCCGACACCCCCAACCCCAGGCTGCCTGGCCATTCCCACTTCCACCGCTTCGACGTCTTCAGCCGCTGCTCCATTGCCGCGCTCATGTGCCTGTGACCATGTTGGCACCTCTTTGGGGGCGGCTCAGGCTTGAGGGGTTGAGGTTTAGTGTTTAGGGTTCAGAGTCTACAGTTTCAGTTGCAGAAACACCCTCAACCCCGAACCCTCACAACCGAAGCTCCGAAGCCCTAGAGCCCCAAAAAACCCCCCAACCCTTCTTTGAGGACACTAGCTCGAGGTGCTCCCGCAAGCTGCGCCAAGACACGACCTTCCTCGCTGCGCTGGTGAAGCCTTCCTGGACGAGCCGTGTGGGGCAGGCCCACACAGGGTTTAGGGCTTAGGGCTTAGGGTTTAGGGTTGGTGGCCATGGGGCCTTCTGGAGAATACGACACATCTTGGTTCTAGCTGGCTCTTTTTTCGGCCATGGAGTGATAGGGGTGGAGTTATGTCCAAGCACTTGAGTCAAGTCCTGTGAAGGTTCAGGCGGGGGATCTATAGTCCAGAGCATCCTTGTGTCTTAAGGCTTGGAGGGGTCACTTTTTTTTTTTTCTCTTTGTGGGCCTTTACTCTTGGATGTTCCTTTTGGGTAGGGGCGCCCTGCTGGAAGGCTGTGATGCAGAGCCTTGCCGGCGATCCCCCAGAGGCAGCAGGCCCCACGAAGATTGCAACTCGGGTCGAAACCCTGAGGCACTCAGTGTAATGCTTACGAGTGTTATGAAACTCCGAACAAGTTCAAGGTTGAGATTTTAGAGCTTACTTAGCGTTGAGGGATTTTGGAAACCTCCCAAAATCATCTTACGGCTCAAGCGCAGGAGGACCCTGACCCTCAGCCCAAGCATTAAGACGCCACCCTGCAAGCCTCATCTCAGCTCACCAACAGCTTACCTCATCACATCACAAAACCCTGCAACACCCACCTGACACCCTAGACTCAGACCCCAAAACTCTCAACTCCCAAACCTCTTTGCTTCAAGGAGCCATCAAATCTAGTATGCCTCCAAAAGGGGAACTCGACCCCTTGAAGCCCAAAAAACTTGAAAGCATGGAGCCAAGGTCAAGATCATCGGCAGCGAAATCCCGAAAACCCGCGGCGCGTTCATCCCCACGGAGAGGTCGCCAGGGGTCTACAGAATATGGGCCTTGGGATTAAGGGTGCTCGGGGGTTGATGTGGGGGTCAGACAGGGGGTCGGGCAGATGTGCTGGGGACATCGGCTCGCTTGATGCCGGTTGATGAAAGGTGGCTGGCCAAGACCTTCACCTCCGTGCTGGGCAACGCCACCGCCAAGCCCAAGGTGGAGAAGCGCTGCAGGGGCTGGAGCTGCGAGGAGGTGGCATCGCTGCGATGCCTCCTGTCTGACCTCGGGATTCCGGCCAAGGGGGAAAAGGGGGAAAAGGGGGAGAAGGGGGAAAGCAGCAACTCCGAGCCGGGGAAAGTCCTTGCCTTTGTCTTGCATGAGGAGGCGACGGTGCACATCCGAGATGAAGTTGCACGGATTGAAGGCGATGCGGCCTCCCGCATCCTCTTAATTGTTGGTGACCAGACCGGGCTGACGCGAGAACAAGTCGAGTACCTCGTGTCGGAGTTCGGTGTGGTACCGGTAACCGTCGGAGCAACTCCCCTGCTCACCTCGCACTGCATCGTCGTGCTGCACCACTTGCTGGATGAGCGCTGGCCTGCGCAGCTGGCGGTGGCTGGGGCTGAGCCGGATGAAGACGGAGCAGAGCACGAGATCGGATATATAGGTGGGCAAAAGGTGCTCCGACTACTCCACTCAAAGCCTCAAGGCTACCCGGCTACCCTTCAAGCCAAGATAGCTAGCCCTGCAGGTTCAGGGGGATTCAAGGTTTAGGGTGGCCTCGAAGCGATAGGGAGTGTCGGGTTGTTGAATACCGCGCAATCTGGGCCCCAAGACGCGGAGGTGTGATAGGGACCATATGGACCATCTGTCGGCATGACTGGTAGGGAAGAAGCATGCAGTCTCTCTTGGGTTGCGAGGGGTAGGCCGACCATTGCAGTGCTGCTGGGCAAGTCTGCGTCTGCCGCGCTTTGCTCGAAGCGCTCCCTTGCCTTCCGTGCCCCCCTTCACCGCGCTGCTCCCATCGCCACACCCACCGATGGAGGCACCTGGTCAACCGCACACTCGAGTGGCCTTAAACCTAAACCCTAAACCCTAAACCCTAAACCCTAAGCCCTACATTGAGGGTACCAGGGGGGCCAAGGCACCCAGGGAGTGGAGCCCAGGCGTCAGATCGAAGGTTTAGGGGGTGCCTGGTGTTGTTCTCCAAGTTGCATGCCCGGGTGTCAAGGCAAGCCTTGTCCGAACCTCGTGCTCAGATGCTAACCTGCCAAGCTTGCTCAACTCCTAAACCCTAACTCAACCCTAGACCCTAAAACCGTAAACCCTAAACCCCAAACCCTAAACCCGAAACCGTAAACCCTAAACCCTAAACCCGAAACCCCAAACCGTAAACCCTGAACCCTAAACCCTAAACCCCAAACCGTAAACCCTAAACCCTAAACCCTAAGCCCTAAACCCTAACCCTCCCTAAACACTAAACCCTCAACCCGACTGGGAGGCGCAACATGGACCTGTCGGAGCGGATGCTGCGGCAGGCAGGGTGGATGCGGGCGTCGGGTCCTAAAGCTTCGTAACCCCTCCCCTACCCCCCCACCTGTTTACCCTAAACCCTAAACCCTAAACTCTAAACCCTACGCCCTAAACCCCACACCCTAAACCCTAAACCCTAATCCCTAAACCCTAAACCCTAAACCCTAAACCCTAAACCCTAAGCCCTAAACCCTAAACCCTAAACCCTAAACCCCAAGCCCTACCCAGAACAAAGCACAGAAGCACACCTGGTTATGGGGGCTCCTCAGCCGGTGGCAGGTGACAAGGGGGCCGACCTGGAGCTACAACGTGTGGACTCCGGGACAGGTGGCAACATGATAAGCATGATCACAGCAAGAATATCATAATAATGATAACAACAATAGTAATTATAAGAATAATCGTAATAGTAATAATCGTAGTAAAAATAGAAGCAACCATGAAAGCAATAATAAAAGCAATCACAATAATAACAATAAAAATTAGTAGTTATAAAAATACCAATTAGATTGATGGGTTGTTAAATCAAAAGCCCTGAACCCTGGACCCCTCCTTTCGGCTTCAGAGCTTTACCGGTTGAAGGGCTTCAGGTTTTGTAGGGCGCCAGGGCTTTCGGGCATTAGGTCCTCAGAGTCTTGGGATTTCAGGGATCCCAAACAGACTTAAGATTAGGTTTAGGGCCGCAAGTTCAGGGCTCTACAGGGGGATGGAAGGTACCGGGTTTAGGGTTTTGGCTAGCTTCCATGATGCTCCTGCTATTTTGCTGCTGCTGGTGGTATCGCTATTGTTTACCGTATATTGCCTGTTGTGTCAGCTACAGTAATGTTCATTCGTGCTAGTACTATATATATAAACATATACGTATACATATACAAAGAACACATATATATTTTTATATATGTATATTGATAATGACAAATATCAGTCTTGCATTTACTTCCACTGATGGATTTAGGGCAAGGGTGTGCCCGGATTTTGTGGGTGAAGGCTCTGAAGGACTCAACAGGCCTGGGGTTCTTGGAGGCAGGAATTTTCCCGGGTCGTCTTGCTCGTTCTGAATCCGAGGATAGTGGTAAGAACAGGAAGACGAAGGGAGAATTTTGTGTGAAGGGTGCAGTGTTTTGCTTTTGGGTGGGTTTTGGGCGGAAGTATGGGGCCTGCTTGCGGCCTTCCCTACACCCTTGCGGTTTAGGGTTTAGGGTTTAGGGTTTAGGGTTTAGGGTTTAGGGTTTCGACCCCGAAGCCACTCTAACCCCTTCTTTCCTGCCCTTTCAGGCAAGGATTCCGACACGGAGGTGCCGTGTGAGGATCTCGACTCCGCTGTAGGTGTGGGTTGGTCAGGGTTTAGGGTTTAGGGTTTAGGGTTTAGGGCTTCGGGTTTAGTAGGTTTGGGTTTGAAGGTCTTAGGATTTAAGGGTTTAAGGTTTCAGGGTTTAAGGGCCTTATGGTTTCATTAAATCATGGTGTTCCCACAGAGGTCCCCCAATTCATCTACCCCTTGTTGTTTAGGGGGCCAAAGGCACCTTGATTATACCAAACCAAAGAACCGCAATCCATGGTTTCGAGGCGGCGGTTTCCGGTTGAGCGGGAGCAGCTGTGGAGGGTTAATGGGTTGAAGGAATGGAGGCTGTAGGGTTTAGGGTTTGGTGTAGCCAGAATACTTAAACCCTAACCCTACACCCTAAACCCTAAACCCTAAACCCTAAACCCTCGTCCCTGCCAGGCGACATGAATGCTGCCAGCGCGCAAGCCGTCAACTTCCACCAGCTGCCGCTGCTCTTGCGAGCTCTGTCGAGGATGCCGGCGCTGCTGGTCACGCTGTTGCTTGGGTGCCACCGGGAGGGGTTAGGGTTTAGGGTTTAGGGTTTAGGGTTTAGGGTTTAGGGTTTAGGGTTTAGGGTTTAGGGTTCTACAGTTTTGTTCTTGGTCATGCGGAGCCTGAGCATACAGCTCGGGCACCCCAAAAACGATCAAGGAAGCTGCCACACTCCCGTAAACCCTCAAGGTTCTGCATCTTTAGGGAACTGAACTCTCACCTTTCTTTCACAAGCAGAAACGGTGCCGAGGGTGATCGAGCTCCTAGTGGCTTTCAACATCTCCTCCTACACTGCGACTCAGCAAAAGAGTCCGAACAGTTGGCATGCAGTTCAGGGGTTTAGGCCAAGCTCGGGTTTGAGGCTTCACCACATCATATTGGTTTCTTTCGAGGCCGGCAAAGGAATTGACCATGAAGTTGAGCCACCACGTGTCTTACCGATGAAAGAAAGAGGAGGCTTCAGGGTGGCGGCCATCCACATGGGTTTGAACTGGGCTTGGTATTGCAAGGTTTTGGGGGGGGTCTGCGCCTTCAGGACACCTTCAAGAGGTACCCCCTGCTCATCGCCTTTCAGCCGGTGATATCGGCAATCTCTGGCAACGTGGGCCTCCAGACCATGGCCACCGTCACCCGCGGCCTGGCGCTGAGCCTCTTCAGCGGAACCCGCATCTGCCAGGGAACTCGGCATGAGCTGGGCACTGGGCTTGCAGTCGCTGGTCTCTTGGGCACCGTGGTGGCGGCCGTCGCCTACACCTGGTACTTTCTGGCCGACGCCAGCCACACCACGAAACTCGGCGGGCATCCGGGAGGTAGCAAGAAGGAACACGCTGGGTGTAAATGCCCTAAGAGGCTCGCGAAAGGGCGTTCAAAAGTGTCCAACATGCAAAAGGAACCACAACTTTCTTTCGCACTCCTGGAAGCCCCTAAGCCCCATACCCCCCAAAACACCCTAAACCCTGAACCCTGAACCCTGAACCCTCAACCCTCAACCCTCAACCCTAAACCCTACACCCTGCACCCTACACCCTAAACCCTAAACCCTCAGCCCTCAACCCTAAACCCTAAACCCTAAACCCGAAACCCCCTAAACCCCAACCCCAGAAACCACAAAAAAAGCCGATTCCACCCCCCACCCCCCCCAAAAGGAAAGGGGCCCTGGCCTTCGCCCTGGCCATCTTCCTGGGGCAGTTTGCGTCGATCCTCTGCGCCAGCCTCACTGCCACCCTGGCTCCCTTGCTGTTCTCCAGGCTGGGAGAATGGAGAGAAAGCCCTGAATTTTCTAGGGTTGTTAGGGTTCTATGTTGTTTTGTTTTTTTTTTTTTTTTTTTTTTTTTTTTTTTTTTGGGGGGGGGGGGGGTTTAGGTTTTTTGGTTTTTATTGTTTTTAGGTTTTCTTTTCTTCTAGGGATTTTCAAGTTCAGCCCTAAGACTTAAGAGACCCTGCTTCCTAAAACGACCAGGACCCTCGGAAGCCCAGGGGCTGACTGACAAACTAAACCCTAAACCCTAAAACCCCAAAACCCTAAAACACCCTAAAACCCTAAACCCTTGTAAATCCCTAAAACCCTAAAACGCCCTAAAACACCCTAAAACACCCTAAACCCTAAAACACCCTAAAACCCTAAACCCCTTGTAAATCCCTAAAGCCCTAAAGCCCCTAGGACCCCGAAAAACCCCCCGAAAAACCCCCCAAACTCCCCCAAACTCCCTCTTCCCCCAGGCTCGGATGGGATCCTGCGAACATGGGAGGCCCCCTGGAGACGGCCTTCCAAGACGTCGTCGGGAGCACGGCCATGCTGGCGGCTGCGGCAGCCATCCTGCAAGGCGACCTCTGCTTAGGGTTTAGGGTTTAGGGTTTAGGGTTTAGGGTTCAGGGCCTAGGGGTTAGGGGTTTAGGGTTTGGGGTTCAGGGTCTAGGGTTCAGGGTCTAGGGTTTAGGGTTTAGGGTCTAGGTTCTTAACCCTTGATTAAACCTAAGACCCGAACACCTCAAAACCCTAAATCCCTAAACCCTATGACCCGAGGAGCCCTAAAGCTCAAGCCCATGGCTTGAGTTCAGCCAGCTTCGTGGATAGAGCTCAAGGGCCGAAGGTTTGGGGTTCGGGTTTAGGGTTTAGGGTTTAGGGTTTAGGGTTTAGGGTTTAGGGTTTAGGGTTTAGGGTTTAGGGTTTAGGGTTTAGGGTTTAGGGTTTAGGGTTTAGGGTTTAGGGGCCCGAAACCGTAAACCCTAAACCCGACATCCGACAAGGCCTGGGAGACTTTGCCGAGGCTTGCCCAGGACCATCTGCCTAAGGTTTCGAGCTTAGGCTTCCGCCTTGAGCCCTCAATCCCTAAACCCCACACCCTAAACCCTAAACCCTAAACCCGAAACCCTGAACCCTAAACCCTAAACCCTGAATCCCTCATCAGTTGGGAAAGAATACCCTCTTGAGCTTGACTCTCGTCCGACTTTGTGAGATGACTTAGGAGGTGTAGCCTACGTGGGAGCTCCGGGAATCTTGAAATACCACTACTCTTAATGTCATTGTTACTTTTTCCGTGAGACTGAAACTTGCATCGTGTGAGTTTTTTGTTTCAACCTTACCTCTTTTGGCAGCTGATCTGTGCGGAAGACATAGTCAGGTGGGGAGTTTGGCTGGGGCGGCACATGTGTCAAACATGTGTCCTCAGGTAAGCTCAGTGAGAACAGAAATCTCATGTGGACCAAGAACAGGGGACAAGCCTGCTTGATTTTGCTTCTCAGTACGAATACAAGCTGTGAAAACATGGCCCATGGATCCTTTAGGTACCCTGTAAACCTCAAGCCCTCCAGCCCCAAAGACCCACAAGGCTTCTGAGCCCCCGCTCCCCCCTGAAGATCCGAAAGAATTCAGGGTGCTTGGCGCACGCGGATTCACTAAATTAGGTTTCCTTTTGGGCGCAGGGGCCATAATTCAGAGAGCCCCATGAGAGGAGACGACATCTTCGGATGTGTGCAGAGCTGCCACCTGAGCGGCACCATGTACAGCGAGCAGTGCCTCCAGCACTGCGCCAAGCTAAGCAAAGAGGGCCTTTGCTAGACTTCCGTGTGGGCTTTCGAACCCCAAAATACCCTAGATCCCTATGGCAAACCCTAAACCCCTAAAACCCTGAACTAACCCTAAACCCCAAAACCAAAGCCCTAAAACCCTAAAACCCTAAAACCCTAAACCCTAGAAAATTGCCCGGGTTTCTTGGACGTTTTGCGGGAAGGTGGACCCCTCAGGTCTGAGGACCCACGGTCGCACGATCCCTGGGCTCCCTGACAGCGCAGGACCCTGGGACTTTTCTCGAGTTCTGCATCTGTGCAGAGCACTTTGCATGTACAGCCAGCCGGGCTTGCCAGTTCTTAGTCGGGAGTTGGGGAATCGGGTACCCAATTCCCCACTTCCCCTTCTAAGAATCAGTAAGCCAGAGTGGACTGGAGCCAGATTCTACTGCGAAGGAGGCTTCGCAAAAGTCCGGTGATCCCGAACCTTTGGAGTCCGAAACCCTAAACCCTAAACCCTAACCGCGAAGCCCCAAACCCCGCACAGGGCCCCTGTTGTTTCTTTTTGCGGGGGTTGCTTTCGACATGGGGGCTTATCGAAGCTCTTGGAACCCTCAACCCTCAACCCTCAACCCTAAACCCTAAACCCTAAACCCTAAACCCTAAACCCTAAACCCTGAAAACTGAAGGGATGGAAAGAGTGAGAGGACCAGGATCCCAAAACATATCACCACAGCAATCCTGCTCTCAGCAGCATTGCCCCAAAAATACCAATGCGTGGCCACCATGGTTTCTTTCTTCGTGCCTTTTTGGGTCTTATTTATGAAGCGTTTGAGCTCAATGTTTTGACTAAGCTGTTGCAATTCATGCGCCTTTGCTCTGAGACGAACGGCTGATGTGTCAACCTTTCCTTTTTTATGCTGAGTACTCCTCTCCACCTCTGCTCGCCTCCACGTAAGGGACGCCTACATGAGGCGACAGTCAGGTCCTGGGAAGCGTTGAGGAGGCCTTATGACAGCATCCCCAAGACCCTCAACAGCCCTAAGCCCTACACCCTCAGCCCTAAACCCTGAAGCCCTAAACCCGAAAGCCCGAACACCCCAAGCCCTTAGATGGCCTTCACGGCGAAGGCTGGGGTGATCAGTTGCCATTTTCGTGCTCACGCAGACATGCCCAAAACCCTAGACCGCCAAAGCCCCAAGCCCCAAAACGGACTCAACCCCTCAACCCCCCCCCTCAACCCTCAACCCCCCCCCTCAACCCTCAACCCCCAGACAAGTCAGGCCGCCCCCCGACCCTAAGATGAGAGGACTTTAGGCCTGAGTTCTTGGGGGGTTTGGGGTGTTTATAGAAAATTATGGAGCATCATTGGGTTTTTGGGTTTAGAAAGGGTCTATGGGTGGAGGTTTGGGTGGATTCTTGTGCGGCAATGGACTTCAGTCAAAGTTCGACGGACGAAGTGCCCCTTGATGCGGCGTTTTGAGTCTTTGCCGTGCTTGGGACAGAGGGCGGCTGTGGAGTTTCCCAACCGGGTCCAGAGCCCTTAAGCCCTAAACCCAAAAACGGCAACAGCCTAAAGCTGGAAACCCCCTCAACCTCTGAATCCCAACACCCTGCGGCTTTTCCAGGGTCGAGGGTTGAGGGTTTACTTACTGGCCCTCTCAGTGGGGACGGCACCTGAAATCCTCCCTTAGTGGAGGCATCACAAGTTCCGTACCAAGAGCCAGTAATTGAGTTCAGGCACCCTTCCGGCCTTTTGTTCATCCTAAGCTCCGCGGTTCAAGGTCTCGGGTTTAGGGCTTGGGGCTTCGGGCTCAGGACCTAAATCCTAAACCCTAAAGCCTGAACCCTGAATCCTGAACCCTGAACCCTGAACCCTAAACCCTTATGGTGTCGGGTAGGTCTACCGTTTTTTTTTGTTTTACGGTTGCTGCCCACTGCCTTGTCGCAAGGTCTGACGAGAAGGCGGAGCTCGTGAGCAAAAGCGACAGTGAAACCTCCAGCCAAGATCGACTGCCTCTGATCGACATTGAAGAGAGACTCGACCTTTGAAATCTGGGTTGTCCTATGGTATAATTTGTAACTTCCCTTCTTTCCTTTTAAGAGAACCTATCCATACATAATCTTAAAGGGTGTAAAGCACAACTCAGTCAAGGCTTGGAGGTCCCAACCTAAAACCCACGCTGTTCAGCTCGAGACATTTCTCGGCCCGGAACCCTAAATCTGAGCCCTAAACCCTAAACCCTAAACCCTAAACCCTAAACCCTAAACCCTAAACCCTAAACCCTAAACCCTAAACCCTAAACCCTAAACCCTAAACCCTGAACCCTGAACCCTGAACCCTGAACCCCGAAAGACCCAAAATGGGGGGCCGAAGGACCATGGGTGGGTCGGTGCAAGGGCCCTTGAGAGGTGTAGGGTCTAGGTTGAGGGCCTCTTTGGGGGGGGGGTTGAAGGGGTGAACCCTAAACCCTAAACCCTAAACCCTAAACCCTAAACCCTAAACCCTAAACCCTAAACCCTAAACCCTAAACCCTAAACCCTAAACCCTAAACCCTAAACCCAAAACCCTAAACCCAAAACCCTAAACCCTAAACCCCAAGCCCCTACGCCCTAAGCCCTTTGAGGAGATGGACCATTGTGGCTGTGGATGCGGTCTGCGTTCTTGCGGCTTGCATTCCGATTCTGAGCATCTAGGCCGCAATCCATGTGCTTCTGAAGGCGCATGAGGCCTTTGAAGAGGAGGTGGGGTTTAGGCAGGGTTTAGGGATTTTAGGGGCTTAGGGTTTAGGGTTTGGGGTTTGGGGTTTAGGGTTTAGGGTTTCATGTCTACTCTGAACTGCAGGCTGAAGTGTGTGCCCAGGGCATCGGATTGATTCCTTCCTAAGTTGCACATTCGGACTGGGTAGGCCCTTGGTATCTCCTTCTGCCCTGAATTGGGACCATACTTAGGAATATTTTTAAAGAGGGCTTCTGGGCCCCGAAGCCCCGGCTAAGCACTTGCTAACATCATCCCCTTTCAAATCTCCTTGTACTTCGAAAAAGAACCTTCCAAACTCTTAACCCTAAACTCTAAGCCCTAAACCTCATAGTGCCCACGCTTCTGCGGTGCCGATTCGTGTGGGCGTGGTCATGGCCTCCAAACTTAAGAATCGTATGAGGAGTCTTGTGACCATAGCCTGCAAAATAGGCGAGTTTCGGTTTCAGGTGAGCCCCTGAAAATGGGGTTTTGCATGGCGTGGAGCCGTCTGCAATCAGCACAGCTAGAGGAGGGCCTCGGACAGGTTTCGGTGTAAGGTTTTGGGGTTCAGGGTGTCGTGTCTTGTACGGGCCTAGCAGTTCGATGTTCAGGGTTTGTCAGTGCACTTTGCTTACTATTGGTCAGAGTGAAGCAATGGGGGTAATAATTCATCATTCCTTCCATGAAAGCAGCCAGCCTGCCGAGGTATCTTCGCAGTCATCTACTTGTTCTGGCAGTTTTCTGGGCTTCGGCCGTCCAGGCGGCGACAGTCGCGTGCTGCCGGAGTTTAGACCTCGAACCCTGAGCCCTACACACCAACCTCCTGATTTTTTCTTTCCGGTTCCCTTTTTTGACTTAGGAGGATCTTATACAAGGGTTCCTGTACCAACCTAGGGATACTTTAGGGTTGAAGGCTGGGGTCTAAGGCTTTGGCGTGCAGGGGTTTAGGGTTTGAGGGCTTCGAGTACCTGCAAGGGGTCTAGAGGAAATATCGGGGAGGTCGTGGCGGCAGTCTCTGGCCTCCCCCTTGTGTGGGACCCTAAACCCTAGACCCTAAACCCTAAACGCTAAACCCTAAACCCTAAAGGCTAAACCCTAAACCCTAAACCCTAAACCCTAAACCCTAAACCCTAAACCCTAAACCCTAAACCCTAAACCCTAAACCCTAAACCCTGTAAAGGCGAACTCACAGGCTGTCGGGTCCAGGCCTCATGGCTCTCCAGGAGCCCCGTGAATCCTGAAGCTCCACCTCCTTGCAGGAAGGAGGTCTCCGCATGCAGAGGAGCCGCAACTTTCCTGGGCTTAGGTCTGAGGGCGTTATTAGGGCCTTAGCGTTTAGGGCCATTGCTCCCGAGGCAGGGCCCAAACTTGCTGGGCCGTTTTCTGGGGCCCTTCCCTACAATTCCTTTGAGTTAGGGGATGCTCTCAGGATCGCCCAAGATACACGGAAAATCCTCCGAAAACCCTCAACCCCAAACCTGAAACTCAAAAGCCCTAAACCCTAAACCCGAAACCCGAAACTCTAAACCCTAGACCCTAAACTTCCTCTTCCGAAGGCGGCGGCTTCTGCTGGGCTCCCCAGTGGGCAAAGAGGCCCAGATCACTGGGGTTCAGGGTGTAGGTTTAGGATTTAGGGCTTAGGGTTTAGGGTTTAGGGTTTAGGGTTTAGGGTTCGGTTTAGGGTTTAGGGTTTAGGGTTTCGGGCTAAACCTCACAACCTTCCAGACCCAAAGAGCCCAGGTGCAGATGTCGTGAATCCCCCATACCCTTTTCCCAGGCGCCGGGCTGGCTCCTCCAAAAACTCGAAACCCTAAACCCTAAACCCTAAACCCTAAACCCTAAACCCTAAACCCTAAACCCTAAACCCTAAACCCTAAACCCTTAACCCTTAACCCTTAACCCTAAACCCTAAGCCCTAAACAAACCCCTACACTCCCCAAACCCCATGTCTGCCCACAGCCCCAGGCACTGCTGTGGTTCATGGTGATGGAGTTCACCCTCTGGCCGGTCTGCTTCATGAAGTCCCTTTGGGAGGCATCCTCTGGGTTAAGGGTTTAGGGTTTTAGGGTTTTAGGGTTTAGGGTTAGGTTTGGGTTCAGGGTTTAGTTCGGGTTTAGGGTTTAAATTTAGGGGTTTAGGGTTAAGCTAGGGTTTAGGGTCTAGGGTTTAGGGTTTTAGGGTTTTAGGGTTTTAGGGTTTTAGGGTTTTAGGGTTTTAGGGTTTTAGGGTTTTAGGGTTTTAGGGTTTTAGGGTTTTAGGGTTTTAGGGTTTTAAGGTTTTCGGGTTTAGGGCTTAGGGTTAGGTCTGGGTTTAGGGTTTAGTTAGGGTTTAGGGTTTAGTTTTAGGGGTTTAGGGTTAAGCTAGGGTTTAGGGTCTAGGGTTTAGGGTTTTAGGGTTTTAGGGTTTTAGGGTTTAGGGTTTAGTTAGGGTTTAGGGTTGAGGGTTTAAGGTTAGGGGTCAGGGGTCTCAGGGTTTTGGGGTTTCAGGGTTTCCGGTGCTTCGTGATGCAGGGGTTTAAGTTGTAGGCGTTTTTCTGGTTTAGGGGCTTCTTCGCATCTCCTTTTGGGAGGGGCTCGCAGCCCGCTGGCCTGACTTCATAGAGCCCGTTGTGTTGCGCCCGAAGTCTTCAACCCTAAGCCCTAAAGAGCGTACATGTTCGATGTCGGTTCGAGCCCTAGAGCTTTGAAGCTCTATAACCCGATAACCCTATAAGGGCCCTGTGACCCTCTAGCCCTAACCCTAGAAGCCCACAACCCTACAAGCCTGAACCCTCAACCCAAAACTTCTCACTTAACTTCAAGGTTGGATCCAGTAGTCGACAAGTCTCCACCCGCTTTATGGTTCAAGGGCTCAGGGATCTCCCGTAAGTAGGGACTTCGGGTGTTTCAAGGGGCTCATAGTGTCATAGGGGCTTAGGGGTTTCATGGCCACAGCCCTCTACCCTCAACCTTCAACCTTCTGAAGCAAAAGCTTCAACCACGTTCAGGATCTTGGGGGGTTGGCGGGCTTTGACCTTGTCGGGAAACGGTCTGGACTTCTTTGCCGCTTCTTTGGGGCCCATTTCTCAATCTTCCTTGCTGAAAGAGGGGTTGAGCGACACGCTGAGTATAGGGCTCGTTCAGAGTACTTGGGTCTTTCACCTAAATGGCCTCATGGAGCACTCTTTTTCCAGATGAGTCAAGGTTTCAGCTACAGTTACAGGGTGTGTGTGTGTGTGTGTGCCACAGTTTATCCAAAACTTACCATCTAAAAACCTGAGCCCTAAAACCTGAAATGCGAAGCTCGTCCGCTCCCCCCCCCTCCCACAGATCTCCACCTACTTGAAGATCTATGCCCGTTTCCACCTGCGTGGCGACCATCAGCAGGTTGTTGAAACTGCCGATGCCCGGTGCTGCGGGGGGGGTTTGGGGTTTAGGCAGACTTGAGGGGCTTGAGGGGCTAGGGGCTTGAGGGTTAGAGTTCAGGGCTTGGGGATCCGAAACCCTCAGCCCCAAGCCCCAAGCCCTAAGCCCTGAGCCCTGAGCCCTAAGCCCTAAGCCCCAAGCCCCAAGCCCTAAGCCCGACCCCAAGCCCGAAACCCTAAGCCCTAAGCCCTAAACCCTTCTTCTAAGGTTTGGGGGCTACCAGACTGCTTCCGGCATGGAGTTCAGTTGCCAGGGTTCGGGCTCAGGAAGTCTTTCAAAAGACCCGACAGGATGGATAGCAGAGTATCATATGGTATAATCTAGGTGGAATGTAGCAAAAGGTAGCATAACTAGTCGAATGTAGCAAGACATGGGCATGTTCGCTGATTTCGGGTCTTCTCCGTCTTTGCCAGCTCTCGCTGCTGGGGAAGGTTCAACCCAAGACAAGAAAATATCATCTGCACAAATGTAGCCTAAACCCTAAACCCTAAAAGGAGTGAAGGGTTGTTAAAAAAAAAACCCTGAACCAGAAACCTACACCCCAAACCCCAAACCAGAGACCAAAGGCAACAAGAGTCGCGGACAGTTGAGGCCTGGGCTGGTTTTCATGCGCCAAGCAGGGTTTCGGGTTTAGGAAATATGTGAAGATTCTAACCCTAAACCCTAAACCCTAAACCTTAAACCCTAGAGCTCCAGATCCGACGATCCTTCAACCAAGGAGGCTGTTGGGGCCGATTTGCTGTTCACAACCTGCTACGTCTGCGTGCCCTTGCTCTACAGAGTCTTGAGATACCACATGCGGCGAGTGGGCTCCAGTGTAGCAGAATACAAGAGCCTTGGGCGTTGTCAAGAAGATTGTTGTCAAACCCCCATTCTTGTCGTTTTGCACCTTAGGCTGTTCTTCTGCCCTTTGCCCCCCAAAACCCAAAAAAAGAACACATAGTGGCCCGCATTCTAGTGTGGGACTCTTACCTTGCACCCTACTGTTCACCCTTGGGTTTGGGGACCCCTTTCTAAAGGCCCCCTAGAAGGGAATAGAAGGGCTCTAACTTAGGTGTTCTTTAAGGGGTAGGAGTCTTAGTTGCTTGAACGGTGGGGGGGCTGTTGAGGCTCGAAGCAGAGGGTGGTTGGCAACACGACGGCAACGCGGGCGTGCGTGCGCAGGAGATCCTGGCACCTTGCTAGCAACCACCACCCAAAAACACACACAAGCCCCCAAACCCTACCCCCCCCCCAAACAAAGAAGCAAAAACAAACAAAAGGAGAACAAAGAAACAAAAATGGCGCGCTCACGTAGGTTCAACGCTTCTTCCCCGCTCTTTGCGTACATGTACATGGAGGCATGGAGGTTGTGCATAGTGCAAGTTCACATGTAAGTTAAGAACATAGAGAGGTTTCCCTTTTTTGCATATATGGTCAGTTCTCTAAGAATATGGTCCCTTTGGGGATCCTTATTTTAAGGCGGCCTCTATGGTTAAGGGTACCCAAAAAGGGACAATAATTTAGAGAACTAACCGTATACATCTATTTACATAGAGGACTTCAGGGACAGCTTAGGATGGAATGCAGAACAAGTTTGAGGAGCTCTTCATCGAGGACACCCTAACGCAAGGGTTAGGGTTTAGGGTTTAGGGTTGCCTAGGCATACCCCCCCCCACCCCCCCCTAAACCCTAAACTCCTAAACTCCTAAACCCTAAACCCTAAACCCTAAACCCTAAACCCCCAAAAAGGAACTGCAATGGCTGTTTCAGAGCCTTCACGCTGGGTCGCCCAGGGCCCACGGGAGCTGGTAGTCGAGCACGTCCTACCCCCCCTGGTTCTGAGGGAATCAGGGAATGAGGCCCTGCATGTACCGTTTAAGGGTTATATTGTGTACCTCATTCCCTCATTCCCTGCTGAGAACCAGCCAGATGAAATCGAGTTCTTGTAGTGCATAGATGATCTAGGGTTCATACTGAGGTTCTGGTGAGTGTATATGGGGGCTCCTTCTACTTCTTGATGAGGGGAGGAATTGGGTGTCCTTCTTGGGACACCGCACTGGGAATAAGACCCTTCTGCAAATCATTCTGCTCAAGCTTTGGGTTTAGGGTTTAGGGTTTAGGGTTTAGGGTTTAGGGTTTAGGGTTTAGGGTTCTGTTGATGCCCGCCCGCCTGGGTGATAGCTGCATTGCGCAGCACGACAGGCCGGCCAGGCGAGGTGTTTTGTCTGCCTAAACCCTAAACCCTAAACCCTAAACCCTAAACCCTAAACCCTAAACCCTAAACCCTAAACCCTAAACCCTAAACCCTAAACCCTAAACCCAAAACCCTAAACCCTAAACCCTAACCCCTAAACCTAAACCCTAAACCCTAAACCCTAAACCCTAAACCCTAAACCCTAAACCCTAAACCCTAAACCCTAAACCCTAAACCCTAAACCCTAAACCCTAAACCCTAAACCCTAAACCTAACCCTAAACCCTAAACCCTAAACCCTAAACCCTAAACCCTAAACCCTAAACCCTAAACCCTAAACCCTAAACCCTAAACCCTAAACCCTAAACCCTAAACCGTAACCCTAAACCCAAAACCCTAAACCCTAAACCCTAAACCCTACACGCTAAACCCTAAACCCTACAACCCCCCCCCCCCCCACCCTATGCCTTAAACTCTAGACTTCTAAAGCAAATTTTGGCGCGAAGCTTAGGGTTTAGGGCTTAGGGTTTAGGGTTTAGGGCTTAGGGTTTAGGGTTTAGGGTTTAGGGTTCAGGGCTTAGGGTTTAGGGTTTAGGGTCTGGGGAAACCCCAAGCCCTGAGACCCCAAGGTATCTTGAGATGCCAAGTTTAGTGTGCAGGCCATGTGCAGTCGGTTCAGGCAAAGCCGCCAGAACTATTGTCTGGAAAAAGCGCGCGTGGTTTCGGACATGAAGTTTTTGGTCTTAACATTTCAGGGTTTGAGGGTTTGGGGTTGAGGCTTAGTTGGTTTCAGAATAGGGTTTAGGGTTTAGGGTTCAGGGTTCAGGGTTCAGGGTTCAGGTTTCAGGGTTTAGGGTTCATTTAGGGCTTAGGGTTTAGGGGGTTTGAGGGTTCGGTTTTGGAACCTGAAGAGGACAGCCGTGACAAAGATGCTGGAGGCTACAAAGGCTGGAGGCGCTTCTGCAGCAAAGTGCCGCTTGCTTGCGTTCTTTCAGAGATGTCTGTCTTGTGTGTCAGTTTTTTTTGGGTTAGGAGGGGAGTGACAGCTTCTAGGGTTTAGGGTTTAGGGTTTAGGGTTTTAGGGTTTCGGGTTTCGGGTTTTAGGGTTCCGCGCCTTGTCGCGTCACGAAGGACAGTGGGCTTGAAGCTCCTGGTGTTGTTCTCGACGCTCATCGTCTTCTTCGGCCTGGCCTATCTGCAGTATAGCCTTGGACACGACATGCATCTTGGGTGTTCTATAAGGTTTAGGGTTTAGGGTTTAGGGTTTAGGGTTTAGGGTTTAGGGTTTAGGGTTCAGGGTTTAGGGTTTTGGGTTTAGGGTTGGATGTTCTTCAGAATGATGCTTCTGGATCTTGTCCGACACAGGAAGCGACATGGCGCATTCGGCTGAGGCCTAGATCCTGACAATTCCACATTCCACAGCCGTAAGCCCTTGCAACACAAAACTCTGAGTCGTCGCTCAAGCAGCCTCCCACGGCAAGACTGCCAACTCTAATCTCTGAACCCTAAACCCTAAACCCTAAACCCCAAACCCCAAACCCTAAACCAAAAGGTACTACGACTTGAAGCAGGGCCCCGATCTCTGGGAATCCACGGGCATCTTCATGTCACGAGTCATGGGATGCCCGAATGCATACAAGATTTTTGTTGCCCTAAACCCCAAACCCCAAACCCCAAACCCCAAACCCTAAACCCTAAACCCTAAACCCTAAACCCTAAACCCGAAACCCGAAACCCTAAACCCTCAACCCTAAATCCCCGGGTTGGACCTGGAGAATTTGGACCTTAATCCGTAAACTCGTACACCCCACATTGGGGACCTGGGAACTGTAGACTTGGGAAGGGCCACGACGGCTGACGCATGTCCTTGTCATTTCCGTTCTGAGCTACGGTTGATGGAGGAAATCTCGCGCCACCTTAAGGGACTCAGGGTTGTGCAGGCCTTCCTCCATCAACAGTAGGGTTTAGGGTTTAGGGTTTAGGGTTTTAGGGTTTAGGGTTTTAGGGTTCAGGGTTTAGGGTTTAGGGTTTAGGGTTTAGGGTTTAGGGCGCTTGCTGCACTTGCTTCACTAGATCAAGGGCGAACTCAAAACATCGGCAGCCTTCACGGGGAGCGGCGGGAATGCCAATGCCTCAGGGAGAATTACAACGTGGTAGTGGAAAACTCATCTCCACTCTGTGGTGCTGGATCGTCTAGGTGGGAGAAGTTTCGGGAGATTTGTGCCCCTTTCGCGCGTCGGGCATGCAACTGGCCTTACCGTCGCAGACGTTTCGAACACTTCGGCTGCGAGACACGGTGGATCTTAGCAACTTCTGCAAAACGGACTCGCCAACGTGGGCGGTTGATATGGAACAGCGTCCAGCCTAAACCCTAAACCCTAAACCCTAAACCCTAAACCCTAAACCCTAAACCCTAAACCCTAAACCCTAAACCCTAAACCCTAAATGCTAAACCCTAAACCCTAAACCCCTAAACCCTAAACCCCAATAAGCCCAAACCCCTGAGAGTTGCAAGTCTTGGGGTGGGACGGTCTGCTACGCGCTATACAAAAAGCACACTTCCGTCTAGGGTGTAGGGGGTTTAGGTTTAGGGGTTTAGCGTTTAGGCTTTAGGGTTTAGGGGGTTTGGGGGGTTTAGGGTTTAGGCCCTATCTTTTTTGGGCCGTTGAGCCTACACTATATGTCACATTCCATGGTTTGTGGCCAGCCGAGGGAAACACCATGTAGATCTTAACCAGACCGTTGCCCAATACGAGATTCTTGGATGTTCTCGACTTCGGAAGATTTTGTTGATTTTGAAAACGTTTGAGGTTTTGGATCAAGTGTTTGATTGAATTCAGGATTTGTGGCACACAGGTCTTTTAGATTCTATTTACTTTCCTCACGATGCGAGCTACCAAGGTCTGTACTTACCGACGATGAGCGCGATCGCGTCTATGACTTCCGGTGGTACAGCTTGTTCCTCTTGCCGGGGGTCGTGTGCGTGGTGTACCCTGGCCTCCACCGAAGCCTCAAACCCTGAACCCCTGATCCCTAGACGCGAACTTAAACGTTAAACAAGGTCAGTTTGTACGTGACAGGGGAAGGGAGTGGGACGGGAGGGGAGGAAAGGAAGGGAGGAGGGAAGGAGTGAGTGGTCCATCATCAATGCAGGCAGCACTCCTCCTTACTGTGGAAGGCACCTAAACCCTAAACCTTGAACCCTAAACCCTAAACACTAAATCCTAAACTAAACCCTACACCCGAAGCCTCTTCCGAAGCTCGAGCAGATTCTGGCCCATGTTGCTCTAATACCCACGTGTCCCGGCAGGTTTCACATGGCCTTTGGCTGTTCAGAAGCCCTAAACCCTAAAACCTAAACCCTAAACCCTAAACCCTAAACCCTAAATCCTAAACCCTAGACCCTAAACCCTAAACCCTAAACCCTAAACCCTAAACCCTAAACCCTAAACCCTAACCCTAAACCCTAAACCCTGAACCTAAGGCAGGCCACATTCTACTGGTTCCTGCTGGCCGCCGCCTTTGTCGTGGCCACGACACGGGTGAAGGCCAACACGGATCGCCTTCTGGTCTTCACTGCCCTCACCAAGGAATCTAAAGTCGCCCCGCGGCTCAAGAAGAAGTACCCTAAACCCTAAACCCTAAACCCTAAACCCTAAACCCTAAACCCTACACCCTAAACCCTAAACCCTACACCCTAAACCCTGAACCTTAAACCCTAACCCTAAACCCTAAACCCCAAACCCTAAGCCCTAAACCCTAAACCCTAAACCCCAAACCCTAAACCCTAAACCCTAAACCCTGAACCCTGAACCCCAAACCCTCCCTAAACCCTAAACCCTAAACCCTCAAGCCGAACATTCAAGCTCAAAGGTCTGAATTCTAGGTCCGCCCGAGGGTTTGGGGTTCAGGGTTCAGGGTTAGGGTTTAGGGTTTAGGTGTCCGCAGCCTCATGTTCGCTTGAGCCCTCCGCACGAGCTGAGGAGATGTGGACGAAGAAGAACCGCGACGAGTTGATGAAGACACCCGACGGATGCAGAACAGTTGAAACCCCAAGCCCCCCAGCCCTAAACCCCAAACCCTACACCACAAACCCGCAAACCCCAAGCCCAAACCCCTAGAAACCCTATAAAGACTGTAAGCTTTACAAACCCTGTAGAACCCTATAACCCTCCAAACCCGAAAAGCTCCTAAGCCCCAAAGCCCCAAAGCCTTGAAACTAACCCACTACCCCACCATGTCACCAAATTCCTCTGCATCTGGTGGAGGTGGAGCAGGGATGGACGTGATATTCCTAAACCCTAGACCCTAAACCCTAAACCCTAAACCCTAAACCCTACACCCTAAACCCTAAACCCTAAACCCTAAACCCTAAACCCTAAACCCTGCGTCTCGCGTGTAGGTCGGCTGGGTGGGAGGAGCGTAGGCGGGACCTGAGAGGCATCGTGGGGGTTTGGGGTGGGTTTAGGGTTTAGGGTTTAGGGTTCAGGGTTCTTCAGGGTCGGGGGTTTAAGGTTTAGGGTTGAGTAGCATGCAGGATCCCTGACCCAAAACTTCAAACCCTGCGACGCTCCCTACAACCCTTCGAGGATCTTTAAAAAGGTCCCCAAACCCAAGGGGGCGCTGCCTTAGGGGTGCAAGGTAGAGTCCCTTGAGAGTTTTTTTGGGGTTTAGGGTTTAGGGTTTAGGGTTTAGGGTTTAAGGTTTAGGGTTTAGGGTTTAGGGATTCTGCCCGAGGATCGTCTCCAAGCATTATGAGACGCAGCTGCCCAGCGATGCCAGTGAAGCCTTCAAGATCTTCACGGCCAGGGTTGAGGGTTTAGGGTTTAGGGTTTAGGGTTTCAGGGCTGCAGGATGTCGGGTGTATGATTGCAGGCTTCAGGGTTGATTCAGAATCTAAGTTGGCTCATCCGGCATATGTGTGTGTGTGTGTGCGTATATATATATATATGTATATATATATATATCTATATATGTATACATACATGTGTGTGTGTGTGTTGTTTGTTTTTTGGCTTTTGTTCGCGCCCATGTTCCGAAAAGGCGAATGCTACAACAAGACCTTGCGTAAACCACGGAACCTCTGAAAGCCCGAATCCCGAATCCACAAGCCCTAAACCCTCTAACCTCTAAACCCTCTCAACCCTCCAAAAGCTCTAAACCCTCCAAAAGCAAACCCTCCAAAAGCTCTAAACCCTCTAAACCCTCCAAACCCTCCAAACCCTCTAAACCCTCTAAACCCTCTAAACCCTCTAAACCCTCTAAACCTTCTAAACCCTCCCTCTAAACCCTCTAAACCCTCTAAACCCTCTAAACCCTCTAAACCCTCTAAACCCTCCAAACCCTCTAAACCCTCTAAACCCTCTAAACCCTCTAAACCCTCTAAACCCTCTAAACCCTCTAAACCCTCCAAACCCTCTAAACCCTCTAAACCCTCTAAACCCTCTAAACCCTCCAAACCCTCCAAACCCTCTAAACCCTCTAAACCCTCTAAACCCTCTAAACCCTCTAAACCCTCTAAACCCTCTAAACCCTCTAAACCCTCTAAACCCTCTAAACCCTCTAAACCCTCTAAACCCTCTAAACCCTCTAAACCCTCTAAACCCTCTAACCCTCTAAACCCTCTAAACCCTCTAAACCCTCTAAACCCTCTAAACCCTCTAAACCCTCTAAACCCTCTAAACCCTCTAAACCCTCTAAACCCTCCAAACCCTCCAAACCCTCTAAACCCTCTAAACCCTCTAAACCCTCTAAACCCTCTAAACCCTCTAAACCCTCTAAACCCTCGAAACCCTCGAAAACCCTCTAAACCCTCTAAACCCTCTAAACCCTCTAAACCCTCTAAACCCTCTACACCCTCTAAACCCTCCAAACCCTCCAAACCCTCTAAACCCCGTAAACCCTCTAAACCCTCGAAACCCTCGCGAGGCCGTGTGGGACGTGCGCCCCCTGGACCTCCAGGAGTGTAGAGTTCGGGGTCTAGGGGTTTAGGGTTTCGGGGTTTAGGCTTTAGGAGTTTAGGGTTTAGGGTTGAGGGTTTAGGGGTTTAGGGTTGAGGGTTTAGGGTTTTGAGTTTTTGTTGTTTTTTTTTTTTTTCTGTTAATGTGAGGTTACGGAGCCAGCCGAGCCCTCAACCCTCAACCCTCAACCCTCAACCCTCAACCCTCAACCCTCAACCCTCAACCCTCAACCCTCAACCCTCAACCCTAAACCCTGAACCCTAAACCCTGAGCCCTAAACCCTGAACCCTAAACCCTGAGCCCTAAACGCTAAATCACAGATGTTCCAGCGTAAGAGGTGGGGTTTAGAGTTTATGGTTTAGGGTTTAGGGTCCTTTTTGGGGCCTATGTCCAGTACGGCATGTTAAAAGAAGGGCCGCCAAAGGGACCTGAATTTAGGGAACCAACCCATTTCCTGTGAAGTTTGGGCACGTTCTGACCCAAAGGGTCACTCATCCGAGGATTTATGTCTGTCCCATGACCGAATCTTTTGTCGGTCCGCGTTCCAGCCCATTTGATGGGGAGGGTTTGCGGTGCAGGTCAGGGTGTCGGAATGAACCCTAAACCCTAAACCCTAAACCCTGAACCCTAAACTCTAAACCCTAAACCCTAAACCCCTTAAGAGGTTTAGGCATTGTGGGTTCCAGGGCTCAAGATTCAAAATGTGAGAAATGTGGGTAGGGGTTTTGGCTTCGTAGGGTCTTTGAAGAGGGATGTAGGGTTTCGGCTCTTAGGCCGTGGCTCCCTGAGGACGCAGACGATGTACGAGCCTGGTGGCTGCTGCGCAAGTACATGCACATCGACTTCAACGAGCCTGGGTTGCAGATTTGGGGGGTTCACGATATGAGGGGTATTGGGGTCCTTACTCCAAGGGGATCCTACTATTTGGGGACCTATCTTGAGGCCCCCCTATTTTCGTAAATTCCCCTCGTGCCTGGGATTTCAGCACCCTGAGCCCCCCAACCCGATTCCCAGAACTCAATGCCAAACGGTCTCTTAAGGGTTTAGGGTTTAGGGTTTAGGGTTTAGGGTTTAGGGTTTAGGGTAGCCCTTCGAAGCTCTCGAGTTAAAGCAAGCCCAAGAGCCCAAAGCCTACCAGTCTTCCATCTCCCATCCTCTGGCAATTCCCCCGTCACCATACTCTAGGGTTTAGGGTTTAGGGTTTAGGGTTTCTTTCCTAGTCAGCAGTCTTCCTCAGAGGTGGAAGCACTCAACCCCGAAGCCCAAACCTAACCAGGGTTTAGGGCTTAGGGTTTAGGGCTTCGGGTTTAGGGCTTAGGGTCTAGGGTTTGGGGTTTAGACGTGGCCACATACCCGGAACCCTAAACCCGACACCCTGAACCACGCATTCTCAGCTTGAGCGATCGGAAGCCCGCGATTCTCAGTGCCTCACCCTACTGGTTCTTTTCAATGGGGACTTAGGTGTAACCCTTTTCAAGTGTCTAACTAGGGTACAACTTCCCTGCTTCCCACGCGAAGACGCAGGGGGTGAGCGCACCAGCTCAGGACGAGTCGGCTTGCATGGACTTCTGCGGCATCGCAGTGGTAGCGCCTCCGTAGAACGCTTTTTTGCCAAAAGCCCTCAAACACCAAGAGCCACCCTGCGCTCTGAACCCCAAACCCTAAGTCTGGGAGTTTGTCTATATCTTTTTTTTTTTTTGGGGGGGGGGGGGGGGTTCAGGGTTTAGGTTTCAGGTTTAGGCTGTAGGGTGTAGGGTGTAGATTTCTGGGAAAACTTCTGCATACATCGGTCTTTTTCCAAGTCCTGCAGAGATTCTATCGAAAGCCAGCCTACACCCTCAACCCTAAACCCACACCATATCCTGCTCAAGTCTGGCTTGGGAATGATTCAGGCCCACGGCAGAAATCCCATCTGGCTCTTGTCTCGGTTTAGGCTTCTGGATTCTGGGTTTTGGTTTGGGTTTAGGCTTCGGTTCTACATGTCGAGAATCCCTGCTTCCGTCTGTTTCTACTTCTAGCTATTATATTATGGGAGCCCACTTCCTTTACAGCAGTCCTCTTAATCGCTTCCCCCTAAAAGTGAGAACCCTCTCAATGAGTAGGTTCCTATGACTGTTTTTTCGTGGGGGGGGGGAGAGATTACGAACTGGTGGTCGCTACCTTCAACCCGACCGGAAAAAGAACACCAGGTGCTCCTTTTCTGCTTCGCCGTGGCTGGGTTCCTTGTGTGGGTCGACAACCAGCGCCTAGGCACTGGGTGCGTTACCGTTTTGATTTTTTTCTGAAATTGTAGTCTCCAAGAACCCCTTGGCGATTCCCAAGTCAGCAATCGCCTGGGTTTCCTAAACCCTAAACCCTAAACCCTAAACCCTAAACCCTAAACCCTAAACCCTAAACCCTAAACCCTAAACCCTAAACCCTAAACCCTAAACCCTAAACCCTTAGAAGTTGAACTGAGGCTTGCGTCGTTGGAGCCCTAAGAAGTTGAACCGAGGCTTGCGTCGTTGGAGCCCGAAGCCTAGGCCCGAAACCCGAAGCCCCAAACCCGGGACCCTGTACCTTACACCCTAAGCACCGAATCACGCACGAACAGAGGCGGGTCGAAGGGTTTAGGGTTTAGGGTTTAGGGTTTAGGGTTTAGGGTTTAGGGTTCAGGGCTTAAAAGCCGCTTCGGCTTCGACGGGTAGGCCGGTCTACGGTTTGGAGGCTTGGGCACGGAAGGAGCCCAAAACCAAGACCCCGGAAGTTTCGTGAAGCGGCTTTTGGTCCCCAGATCCCTTGTGAGCCTCGAGGATCAACGGGAAGACGTTTGGGCTCTTCCTCCTCATCTTCCTGCTGAGCAACTTCCTCATTTTCATTATGAACTGGGCCTTTACCGCCCCTTGTATGGAATTTCAGGAGTTGCGGCCTGCAGGGTGGAGGAATCCTGCATCTTGGGTTTTGCTGAGCCGAACCTACTTTAACACATGGTCAGCTCTCGAATTTTGGGGCCGCTTTTTGTTTGGGTACCCTAGATAAGAGGCGCCTTATATTAAGGACCCCAAAAACGACCATATTTGAGAGAAGTGTCCATATTTCGTTTCGCCAACCTCAAAACCCAAACCACATCTTGATCTCCTTCACCATGGGACAGAGTAGGGCTCCGGGGTTTCCGAATCCTACCAAACCCTCAGCCAACTTTCTATCAGGGAATGAAGTGGGGGTTTACGGTTTAGGGTTTTAGGTTTAGGCTTCGGGTTTCGGGTGTCATGGGGTGTTATGCTTGCCTCAGAGCCGTGGCCGACGGGTTGCCAACCACTGCAAAGACATTGCTCCCTGTGGGAGCAAGGTCCGAAGAGTCTGGGCCGAGATGCAATGAAAGGGTGCTGCGATCGACAGGCCCGTGCCAAAGAAGCAGAGGTCGACGTGGCGAAGGCAAGCGTGCGAACTTTTTTCTCCGAGGACCAGAACGTAAACATGAAAGCCAGCGTGGTAGCATCTGCCCCAGAGACACCTACAACATATCTGTGTATATCTGTGTTGCAGGCAAGTCTGCGCGACGCACACGCGCCGTCCGCAGAACCGACGTGCAACGTTTCATCCGCGAACAATAGGTCTCCGATGAGGACCTGCCGTCAACTTCCCGGCTGCACGCGTATGTCTCATCGCAAACCCAGCATGGTCGCAGCTGCGCCCGAGAAACTGTAGCTGTCTGTATATCTGTGTTGCAGGTGGCGCCCAAGAACGTGGCCAAGGCTGCCGTGATGTTCGCGTGAAGCGAGAGTTGTTTTACACCAGCCGACGCAGGTGCGCAAGATGCCCGGTCTCCTGGTTTAGGGTTTAGGGTTTAGGGTCTGACGCAGCAAAGGTCCGCAACATGTTCCGACACGGCCGCAACGCCGCGGCAAAACGTTTCCTGCAGACACCCTTCTTGGCAATTAAGACTTGTCGCGCATATGTCAAGTCATCATGCTCAGGCCCTGGAGACTCCCGCCTGCGCGTCTTTCCAAAATAGACTGCTCGACAATCTCATGCTAGATTGTTGTTGTGAAGAAGATAAGGGCCTACAAGGTAAAAGTGTTGCTGGCAAGATTGATCTTTCAAGTTTGTGTTGTTTTCGAAAATGTAATTGGAGTGTGTCATGAATTACGAGGTGCTAAACCTTAAGCGGTAAAACCTAAGCCCTACACTTTCCTCAAGTCCTAAACCCTAAACCCTTAATCCTTAAGCTTTAAAGCTAGGCCTGCATCGACCAGAATCTGCTCTTGGAGCGTGACGGGCGGGTGTTGGTCGACGCCACACTCAGCACGCTCATGCGCCCTGATTCGAACCCAGAGGCCAAGAAGCTTGAGGGGCTTGGGGTTTGGGGGTTCGGGTTTAAGGGTTCAGGATTTAGGGTTTGGGGTTCGGCAATTGGGTAAGAAATTCCAGGATGGGTCTGAAGGGTTTGGGGCCTCGGGTTTGGTGGTTTAGGATTGGGGTTTTTGAGGGTTCAAGAAGGTTTGAGGGTTGGGGGGGTTCCAACAACCGTGACCACCAGCGTTTTTATTAGACTGTGTGTGCAGGAGCTTGAAGCCCGAATCCAAAATGCTCAGCATCGTCTGGGTGAAAAAAGAAGCGAATGTGGAAGCAGATTGTATAGACTTGGGTATTTTGGACCGTGTGTATTGTGGAATAGGAAACCCTAAGCCCGAAACCTGAAACCCTATATAAAACCCAAAGCAATAAACGACTTCAACATCTTCAGCCCCAAAAGCAAAACCCACTTTTTTCCGTTGTCTGCCACAGGAAGCGAAGCAACGTCAACAGGCTCCCACGGCGCTCGCTAATTTCTAGGGTTTGGATTTTGGGGTTTAGGGTCAGGGTTTTGGGGAGGCTCGGTTCTCGGATCCTTGAATAAGAGGGACGCTTTGTTCAGCTGTTTAATAAAGGGTGTAACTAGTTGGTGGACTCCCTGAATTCCAAATCCCCCCCCCCCTCCCTCTCAACTCTGAACCCCACACCCTAAACCCGAACCTCCCCCACCCAACTCTGAGCCCCCCCAAGCCCGAAACCCTAAACCCCAAGCCCTACTACCCCCCTCTTCCCCCCAACTCTGAACCCCAAACCCGAAACTCTGGATTCACGGGGGACTTGGGGGTTGCGGGTTTAAAAAGTTGAGCCACGACTGAGGGGCTCCAAGGGCCGAAAAGGGTTTAGGGTTTAGGGTTTAGGGTTTAGGGTTTAGGGTTTAGGGCTTAGGGTTTAGGGTTTAGCCCTTATGAGGGTGGTTATCCGCTTGTATTCCTCGTCAGTCTGGGGGTTGTGGGGCGTGGGTCAGGATCCGGGTGGTCTTTTGGGGGTTCACAAGGTTTAGGAACTTGAGGGGTTCCAGGGTGTTGAGGGATCCCGCTCGGGGCTTGTTACGGTTTGTTCATTTTTGGACATCGCGAGGTGGCGCTCCTACACCAAGCCATTCAGCGCAAGCTCCTTGCTCTGCGGAAGCCATGAAGGTTGGACCATAGCCCCCCGAAAGCCCCAAGTCCCCCAGAAATTTCAGGTTAACCCCTGAAATCGAAGAACTGGACCCCCAATTCTACACCTTGAACCCTCAATCTTTTGAGGGAATAACTTTGGAGGTTCCTGAGGTTAAAAACCCAGGAACCAAAAACCCTCAAGCCCTAAACCCTAGTGTGGGGTTCAGGATTTCAGGGTTTAGGGTTTAGGGTTTAGGATTTAGGGTAACCCTAAACCAAAGGGTTGAGGAAGTTGAGGCCGGGGGCAGCTCAGGATTGAGTCCTACGACGACAAGCAGCGGCTGTTTGGCGTTGAGGCGTGCCAAAATCCGCGCTCCGTGCTGCTGTTTGTAGGTTTAAGGACTCGGATCTAATTGCCTGGCTTTGGGTTCCAGATTTTAAGCTGCTGCTTGGAGGGCAGGTCTTGTCACGTCCCACTCTGGCCCCGACACCCTAAACCCTAAACCCTAAGCCCCAGGTCACGGCCAACTTGCGCAACTCCCTGCTGCTCTATGGGGTCACGACGGCTAGTGCGTCCGTGTGGAAGCTCATTGCCAACGTGCGAGAAGATCTGTGAGTGTCGCGAAGATTGCGGCTTGTGATTTATGGCTAACGGCTCAGTTACGGGCTTGCCCTAAACACCAATCAATCGACCCATGAAGCCCTTCGTCTTCGTAAGAGAGATGGGTTCAATGGCCCCAAATAACCCTAAACCCTAAACCCTAAACCCTAAACCCTAAACCCTAAACCCTAAACCCTAAACCCTAAACCCTAAACCCTAAACCCTAAACCCTAAACTCTCAACCCTAAACTCCAAGCCCTTCAACAGCTTTAGATTTTTCGCTTCCTTGCGGATGGCTCGGGCAAAGCTTTCCCTGTGCCACGCGCAACAGGAACCTTCTCTGGGGTGCTGCGTAGGGACTCCGTCAGTGAGGATGGCTGTTTAGGGTTTAGGGTTAAGGGTTCATCGTTCAGGGGCAAGTGTCATGTGTGAACGTAAGAAGATGTGCTAGGGTCGTGACGCCACGCCCGCTGACATGTCCAAATGCGGCCCTTTTCCCGCGAGTACTGTGCAAAAGCGGAAGGCGAGAGGAGGTTCAGTCAGTGAGGCAGTGACGTAGACCCTTCAACCCTAAGCCCCCAACCCGAAGCCCTCCCAACCCTAAGCCCTAAACCCTAAACCTCATGAGGGTTCGACGGTTGGGGCCGGGGCATGGGGAGGTTTACTCACAGAGGCCCATCTGACTCCTGTTCCGAAGCGTGATGGAAGCTCAAGCTCTTGACCCTGGATGAGGCGGTGCTTTGGGCTTAAGGACCCCTCAACTCTACGCCCCTAACCCCCCCTGAAACCCCTAAACCCCCCTAAACCCTCAACGCCAAACCCCTAAACCCCAAACCCCCAAAACCCTGAACTCTGCAGATTTTGTTTGGGGTTGGAGTTCGAGCCTTAAGCCCATGGAAGATCTTTTAGCTTCCGCGCAAGGGCTCGCTCTGAGTTAGGGTTTAGGGTTGTGGATCTTTTGTCCTCAGGAGCCCTACTATTGTAAGAATCAACTATAAAGGGGGACCGTGATCTTAGAGTAGCTGCAATATCCTGTACATCCTTGACAAGGCCTCAATCCTAGGTGTGGTGGGCTGGAGCTGATTTCGCGGAGTAACTGCCGAAGCCAATGCAAGCAACTTCGCACGCGATGAAAAAAAGGCTTTGAGAAACCCAAACCCTAAAACCCGAAACCCTAATCAAGCCCTGAACACACTACCTTCCTGGTTCGTAGCAGGGAATACTCCTGCACCAGCCCCAAACCTGGAAGCCTGAATCCCTAAGCCCTAAACCCTAAACCCTCCACCCTGAACCTTGAACTGTGCTTTGGAAAAACGGCATAGCCCAGACAGGTGTCTTGGTTCAGAGTTCAGGGTTTAGGGCTGAGGGTTCAGGGCTTAGGGTTCTAGGGTTTTGGTTGACCTTTGGGGTGCAGACATTCTGCTGGCTTGTGCTTCAAAATCAAGGGGGGGCTTGGGGTTCATCTTAAACCCTACACCAAGATATGCTTCTCGGCGCCGAGGAAGATTCGAGCCTGTTGGCTCCTACCAGTGTTCAGGGCGAGCTTCGGACGTGGAACCTGCGCACGGAAAATGCGCCGTTCTGGCTGACAGAACGTGGACGCAGCAGGTAGTTGCTGCAGCCCTGAATCCTAAACCCTAAGTCCTAAGTCCTAAACCCCTACGCCCATCCCAGCCTCTGATCCCCCCCTGGCTTGCGACATGGTACCCCTGCGCTGGCTGCTGCTGTCCTCTCTTGCGGTGGGCGCCGCCGCAGGCGCATCAGAGCGCAGACGCGCCAAGCCCCAAGCCCTTAGCCCCTCAGGAGCCTCAAGCCCTAGCACATTTCAGGACCCGACCTCCAACCCCAAGACCCCAGAATCGGTACGTAACCCTAAACCCTAAACCCTAAACCCTAAACCCCAAACCCTAAACCCTAAACCCTAAACCCTAAACCCTAAACCCTAAACCCTAAACCCTAAACCCTAAACCCTAAACCCTAAACCCTAAACCCTAAACCCTAAACCCAAACCCTATATGACCCTGAACCCTCAACCCTCAACCCTGACCCCAAACACCCCCCAGACAGAAAGGACAGAAAGACAAGGCTACCAGAAGTGAGTTCACACTCCCTGAAGCTTTCCGAAAAAACAGGGGGTCCCATGCCCTAAACCCTAAACCTTAAACCCTAAACCCTAAACCCTGAACCCTAAACCCTAAACCCTAAACCCTAAACCCTAAACCCCCAAAGCCCCAGAGCCGTGAGGCGCACCCTCCAACCGCTATGGCCATGCGATGGCCGCCGGCGAGGGCCAGCTCTATCTCTTCGGGGGCGCCGCGCTGGCGGAAGGGCCGGGCGGAGACCACCATGAGGCCGGGGTTTAGGGTTTAGGGTTTAGGGGTTAGGGTTTAGGGTTTAGGGTTTAGGGGTTAGGGTTTAGGGTTTAGGGTTTAGGTTTAGGGTTTAGGTTTGAGGGGTTTAGGGTTCAGGGATTAGGGTTGAGGGTTGAGGGTTTAGGGCCTATTTGTGAGATGGCCTTCGCAGTCGGGCGGGCCATAGCTGCCCTTCGCGCAGACAACCAGTTACTACCAAAGCCTTCGACTCTATTCTGGGACCCTACATTCACCACTTCTGCGCCCCATCACAGCAAGCCCTAAACCCCAAACCAAACAGCCAAACCGCTAAACCCCTAACCCCTAAACCCTAAACCCGAAACACCAACCCAGGCCCCCAACCTCCCCCCCTCCATCTGCTGTGAGACCAGCGAGCTCTGGCGCTACGACACAGCCGAGGCTTTGTGGACCGTGGTCCGAACCCTGGGTCTTGATTGAGCTTTACAGGGTCTGGAGCCCTTGGGCTTGGGGGTTTAGGGTTTAGGGCTAGGGTCTAGGGTTTAGGGTGTCGGGTTTAGGGTTTTGGGTTTAGGGCTCGGGTTTAGGGGGGCGGGGGGGGGGGGGGGGGGGGGGGGTTGGGGTTTGGGGCTCGAGCGGAGGCTCACTGTCGAAGGGTTTAGGGTTCATTGTTTCTCCCAGGTGCGGCTTTATAAACTTCACATAAGACCATGCAAGATATCTAGAACTCCTCAGTATACCAAGAGGACGATGAGCAATCAAAGCCAAGTTGAAATCTACAAGTTTATGATTGATGAAACGGAAGACACAAACGCCAAACCCTAAACCGTAAACCTCAAACCCTAAACCCTAAACTCAGGGTTTAGGCCCCCCTACGTTGGGGGGCGACGCTTAAGCCCTTCGACCTCGATGGCGCAAGCCGACCCAGGTCGCTCGCCTGCCTCCCACAGCATGGGGGTCGGTAGCGCCCACGATGGGCCTGGTACCGGAACATGTTTTCCTCGAGACCAGTACTGGTCCCTTGTAAAAAGTCATGACCTTGCAGGTGGCTGGCATTTTCGGGGGGTATTTGCGGCAGCGTGCCAAGGCGCAGGGCCTCAGGGGTCCTCAAAAAAACTGGGTTAAAATGTACCGGCCGCCTGGATTCCTCCCTGGCCCCCTTGGGCCCCCCCCCCCCCCCAAACCTCTAGCCCCTAACACAAAATCCATCCTGATACCCACCCCTCACCCCCCCTGTCCCCTCCCCTCCTTCCTGGCCCCCCCCTGACCTAGTTGTCTGGCCTTGCTGGTTTGCTTCCCCCCTACCATTCCTTTGACTCTCGGACCCAACCCCGAATTCATGAAACTGAATAAGTAGAAGTGGACTGTTGCCTTGAGTTTAGGCCTAAACCCTAAACGGAATAGGTTTGGGTGGCTTTGCCGCCACGTACCTCGTGGGGTGGGAGAAAAGTGTTAGATGGCCCTCCACAATCGGGCCAAAGCTGCTCCTCGCACCTCACGAAGCTTTCGAGCTTGTTCCGAAACCGACTTCACAGCACCTACGCCCTATCACAGCAACCCCTAACCCCAAACCCTAAACCCTAAACCCTAAACCCTAAACCCCAAACCCCAAACCCTAAACCCCAAACCCGAAACCCTAAACCCCAAACCCTCTCGGCTTTCCTCGGCCCTAAGCACCAGCAACTCAGGAGCCTCCCGGCCACCGGCACCGCGCTTAGGCCACGGTGTTGACGCTAGGTTGCGATCTTATAGGAACCCTAAGCCCTAAGCCCTGAGCCCTAAACCCTAAACCCCCCTGTGCGGCTTGCTTCTTAGGCTTTAGGGCTTTGGGCCGCTTCGGGCCACTTCAGTGGCCTCGGAACGGATGTTGTAAGGCATTCTTGAGGCTTGGAGCTTTCGTGCTGAGGGAGCGGTGTTGTTCAGCGCCCTGGGCCGACAACCCCCTAAGCTAACCCTAGGGGTTTAGGGTTTAGGGCTTAGGGCTTCGGCTTTAGGGTTTAGGGCACGAACACTGAACCTCTTTCCCAGGTTTGGCTGCCCGAGAACTCCTCTGTTTTGGTGTTCGGCGGCCGTACCGCGGCCTGCGTCCTCAGCGACCTCTGGCGCTGGCAAGCGGAACCCGAGACGGAGCACTGGGATGGAAATGGGGGCGACAAGGGTCCCTGAGCCCAGACAAACCCTGAACCCTAAACCCTGAAGTCTCAAACCCTAAACCCTAAACCCTAAACCCCAAACCCCCCCAAACCTCAAACCCGAAACCCAAAAGAGGACTCCTGGGTGCGGCTCCACTCGACCGGCCCCGGTCCCACTGCGCGCTTCGGGCAGGCGATGCTGCGGCACCCCACGGACCGGCTTCGGGTTCATATAGGGTTTAGGGTTTAGGGTTTAGGGTTTAGGGTTTAGGGTTTAGGGTTCAGGGTTTGGGGTGGGACGGGGGGGAAGCGGGGAGGAGGAGGTTCTCCTTTTTTTGGCAAGATTTGGGGGTTGCAGGGCCTGCTTATGTTTTTTTGGAGGGGTTTGGGCTTGAGGGTGCGCTGGGGCTTTAGGATAAGGGCCTTTTTTTGGGGTCATGAATGGTTTTCTTGGGTCATGCTCGTACCCTAAACCCCCTAATCTCGTATGAGCCCCCTAAACTCGTGAACCGGAAACACGGTTCAGGGCTTCGGGTTTGGGTTTAGGGTTTAGGGCCAGGGCTTAGGCTTTAGGGTTTAACGGCACAAGTTCCAGGAAAACGCATTTTGGCTGCATGGCGGCGCGGGTGGCGCAGAGGGTCATGGCCACGGCCAGGGCCTCCACGACGAGCCTTGGAGGGGGTGTAGTTTAAACCCTAAATGCTGGGATTTAAGCCCTAAACCCTAAACCCTTAAAGCCCTAAAGCCAGAAAAAAAAAAAACCCTAAACCCTTAAAGCCCTACAGCCAGAAAACGCTTAAAGCCCGGAACCCCCCGAAGCCCGAAAGGCCCTTGCATGCCAGCCAAGGATCTATGGCTCTGCCGAATCTTGGGGGCATGAGAATTCCCTGCCGCCGTCAGGGTTTGGGGTTTAGGGGTTGAGGGGTTTGGGGTTTAGTGGTTGGGGTTTAGTAGAGCTTCCCCTTAAACCCTAAACCCTAAACCCTAAGCCCTGAACCCAAACATCACTTTCGCCGAACCGACTTCATCAGTCCGCATACCCTAAACCCTGAACCCTGAACCCCAAACCTTAAGCCTTGAACCCCAAACCCCAAACCCCAAACCCTAAACCCTAAACCCTAAACCCTAAACCCTAAACCCTAAACCCTAAACCCTAAACCCTAAACCCTAAACCTAAACCCTAAACCCTAAACCCGCCCGCCCCCCCTCAAAGCTCTATTGGGGTAGGCGGGCGCAGTCGAGCGTTCAGCGAGACCAGGGCAGGCTCTGCTGGGCTGCAGAGCCTGCCAACCGCACCCCTGAGGGGTCGCCAAGCTAGAGTCGCCTAGCATAGTCACTATAAATATTGTATAACCCTAAAACCCTCGGGGGGGATCCTTAGCCTTTAAAACTGGCTCCTGGGCCTGGAGGCCCCTCAAGGCGCCTGGAGGCCCCTGAGGCCCTTGGAGGCTTCTGGAGGCCCCTGGAGGCCCCTGCAGATCCTGGAGGTCCGCTAAGGCCCCTGGAGGCCGTTGGAGGCCCCTGGAGACCCCTGGAGGCCCCTGAAGCGCCTGGAACCTGAAGGAGGCCCTCCTGGGGGCCCTTCATGGAGGCGCCTGGAACCCTGCGGATCTCAGAGGACCTGGAGGCCCTGAAAGTCTCGAGGCCCCCTTGAGGCTTGTGCAAAGCTCGGATGTGGAGGAGGCCTCTGGAGGCCCTAAATTGCTGGGAGGCCCCGGAAACCGTGAAGGGTCGTGGAGGCCATTGAGGACCCCTGCAAGCCCGTGAGGTTCTTGGAGACCCCTGCTGGCCCGTCCTTTGTCTTGGCCCCAAATAAGCCCCAGGCCGCAACCTATTCACGCCTCCTTTGCCTTATGGCCCCAGGCTGCAACCTACTCACGCTTGAGTTTTTCTATGAGAAGGCCCTTCGGCCCAGACCGTCCCCTTCGCAAAAACCTAAAAGGGGATCCTTAGCCTTCTGGCCTCCCAAGTGATCCCCAATCGGCAATTGCGAGGGTCCTTCGGCCCAGACCCCCCTTCGCACAAACCTTCTGGTCCCAGGTGACCCAGCGTTCATGCCCTGATATTTGCTATGAGAGGGCCCTTCGGCCCAGACCTTCCCCTGCGCAAAAACCTGGGGGGGGGGGTCCTTAGCCAATCGCAAATGTCCCAAGCACTCTCAGTCTTTCCTCTGAACTGTTCGATGTTTGAGTTGTGAATGGTTGGCTTGGCTTGGGCTGGCTCCGGTTTGGTTCGCAATGAGTTGTGATTGGGTGGCCTTGGGGTGGGCATGTCTTCACACTATTGCGTTCAGCTGACCCGTGCTACACCCTAAACCCTAAACCCCAAACCCCAAACCCCAAACCCTAAACCCTAAACCCTAAACCCTAAACCCTAAACCGAAGCTGAGGCATGGGCCCTGGGCCTCTGGAGGCCCTGTGGCAGCGGATCCATGACGCTGGGGGCCCGAGGCCATCCTTGGGTTTAGGGTTCAGGGTTTAGGGTTTAGGGTTCAGGGTGTAGGGTTTAGGGTTTAGGGTTTGGGGTTTGGGGTTCGGTTTAGGGTTTAGGGTTTAGGGTTTAGGGTTTGGGGTGCGGTTTAGGGTTTAGGGTTTAGGGTTTAGGGTTTGGGGTTAAGGGGTCTAGGGGCCTTTGGTTTTCGGAGTTTTAGGGGGAAGTTGGGTTCGGGTTTTTAAAGAGTTTTTGAGCTTCAAAGGGCCAGTGCGAGGTGTTGGTAGGGTTTTGGTGGTTTGAATCTAGGGTTGTGGCCAAACCAAAAAGCAAAAGAGCAAAGCAAACCTGATGCAGGGGGGGCCCTAAACTCTGTTATATTCCTTTTTCAAAGTGCCCAGTTCGGTACAAGGTCAATTTTTGGTCAATTCTGTACCCTGATGCGCACTTCGGCCTCCCCACCCACCTTCACCGAGCCCCTTGCCTGACACTCTCGACCAGGTTTTGGCGAACCCTAAACCCTAAACCCTAAACCCTAAACCCTAAACCCTAAACCCTAAACCCTAAACCCTAAACCCGAAACCCTCAGCCTTCTGCAAGAGTTTTTGTTTCTCGCAGGCCCCAGGCCCGCGCGCTTCACGCTCTGGCCTATGGATTCCGGGTTGGCGTTAGGGTTTAGGGGTTTAGGGTCTGGGGTTTGGGGTTTAGGGTTTTGCTGTGAAACCCTGAACCCGAAGCCCGAAACCCTAAACCCTAAACCCTAAACCCTGAACCCTGAACCTTCAACCCTAAACCCTAAACCCTAAACCCTAAACCCTACACCCTAAACCCTAAACCCTGAACCCTGAACCCTGAACCTTCAACCCTAAATCCTAAACCGTCCCAAATCAAGGAACTGGCAACCTCTGGATGCACGGTGGGTATGGTGGTGAGGATCTCGGGCGGCCCTTGGATGACACTTGGCGCCTTGGCTGCTGAGGGTTCAGGGTCTAGGGTTGTCCCTTTAGGGTTTAGGGTTTAGGGTTTAGGGTTTAGGGTTTAGGGTTTAGGGTTTAGGGTTTCGGGTCTAGGGTCTAGGGTTTAGGGTTTAGTAAGAAGATTGGGCCAGGTATTTTGGGCGGTGGGTTTGGTGTTTGGCCAATGTTTTGTTTAGGGCTTAGGGCTTCGTGTTTGTAGTTTAGGGTTTAGTAAATGTTGTGTTTAGGGCTTAGAGGCTTAGAGCTATGGGTTTAGGGTGTAGGGATGTGAGGGTATATGGTATTTCACAAAGACCCCCTTGAAATGTCAGGTCGATTGTTTGTGAAGGGTATTGGGCTCTCTGGGGAGGCACCACGCGAAGTTGTGGGACTCCTGGGTCGCAGGGATCTAAGCCCTAACCCCTAAAGCCTAAACCTAAACCCTAAACCCTAAACCCTAAACCCTAAACCCTAAACCCTAAACCCTAAACCCTAAACCCTAAACCCCAACCCCCCCCTCAGGTTCTTCAACCTGGAGGAGGGGCTTTGGTCAGAGCTGCAACCTGGTCCACCTCGTCAAGGCCACATCGCTTTCTACGCCGGTGACGCCTTCTGGACTCTCGGGGTGCGGTTGCTGAGGGTTTAGGGTTTAGGGGTTTAGGGGTTTAGGGGTTTAGGGGTTTAGGGGTTTAGGGGTTTAGGGGTTTAGGGGTTTAGGGGTTTAGGGGTTTAGGGGTCTAGGGTTTAGGGGTTTAGGGGTTTAGGGTTTAGGGTTTAGGGCACCCTAAACCCTAACCTTCTTAAAGCCGAAACCCTGAACTCTGAATCCTAAGCCCTCAACCCTAAACCCTAAACCCGGAGCCCTCATCACTGAGCCCTAAATCATTGTTGAAGGTTCGGGGCTGGGCTTTCCTACATACTATTCAGCTAAAGAAGGTTCCAGAAATTGGGCGAACTGAGGGTTTTGGGAGTCGGGTTTTGGGAGTAGGGTTTAGGGCTGCTGGGTTCAGGGGTACTGGGGCCACTGTGCACTTGTGATTCTGCTTGCCTACCTGGTCGCCCAGTTCTGCCCTGTTGGGCTCCAGGTTCCCTCATTAGGGTTTAGGGTTTAGGGTTTAGGGTTTAGAGCTTAGACAAATACCAAAGCCCGAGGTTGTGAGGTCGTTCGCCCAAGTGCCTGGACGGCCCAAATCTCATACTTAAGGATTCCAGAATCCCGAATGTCCAGGGATCGGGTTTTCCTGCTTATTGGTTGTAGCTTTACAGAGCACGGCTCAAGATCAGGAGGTTGGTTCTGGAGAGTCGCGGCTTAGGGTTTAGGGGTTTAGGCTTTAGGGCTTTGGGGGTCTAGGGGTGCAGGGGTTTGGGGTTTCGGGTTTAGATTTTAGGGTTGACTTAGGGTTTTAACCTTCTGGGGCTTATGGAACCTTACCTACCCTACCCTTTTTCTGGCTACTACTCGCGCGTGGTGCAGCTGCGTATGGTAAAGAATCGGTGGGCGGGAGCATCTGTGCAAGATGAGGCTGGTTCATCCAGTTGGGGGCGGGGGTTGTGGTGGTTGCGGGAACTCGGAAAAGGTTCGTGAGTTGGCCTGCGGGGTGGGTCTGGGCGGATTGGGGGGCGGGTTAGGGGGGGAACCCCTGTAAAGCTAAACCCTAAGCCCTAAGCCCTAAGCCCTAAGCCCTAAGCCCTAAGCCCTAAACCCTAAACCCTAAACCCTAAACCCTAAACGCTAAACCCTTTGCTAGAAGATGGCTAGAGAGGGCAAGCCCAGGATCTATGGCAGCAGCGGGTCCTCCATGGTAGCGGACATGTTCCACTACGATGCCTTGCGTGACAGGCGCGCATAGATAAACCCTAAACCCTAAACCCTAAACCCTAAACCCCAAACCCTAAACCCTAAACCCTAAACCCTAAGCCCTAAGCCCTAAGCCCTAAGCCCTAGACACCAAGCCCTAAACCCCAAACCCCCAAACCCCTAAACCCCAAACCCGAACCGAAGGGCGGAAGCCTAAGTCTCAAACGAGTTTCCGGTTTCGGGTTTCAGGCTTATCTTGGGGTTTAGGGTTTAGGGTTTAGGGTTTAGGGTTTGGGGTTTAGGGTTCTAATTGGGGTCTTTTCTGGTGGTCCCTGTGGGCAGCCCCAAAACAGGGAACCCCAAACCCCAAGCGTTCCACCTAAACCCTTGGAAATCCCTCAGCCCCCATGTAGGCCATATAACCCCTGAACCCTGAACCCTAAACCCTAAAACCCCACAACCGAAAACACGAAAACACTAAGCCTTAAACCCTAGGACCCCAACCCTGAGCCCTCAGACCCCTGCAAACGCCCTCCCCTTATCTAAGGTCGGAACCAGGGGCTCTTGGTTTTATAAGGCTCCGAAGTATGGGCCCTCATGATGTATAGTGTGCATAAGGGGTGTGTGATAAATTACGGTCCCTTTTTGGGTACCAATCATAAGGGCTTAATTCGGGTCCGGGTTTGCCGCATTTTTCTTGCTTTTGGTCGATTCATCCAACTGAGAAGAAAGTATGCTCAGGTCTTGCTGGTTTTGTAAATCATTCATAAGCGCTGTGGGGTTTCTTGCTCAACATTGTGAGGGTTCAGACTGACGAAGGTAAATTGAGGCCAGAAAACGAACCACAAACCGGGGTCGCCAGAGTCAACAAAACGCTTGGGTGAGACGACGTCTCTTGGTCGAAAATGAACAGTAGATCGAGACGAGTTCAACCGTGCTTCTTGTGGGGAAACAGCGTCGGTCCCAAGGAAACGTGTCGGTTTTGATGCCCAAACAAGCTTCGGGTGATTCGGGTGAAGCGTGCAACCTTGCATCTCCACACTGTGCTGGAGGAGGCTTGTGCGTGCACAAGTATACAACCCAACATCAAGAATTTCTCGCCCTGAATCAAGCTATCTTCTGCCCTAAACCCTAAACCCTAAACCCTAAACCCTAAACCCTAAACCCTAAACCCTAAACCCTAAACCCTAAACCCTAAACCCTAAACCCAAAAGATGCAGCAACTCTCATCCTTGCCTCGCAGGGCTTTTTTGTGCCAAGCATGCCTCGGGTCGTTGATGCTGTTGAGAAATTTAAGTCGGATGGGACAACCTGGCCAAGACCAGCGCGGTGTCTGGTGATATATATATATATATATATATGTATATTTATAGATATATATATATATGTATATATATATATATATATATTTATTTATTTATTTATTTACAGGAATGGCGTGGTTCAGGGGCGAAGCCCTGAAGCGCACGCACGCTGTAGCTGTCGCGCAGCTTTTGACCACAAAAAGTGCGTAGGACTTGGCGAAAAGGCTCTGGAGAGCCATCAGCCTGTCAGCCAGGCGCTGCCGTCAATCGCACGGCCTCAAATCGCAACGTCGGCAGGGCGTGCGCCCCAACATTATGATGTGATTCCCCGGTAGGCGGCCGCAAATCGTAGCGTCGGCAGAATGCGAGCGCGCCAACGTTATGGTCTGGATCCCCGATGCAGGGCCTCAAATCGTAACGTTGGAAGGGTGCGAACACGGCAACGTTATGGTGTGAATCCCCGATAAGGGGCCGCAAATCGTAACGTTGAAGCGCGCGTAAAAAAAGACTGAATATAACCCTTTTTTACGTGCGTTACGATTTGAGGCCTTATATAGGGGATGTCCACAACCCTGCTGATGTGACGGCTGGGCCGCTGGCTGCGCTACCAAAAGCAGGGCAGCGAGCGCGGACATCGGAACCTTAGAATCGGCTGGATCCCCAAAAACTGAGGAGACTACCCGAGAAAATACCTAAGGACCTAAACCCAAACCCCCAACCCCCCAACCCCCAAACCCCAAACCCCCAACCCCCAAACCCCAAACCCCAAACCCCAAACCCGAAACCCCAAACCCCAAACCCCAAACCCCAAACCCGAAACCCGAAACCCGAAACCCGCAACCCCAAACCCCAAACCCCAAACCCCAAACCCTAAACCCTAAACCCTAAACCCTAAACCCTAACCCTAAACCCTAAACCCTAAACCCAAATTAAGGGCCCATACTTCGGATCACTTACCTTCGACAAGGTGGAGCTCCGTGGCGGCGGGTGCGGGTTTCTTGCCCGCGCAGCGCACTGCGCATGCTGCGGCCTACGCAGAAGGCTTTGAGGGGGGGGGTTAGGGGTTTAGGGTTTTGGGTTTAGTGGTTTAGGGTTTTTTAGGGTTTAGGGTTAGGGGGTTTAGGGTTTTAGGGCTCAGGGGTTTAGGGGTTTAGGGGTTTAGGGGTTTAGGGGTTTAGGGGTTTAGGGGTTTAGGGGTTTAGGGTTTAGGGTTTAGAGGTTGGGGTTTGAGTTAGGGTTTAGGGTTCAGGGTTGGGAGTTGAAAACCCCCAGGTGCAGAACGCTTAATACTACTGCGGTACTACATTGCGCTGCCCATCTATTCAAGGAGCCCTACTTAGGCACATACGGCCCCCTTGAAGCTACACCGGCCCAACCGCCAACCCTAGGGTTTAGGGTTTAGGGTTTAGGGTTTGGGGTTTAGGGTTTAGGGCTCCAAGTCGGAGGCACCCTTTGGTTGCACGGCGGCACTCCGGCGGACAACCGCAGCCAGAGCTTGGGAGACCTCTGGTCCCCCTGACCCCAAGTGAGCATGTTTTCGGGCTTCCTTAGGGTTTAGGGTTTAGGGTTTAGGGTTTAGGGTGTAGGGTGTAGGGTGTAGGGTTTAGGGTTTCTAGGGTGTAGGGTTCGGGTTTAGGGTTTAGTGGGGGTTCGAGGGTTTAGGGTTTAGGGTTTTGGCTTTCTAGGTTACGGAAATTTTCTAGAGGGTTTCTAGAGGGTTTCTAGAGGGTTTCTCTGCATTTTCGGGGAGCCCTTTAAGCCCTTGAACCCTTAACATCCTTAAAACCCTTAAAACCCTAATTAGACCCGTTAAACCCCAAACCCCATAAACTGCCTCCTTAAATGCTCCCTCCACGCGCCCCATCCAGCCTGACTCATCTCCCAGGGCATGGCAAGCAGCCTCGGGGGATTGGCATCTTGAGTCGGAGTACGACACGTTGGAGATGCAGAACTTGAGGTGGGGGGGGGGGGGGTTCGGGGCCTGGTTTAGGGGTTTAGGGGTTCAGGGGTTCAGGGGTTCAGGGGTTCAGGGGTTCAGGGGTTTAGGGGTTTGGGGGTTAAGCGGTTTAGGGGCAAGGGGTCTAGGGGTCTAAGGGTCTCGGGGTCCAGGGGGCTAGGGGTCGGGGTTTAGGGGTTAGGGTTTAGGGGTTAGGGTTTCTTCTAGGATTTAGAGCGTCAAGCCCAGCAGGCACTCAAAGCGCCGCAGAGTTTTGCAGCACGGGCTGTCAGGAAGAAGAAGGGTTCCGGGTTTAGGGTTTAGGGTTCAAATTCTGGGGCTTTGGGTCTAGAGAGCTTAGGGTTTCTTGGGGAGGGGAGGGGAGGGGAGGGGAGGGATCTAAGCAAGTGGGCAACTGAGAGGCCACGGAGCCCCTTGTAGGCCACAAGCCTTCAACTTTCAACCCTTAAACGCTCAGCCCTTCTAGGGTTTAGGCTTTAGGCTTTAGGCGTTAGGCTTAGGCTTTAGGCTTTAGGCTTTAGGCTTTAGGCTTTAGGCTTTAGGCTTTAGTGGTTAGGCTTTAGTGGTTAGGCTTTAGGCTTTAGGCTTTAGGCTTTAGGCTTTAGGCTTTAGGCTTTAGGCTTTAGGCTTTAGGCTTTAGGCTTTAGGCTGTAGGCTTTAGGCTTTAGGCTTTAGGCTTTAGGCTTTAGGCTTTAGGCTTTAGGCTTTAGGCTTTAGGGTTTAGGCTTTAGGCTTTAGGCTTTAGGCTTTAGGCTTTAGGGTTTAGGGTTTAGGGTTTAGGGTTTAGGCTTTAGGGTTTAGGGTTTAGGGTTTAGGGTTTAGGGTTTAGGGTTTAGGGTTTAGGGTTTAGGCTTCAGGCCTTAGGGTTTAGGGTTTAGGGTTTAGGGCCACCCCCAACCCCCACCGCAAACAGAGGCACTTCGCCGGCGGCCTCGCCTTGAGTTCCGGGAGCTTCCTCCTCGCCCTCATGGTGCCCTTCTGCTGCCTCCAGCTCCGGGGGCGGCGGAGGGTCCTGGGCTGCCCCTTGGTATAGGGTTTAGGGTTTAGGGTTTCGGGTTTAGGGTTTAGGGTTTCGGGTTTCGGGTTTAGGGTTTAGGGTGTTGGGGTCTAGGGTGTCGGGCTTCTGATGTGGGGTTTAGGGCTTTGGGCTTGGGGTGTCGTGTTTGGGGCTTCGGGTTCAGGGATTAGGGTCTCGGGTTTAAGGGTTTGGGGTTTGCGGTTGGTGATTTTCGGAGGGCTCGGCGTTTGGAAGATGTTTCCTTGGCCTTGAAACCCGAAACCCGAAACCCGAAACCCGAAACCCGAAACCCTAAACCCTAGACCCTAAACCCTAAACCCTAAACTCTAAAACCTAAACCCTAAACCCTAAACCCTTAGAGGTGGCCTCTGTCGGCCCCTTGGCTGGAACCCCCGCCGCTGGGCACTCTTCGCCGGCGGGGCGACTTTCACCATGTTGGCCTGGAGCGACCCGGCTTTCAAGAAAGGTTCTAGGTTTAGGGATTTAGGGTTCGGGTTTAGGGTTTAGGGGTCTAGGGGTTTAGGGGTTTAGGGGTTTAGGGGTTTAGGGGTTTGGGGGTTTAGGGGTTTCGGGGTTTCGGGGTTTAGGGGTTTCGGGGTTTCGGGGGTTTGGGGTTGGGGGGTTTTGGGGGTTTGGGGGTTTAGGGTTTAGGGTTTTGCTCCCTGTGATAGAGCCCTGCTGCAGGTACCCCTGATTTTCTACATATTAGCACAGCTCCCAAATTCAATACCATGACCGCCTCCCCTCCCTCCAAGGCTATAATTGCACATTGTTGCTGTTGATTTTTCCTATGATTATTACTGCTATTCCTATTGCCACTACCAAGGAGGGAGGAGGAGGCAGGAGGAGGAGGAGGAGGAGGAGGAGGAGGAGGAGGAGGAGGAGGAGGGAGGAGGAGGGAGGAGGAGGCGGAGGAGGAGGAGGAGGAGGAGGAGGAGGGGAGGAGGAGGAGGAGGAGGAGGAGGAGGAGGAGGAGGAGGAGGAGGAGGAGGAGGAGGAGGAGGAGGAGGAGGAGGAGGAGGAGAGGAGGAGGAGGAGGAGGAGGAGGAGGAGGAGGAGGAGGAGGAGGAGGGAGGAGGAGCGCACCTCAGGGTAGCTTCATTTTCTGAAACAAGTGCTGAAACAAGTTTGGAAGTCTTGGCCTTAACAGCCCCCCTAAACCCTAAACCCTAAACCCTAAACCCTAAACCCTAAACCCTAAACCCTAAACCCTAAACCCTAAACCCTAAACCCTAAACCCTAAACCCTAAACCCTAAACCCCAAACCCCAAACCCCCAAACCCCAAACCCTCCCAACAGGCCTCGGGGTGATGACGGCCATGGCCTTCGCGCAATGGCTGGCAAGCCCGGATCGAACTGGCATCCCGTTAAGCTTCCTCCTCGGTGCCGCAGGCACCCTCGACCCTAAACCCCAAGGCTCCGAAACCCCGACAACACAACCAACACGCCCCAAAACCCTTCAAGACCCCCCTAAAGGGCCCCCCAAGCCCCAAAATCTCGACCCCAAAGAGCCCACTTTTTTCCCGCAGCCCCCAAACCCAAAACTGCTCTCAAACCCTAAAACCCTACTTTGAAATCCTGAAGCCTCCAACCCCCACATCGTTTCCTAAGCCCCCAAAGCTCTGAAACTCCCTGAAACTCCTAAACCCTAAGCCCGAAACCCTAAACCTTGAAACCCCTAAACTCGAAGCCCCAAGCAGGGTCTGCAAGCGCAGCAGCAGCCTTCGGCGCCGCGTCGGGCGTGCTGCTCTGCTTCTTCGCGTGCGCCGTGGCTCCCAGGACGCCCCAGGTATTTGTTGACTTTGGGGGGGGGGAGAAGGGTTTAGGGCTCCGGGTTTTTGTGCTGCTAATCTACGGCGGCAACCAAAATGTAGGGTACCAACATTTTTGGAGAACTGACCAGCTCGAATGGTCATTTCCCTAGACTTCCGGGCAAAATTTAAGACGTGCAGGAGACAGAAGAAATGAGCGAACCCCTGACATAGGCGGTAGCCCTCAGCCCTAAATTTAAGAGCCTCCGGCTCAAGCCGCCGACCCCGCCAGAGCATAGTTGAAAGGTCTAAACCCGCTCGTCGGCTCAAAGGATGCTTTCCTCATCGCATGGTTCGAAGAGCATCGCAGCCTGCTCGGCAGAATCCCAAAAAGTTGTGAAACGCTCGCGCCTCTGTGAAACCTGGGGGGGGGTGGGGGGTAGCACCAGGACCCAAATGGGGCAATTCAAAGGCCCCGTGTTTGGGTGGGGGGGGGGTAGCAGGTGCCTGATTACAATCCTTGAAGTGCGGGGGGGAAAGGTATGCGAAACCGCCTATGGTCCATGAGTTTATGCGGTGTGGGTGGCCTGGCCCTCCACGGAAAAGCTGCCGGGGTACCCCCCCCACCCCCCCCCCCCCCCCCCCCCCCCCCGCGTTTTGGGAGGGAAAAAGGGAGGTTTTCCTCCAGAAACCTATCCAACACGCCGCCAGGGTCGGCGGACCCCTAAACCCTCAGCCCGTCAGCCCTAAACCCTAAACCCTAAACCCTAAACCCTAAACCCTAAACCCTAAACCCTGAACCCTAAACCCTGAACCCTACACCCTAAACCCTAAACCCCAAAGCCGAATGACCATTCTAGCTCGCGGAGGATGCAGGGCTCCTATGAGCCCATGGAAGACCCGATGCATCTGGCGCTTGCCTTGCTGGACGCCGACATCAAGCTGGTCCGCCTCGAGTTCCTGCGCGAGTCTCGGCAGCTCTTTCGGTTTTATTAGAGGGTTAGAGGGTCATATATAAGGTCATACAGGGTTATATAGGGTTATATAGGGTTATATAGAGAGTTGTATAGAGAGTTGTATAGAGAGTTGTATAGGGTCATAGAGTAGCCGCTTCTTGCGAGCTTTGCAGACTTGCTCGGAGCACATCTTCTCCATGTCATCCCCAAACACCTCGTTCCAAGAGCCCAACCCCTCACCCTGAAGTAAGCCTTGCAACCCGAAGCCCAACCTGTCCCCCAAACCCCCCAAAATACCTTGAAGCCTTTAGCCCTAAACCCTAAACCCTAAACCCTAAACCCTAAACCCTAAACCCTAAACCCTAAACCCTAAACCCTAAACCCTAAACCCTAAACCCTAAACCCTAAACCCTAAACCCTAAACTACCCTAAACCCTAAACTACCCTAAACCCTAAACCCTAAACCCTAAACCCTAAACCCTAAACCCTCAACCCTAAACCCTAAACCCTAAACCCTATCGAAGCTCCTCCCAGCCTTAAGGAGCTGCACGAGTCCCACGGCCTGTGGCCTCGCCGACAGGAGGCCGAGAGGCTGCGAACTCGCTCCGGGCGCCCGGCGCTCCTCAGCCACTCGGAGGCCGGGTTGTGGGGGTGCAGCTGCGTGCCTACCTTTGGAGGCTAGGGTTTAGGGTTTAGGGTTCAGGGTTTAGGGTTTAGGGTTTAGGGTTTAGGGTTTGGGGTTTGGGGTTTAGGGTTTAGGGTTTAGGGTACGGTCTCATACGGAGGGGGGGGATGTTGGGGGCTTTCCGGCGGGGGGGGGGGGTGCTCAAGTCTTTCGAGGCGGCTCTGCTGGATTTGGGATGAGAGTGATCTCCAGCCCTGAACCCTAAACCTTACACCCTAAACCCTAAACGCCCTGAACCCTAAACCCTAAACCCTCAACCCTAAACCCTAAACCCCAAACACCCTGAACCCTCCCTAAACCCTAAACCCCAAACACCCTGAACCCTCCCTAAACAGGTGGTGAACTGGGCTAGGGCCATGTGCGCAGACCCGAAGCAACAGCGGGTGATTTCCTTGTCGCACATGTGGGAAGCCACCGGGCATCCTGATCCTAGGTTGCATTATTTATTTATTTATACTCATTTATCAAGTGTTTTTCTGTGGTGTGTGTGTGTGTGGATTATTTTGGTGAATAGTTCCTACGGGATTCTTATAGTGTTGTATAGGGTTATGTAGGGTTCTTTAGGGTTATGTAGGTCTCAAAGGCGAAACAAACCCTAAGCCCAGAGAACTGTGACGTTGCTCGACATGAACACCTGAGCCCGAGCATCTAGAGGCTTAAAACCCCAAACAAACCCTAAGACCCTGCCGAAACCCCAAACACAACCAAAACCCGAAACTCTAAACCCGAAACCCTGAACCCAGGATCCCTACACCCTGAACCCTGAACCCTGAACCCTAAACCCTAAACCCTAAACCCTAAACCCTAAACCCTAAACCCTAAACCCTAAACCCTAAACCCTAAACCCTAAACCCTAAACCCTAAACCCTAAACCCTAAACCCTAAACTGAACCCAGGATCCCTATGGCTTCCAACTCAGTGAGCTGGTCTGCTTGCTGGAGGATGCCTGGAGGAGGGACTCGAGGATGATCCTCGGGGTGTTCATTGACTTCATGAGCCTCTACCAATCCAGGCGGCGGAGGGTGGTGGTTTTTTCTTGACAAAGGAAGGGTCTAGGGTTTAGGGTTTAGGGTTTAGTTTAGGGTTTAGGGTTCAGGGTTTAGGGTTTTGGGTTTGGGGCTTTAATCACCCTACCACTCCAGGCAGTCGAAGAAGCACGAAGAGAAGGCCTTTCAAGATGCCATGAGGAGCATGCACCTTCTCTATACGCACGACTGGACATACACCGTGTCTTGAAAGAATTGAAGGAACCTGATAGAAAGTAGCTATGGTTGTGATGGCCTTTTTAGCGACTTTTGTGAGTACTTTGTTGAGGCTTCCTGAAGCACAACCGAGGTGTGTGTGACAAGCCTGACGCCCCCGGCGTCGAAGGCTGGCCGGCGCCCCAGCCGACTCCACGTCTACTGTGAGGCTCCCCATTCGGACGGCCCTGGCCTCCAGTGTCTTGGGTACTCTTTACCCTTTGTTTAGGTTATGGGTTCCCTTATAAAGTAACCAAAAACCAAAAAGGGGGTGCCCTGAATATAATATGGTTGCTGGGCTACCCAGGTGGTGTGAGCCCAGCAGTTTGAACCACAACTCTGCGGAGCACCTCGGCTCCTAAACCCCAAACCCTAAACCCTAAACCTAAACCCTAAACCCTAAACCCAACCCTAAACCCTAAACCCTAAACCCTAAACCCTAAACCCTAAACCCTAAACCCTAAACCCCTACGGGCTCTAGTGATTGTGGCCAAGGGGAGTAATGGGGTTCGAGGGCACTCCTTGGGGGCCCCTTTCAACTCATAAGGGGTGCCTACGAGTAGGTAAGGTGGCTTCCTTAGAAGCCCTATAGCCTGGGCTCTGGGCCCAGGTATCTGCAGCGTGGGTGGTGCCTTGCGGAGCTCCAGTGGTCCAGCTTCTTGGCTTCGGGTTGAGGAGCCTTGGGAAAAGTAAGTTGCGAAAGAATAGGCTTATTTAGCAAAAGCTACGGCAAACTTTTCCTGGCAATCACAAAGCTAGCCGGATAGGCTTGTCTAGTAGACATCAACATGTCCTTATGATGGCAACTCATGGATATTTAAGGGACGCGGTGGGGAGGAAGGGCTGAAGTAGGCAGGCTCGCCTGACATGGTCCAGAGGCAGAAACATGTGGAAAGCGCAGGGAAAGGATACGGAGGAGGTGCAGGCCTCTTGCCGGCCCAAATGCCCCCTGGTCCTGATGCGCCCGCTCCCGGATGCCTGTCGGCTAAGGGGAGAGGGTGCGTGCACCGAACAAAAACGTAGAAACCCTCAACCCTCAACCCTCAACCCTCAACCCTCAACCCTCAACCCTCAACCCTCAACCCTCAACCCTAAACCCTAAACGCTAAACCCCAAACCCCAAACCCCAAACCCCAAACCCTGAACCCTAAACCCTAAACCCTAAACCCTTAGCTAGAGCCCAGGCCTCCGCAGCTCCATGAAGTTCGGGCACGTCCTCGGCACGACGTCGTTCAAAAGCCAGCATCTGCCTCCTGGATTCGTAGCGAGAAACACCCTCAACCCTAAGCCCTAAACCCTAAACCCGAAACCCTAAACCCTAAACCCGAAACCCTAAACCCTAAACCCTAAACCCTAAACCCAACACACAACAACCCTAAGCCCTAAGCACGTAAACCTGAGGCTGCAGCGTGCACCCAAGGGCCCTGCCATGTTTCGGCGCGAGCTCGCCAAGAGCGCCTTCACCCACCGAAGCGACTTTTCCTTTCTCGCGGCGGCCCAGCAAATGGTGCTTCCCGGGCGTTTCTTCAGTCTGCTGCGTTTTTTTTTTTTTTTTTTTGGGGGGGGGTTTTGGCCTTCTTGCAAAATTAAGGTTGATCGGGTTTAGGGTTGAGGGTTTAGGCTGCTGTGGAGTTTTCTTGGGTGTTTTCCTTTTTCCAGAAAGCATGGCGGAGGGCTTTTCAGCGGAGGTGGTCTTCGATATATACATATATATATATTTTTATAATATGTCGTCGTTATATATGGCGTAATGGATGGCGTGATGGATGCCTGGATGGATGGCGTAATGGCTTTCGTGGGTTTTCCTTTTAAATTAATATGTTTTAAGCACAGGGCAGGGTTGGCGGGAGCTGCCGCGCCTGGTTAAAAATGGTGCGTGAACGCCAACCCTCTGCGTGCGTGTTTTTGCGTTGTTGAGACGCAAAAAAGGACCCTCTGCGTGTTCGCGGGGTGTCGTGATCGCGTGAACGCCAACCCTCTGCGTGTTTCTGCGTTGTCGAGATGCAAAACGAGGACCCTCTGCGCGGTCCCGGCGTGTCGTGATCGCGTGAATGCAACCATCTGCGTGTTTTTGCGCTGTCGAGATGCAAAAACGAGGACTCTCTGCGATGGATGGCGGGTGGTCTTCGTGGGGGTCTACGGTAAATGTCGCGATGGATGTCGTAGTGGATGACGCAAGGATGGATGGCGTGATGCGAGGTTTTATTCGCGGCTTGAGATGCTTTCGGGACAGCCGTTCTCTAGTGGCCTTCTTGCAGGGTTGATAGGTTGATAGGGTTTAGAGTTTAGGGTTTAGGATTTAGGGCCATATTAGGCATCCTGACAACAGCTTCACAGAGTTTAAAACCCAAAGCTTCCCATCATCCGAGTACCACCCTAAGCGCTGAACCCCAAACCCTAAACCCTGAACCCTGAACCATTTGTGGAGACATCGTACCACACATAAGTCCGTTTGAAGCATGGACTTCAAAACCCTAAACTCTCAACCCTAAAGCCCTCTCGGCCGAAACCCAAACCTCAAAAACCCTAACATCCCAACCCCAAACCCAAAACCCCAAAACCCCAAACGCCCAAGCCCTAAACCCTAAACCCCAAACCCCAAACCCCAAACCCCAAACCCCAAACCCCAAACCCCAAACCCCAAACCCTAAACCCTAAACCCTAAACCCTAAACCCAAAACCCAAAACCCCACACCAAGGTTCGAGGAGAAGGCCCGTGATGCGCAAGCACTGGAGCTGGAAGGCCTGCCGGAGGCAGGGGGTTGAGGGGTCAACGGCCTTCCTGTCCCCTAATCCCCTAAGCCTCAAGCCCGAAACCCTAAGCCCCAAACCCTCAGCCCTAAGCCCTCAGCCTTAAGCCCTAAGCCCTAAGCCCTAAACCCTAAGCCCGAAACCCTAAGCCCTGAAACTAAAACAAACGGTCAAGGCTGCTTGTCTCTCGATGCCCACATGCTTAGGCGGAGATTGAGATTCTGGCGGACTCCCTCCAGTCCTACCAGGCCTTGGAGCAGCTCCAGCTATCCAGGTGCCTGGTTTGTTTGGGGGGTTAGGGTGGGTTTGAGGTTGATGGGTTGATGGGTTGATGGGTTTGGGGTTTAGGGTTGAGGGCTTGGGGTCTAGGATTGAGGTTGCGGGTTGAGATACGAACCTTGGGGTGGCTTGTAGGTTTGCAGGAGCGGTGTGCGATAAGCCTCAGAGGTTGAACATGAAGATCCCGCTCTCTCCCCGGATCGTCGGAAGAAGCAAGCCCAAAAGACAACCAGGAGCCCAGACCCTAAGCCCAAAGCCGCCGCCCCCCCCCCCCCCCCCCCCCCCCCCCCCCCCCCAGGTGTGCCATCGGTGTTCAAGGATTTGCGCTGCGCCTGACCTGGGTACAGTCACTCCGGAAGGTGGCGCTGCAACTCGGTACTATCAAGGTTCAACAGACGGCGCTATGCAGGGTATGCAAGCAGTTAGGCCTTGGACGATTTTTGTATTTCCTGTCAGTTTGGCTTAACAGGGTCTTATGTGGGACTATTTCAGAGGGTTTCAAGTGCCAACCCAGGCAAGAATGTGCCATTGCTGATGCTGACCTTCCTCCCCTCCTTGAGGCAGGCTGAGAGGGTCCTGTCCTAAACCCCAAACCCCAAACCCCAAACCCCAAGCCCCAAGCCCCAAACCCCAACCCCCAAGCCCCAAGCCCTAAACCCCAAACCCTAAACCCTAAACCTTAAACCCTAAACCCTAAACCCTAAACCCTAAACCCTAAACCCTAAACCCCAACTCAGGAGGCCCCAATGTTTAGGGGATGCAGTTTTGGGTTTTAGGAGGCCTAAAGCCTTCCGCAGCGCTGGACTTTGAGCCCCGAAGCTCTTAAGGTCCATAGATAGGGTTTGGGGTTTAGGGTTTAGGGTTTAGGGTTTAGGGTTTAGGGTTTAGGGTTTAGGGTTTAGGGTTTGGGGTCTAGGGCTTAGGGTTTGGGGTCAGTTGAAAACGGCTGCCCCTTGAGAGAGCCTCAGAGCCCTGAGTTCTGTTCCTAGGAGGGGGACCCTTAAAAGGGAACCCCTTCTTAACGCTCTTCTGGCTCTCTTAAACAGGGACCTTCTTCAGAGGGTCTATATCCCCAAGGGTCCCCCTAATCCTATCCCCAAACCCTAAACCCCAAACCCCAAACCCCAAACCCTAAACCCTAAACCCTAAACCCTAAACCCTAAACCCTAAACCCTAAACCCTCTGTGGAGGCTCTGACGCCCTCCTGCCCCTGGCTGAGCTTGGACCTCAGCCTGAACTTCGTGGGCGACGCAGGAGCTCCCGTGCTTTTGAGGGCGCTTAGGGTTTAGGGTTTAGGGTTTAGGGTTAAGGGTTTAGGGTTTAGGGTTAGCGGGTTAGGGTTTCGGGTTTCGAGGCCTCTCAGGGAGGAGGTTAGCGTCTTGAGGGTGTTTGTTGGGAGTAGTTTAGGGTTGAGGGTTCTGCGGGTTGAGGAGGCAGCGCTAACCCTGAAATCGTGGGTTGACTGAGCCACGCAAAGCAAATCAAGCACGAGCAAGACTATCCCTAAACCCCAAACCCGAAGCCCTAAACCCTAATCCCTAAACCCTCAACCACAGCCCCTTAGAAGCTAAACAGGCATGCTGCACCTAAAGCCTCAAGCCCTTCTGCCGAAACAACAGGCGACACCCGAAACCCTAAACTCCCTAACCCCTAACCCTAAACCCTAAACCCGAAACCCTAAATCAAAAACCCTAAACCCTAAACCAACACCCGAAACCCGAAACCCTAAACTCGAAACCCTCAACCCCAAGAAGCCCCCGAGGGCACCTTCAAAGGCATCTGCGTCTGAGCCTTGGGATGTTCCCCGTTATACTAGCAGTCCTTACTAGGGATGATAGTTGGGGGGTACTATCCCAAACCCAAAAACCCTAAACCCCAATCCCGAAACCCTAAACCCTAAACCCTAAACCCTAAAACCTAAACCCTAAACCCTAAACCCCAAACCCCAAAACGTCCCAATCTAAGCCCTTCAGGAGCCGCCAGCCTTTCTCGGGCACTGGCCAAGAAGCCCCGTCTTAAGGCGGGACTTGGGGTCTTGCAACCACTAGGCGGATTCGGGTTTAGGGTTTAGGGTTTAGGGCTTAGGGCGCAGGGTTTAGGGTTTGGGGTTTAGGGTTTGGGGGAGGGTGCCTGGACGCCTCTTCAACCCTTTGAAACCCAAAACCCCAAAACTCCCAGGAGCTGGTCCTCAAGAACAACTGCATCGAAGATGCTGGCGCCACGGCTCTATTCGAGGCATGGGTTTCTCTGCACAACCAGGAGGCACCTGCTTCGAGGCTTGGCTCGGTTTAGGGTTTAAGGTTTAGGGTCTAGGGTTCCGGGATTTGGGCTCGGGTTTAGGTTCAGGGGTTAGGGTGTAGGGTGCAGAGTTTAGAGTTTAGGGTTTAGGGTTTCGGGTTTGGGACATACTCCGATACCAAAAGCCCAAGGAGATGCGTGCCGAGTTGCTTACTGTTTGTGCTCTAGGCTTTGGGGAGAAGTCTCGCGGGACCAAAGGAGCGGGATGCTTAGAAGGGACCTTCGTACTGTAGAGGGTTTAGGGTTTAGGGTTTAGGGTTTAGGGGCTACACAGGGAGCCGTGGCTTTCTGACGGCTCTTCTGTCGCGTTCGGCTGTGCCTGGGACGCTAGGACAGCCTCCGGTGTCGGGGTCTCTCCATCTGCCACACTGAGGGTTGTTCACCCCTGGCGCCGCCCTCAGAAGTAGGCGAGTGTTTGTTCCAGGTGTTTTGGTTCCCTAGGCCTCCCTAAGGTTTAGGGTTTAGGGGTTTAGGGTTTAGGGTTTAGGGTTTAGGGTTTAGGGTTTAGGGTTTAGGGTTTAGGGTTTAGGGTTATCTTATCCTTCATGTTAGGAACCCTGCAGATCTCAGTCGTTGCCAACCACTCATCTCTGCAAATTGTAGCCTAGGAGCATAGGGACGGGGCTCTCTTGGGGAAATAAGACTAAGGGTCCCTTCTAGGGGTCCCTCCTTATAACCCTAAACCCTAAACCCTAAACCCTAAACCCTAAACCCTAAACCCTAAACCCTAAACCCTAAACCCTAAACCCTAAACCCCAAACCCCAAACCCGAAACCCTAAACCCTAAACACCTTACACGTCTTAAGGAGCTGCTCCTCAGCCGCCCTGTTGGACATGGCGGAGGGGGCGGTGCTCACCCGGTGGCGCAAGGACGGATTGATCGGGCTGGGCAAGCTGGACTTGCAGTACAACCTGTTAACCCGCCACTGTGCTTAATGTCGTTTTTTTTGTATGATGGTTGTCGTTGTTGTTTTTGTTGTTGCTGCTGTTGTTGTCACTATGGTTAGTATCATGAATGTTAGCATCCTTCTACATGGCTACAGCATTGTATCTTTCTATACTACCCTTAGAAACTCTTCTTCGTCCTCTTATCATGACGCACGCAATCTCGGATCGAGGGTCTCTTGCATTTGCGAAACCCACCGAACCCTCGACACTGCACACCTTCAAGCTGCTGCGGGTTTTCATCCCCGAGGCTCGCACCCCCCGAGGCTCGCACCCCCCCCACCTTGTGGCCCTAACCCTAAACCCTAAACCCTAAACCCCAAACCCCAAACCCCAAACCCTAAACCCTAAACCCTAAACCCCAAACCCTAAACCCTAAACCCTAAACCCAGGCAAGGGCATCCGAGACCTGGAGGGGCGGAGTCGACAAGAGGGCTGGAGTCGACCAGGACTTGGTAGCGCAGTGGTGCCCTTTACAGTTTATCTTGGTTCTGGGTTCCATTGTAAAGTAACCAGCCCGGTTTAGGGTTTAGGGTTTAGGGTTTAGGGTTTTGGGGTTTAGGGTTTAGGGATTCTTATAGAATGTTACTGGGCTACCAAGAGGAACGACGCTGCTGGTGGCAGTGCAGAAGGAGCGGCGTGCCTTGGCAAAGGCCGGCTGGGCGGCGACGCAAGTTCAGGCGCGCGGGTGCGCGGGGTGAGGGCCCTTCGAAACTCGGTTCGCTCTTCGCTAGGTTTGCTGAGGAGTGCAGAATCTCATCTTGAGGGACCCTGATTTAGAGCAGCCGACCCCCCCCCCCCCCCCCAAACACTGAAACTTCTTGTTCCTTCGGAAGCGAAAAGTCGCGCTGGCTGCAGGAAGAGCCTTCGACTCACCCTCCAAGCCCCTCCATGCCGGAGACGGCCGACGAGGTTGGCGAGACTCGGGAGCCAAGTTGCAGGGGACGGTTTAGGGTTTAGGGTTTAGGGTTTAGGGTTTACGGTTTAGGGTTTAGGGTTTAGGGTTTAGGGTTCAGGGTTTTCAGTGGTCTACATGATGGTCCTGTTTTGCTTCCCGCTGCTCCTGACATTCCGGGTGCAGTGATGTAGCAAGTTAGTACCAGCGTTGACGTCAGAATCCTCGAACCCCACCGCGCCCCCCCTTCAACAAAACTTGGATTTCACGTTTTTTAAGAAATGGTGGGGCTGGAAACCTTCAATTTTTGAAGTTGAGCGGCTGGATTTCTTACTTGAAAGGAGGCGGGGGTCCTGATTTCTTATCTGAGGGGGGAAGCCCGTCAAATTAAGAAATTGAGGGGCTGGATTGCTTGAGGTTCAAGTTCAAGAAGTTGAGGGGCTGTTGCAAAAACCACCCAGACTCAGAAATTTTGGTCCCCTGCATAAGGCTACCCTCGATTTCTTAGTTTAGTCTTACTCCCCATGTTCGCATTTTTTGCCAGGAGTCCCCACGCGAGGGTGCGTGTTTCTTGAACCAACGAGGTGTTAAGCAGTGCAGCGGACCATGATCGACAGAAGCGAGTCAGATGTTGGGTCCCAGACTCTGCGCCAGGGCTCCTAAACCCTAAACCCTAAACCCTTAACCCTAAACCCTAAACCCTAAACCCTAAACCCTAAACCGTACACCCTAAATACTAACCCCTCGAAATGTTAAAGTTTCGGGCTTAGGGCTCATCTGAGGGTAGTATCATGGGCCCTTAATCTGGGTGGAAAAGGGGTCTTCTTTTAAGGGGCCATAAGGGACCATGTAACTACCCTAAGAGCTCAGCCCTGACCCTAAACCCTATACCCTATACCCTAAAGCCTAGACCCTAAACCTTAAACCCCAAACCCTAAACCCTAAACCCTAAACCCTAAACCCTAAACCCTAAACCCTAAACCCTAAACCCTAAACCCTAAACCCTAAACCGTAAACCCTAAACCCTAAACCCTAAACCCTAAACCCTAAACCCGAAACCCTAAACCCTAAACCCTAAACCCTAAACCCTAAACCCTACACCCTAAACCCTGAACCCTAAACCCTGACTCGTAGACTTGAGCCGAGGAAGTTCGCAGCCAGGAAGTAGTGACAGCCGACGAGGCTGCGGGGGTGAGTCTTGGGTCGTTCGTTCAGGGTTTAGGGTTTAGGGTTTAGGGTTTAGGGTTGAGGGTTTAGGGTTGAGGGTTCAGGGTTCAGGGTTTAGGGTTTAGGGTTTAGGGTTTAAGGGTTGTTACCCTTAACCCTTAACCCTTAAACCCTTAAACCCTAAACCCTAAACCCTAAACCCTAAACCCTAAACCCTCAACCCTAAACCCTAAACCCTAAACCCTCAACCCTAAACCCTAAACCCTAAACCCCCAAACCCCCAAAACCTGCACCCAGGAGGCCGCCATCCTGCACTCTGAGCCCGCGGAGGGCACCGGCGAGGCTGTCTCCCTTCCCCAAGAGGGGCCTTTGAGGGAAGGGCTTGGGGTTTAGGGTTTAGGGTTTGGGGTTTAGGGTTTAGGATTTAGGGTTTAGGGTTTAGGGTTTGGGGTTTAGGGTTTGAGGTTTGGGGTTCAGGGTTCAGCGTTTAGGGTTTAGGGTTTAGGGCTTAGGGGTTAGGGGTTAGGGGTTTAGGTTTTAGGGTTTAGGGTTTAGGCTTGCGGGTTTGGGTTTGGGTTCGGGTTGTAGACTTGGGCAATGTGCTTCAGGGATTTGACTTGAAATTGTCCCCATTGCGGGGGGCACCCTGAATACAACAGGCCGTGATCAGTTGGAGCCGACCACATAAAAGTTTGAGAAGCCCCAAGCCCCAGCACCCTGAGGGTGAAAAGGTGGTTCAGGCTGTAGATGGTTGCGCGCACTCAAGGCTAAGCCTTTATAAGCACATAGATGTCCAAACAAGTCGGGGTAAGCGTGTGCGCAGCTTCAGTTGAACCACACTCCCGTCAACGCCTGAAAATTCCAAAGCCCAGAACTTGCGAAAGATGCACGGACGGGAATCTCTAAGATTCTGCAGCCACCGCAGCCCATTTTCTCCAGTACAGGAGACCCCTAGTAGCGGAATCGAAGATGCGCGGCTATCTGAGGGCTTGGCTTCTCTTCGCCATTGCAGGGGCCGATGGCCCTAGCCCCCCCAGCACGACGTCTACCACCACCAAAGCCGTGGAGGAGGTTTCTTTGTCATAGTTGGGGGTAACATTTTACATCTTTAAGGGTACTTCAAACCCAATAAGAATATTACAAACCCTAAACCCTAAACCCTAAACCCTAAACCCTAAACCCTAAACCCTAAACCCTTAAACCCTAATAATTTCAATTTTGAATACTCTCCCAACCATAAACTAGGTTTGCAGCAGTTGCGGATGTCCCACTGCGGCATCGCTGGGCAGCCAGTCGGTGGAGGGCTGCAAGGATGCATGCGCCGAGACGAGCAACCACTTCCAGCATGCCAGTGACAGCAGCTGCGCCTGCTGTACCTATATCCCCCCTTGGGAATGGTTTTTTTTTAAATTCTGTTTATATAAAACCCCAAGAGGATACTAGAAATATATGATTTTTATTGCGGTTCTAAGGGGAGTATAGGTACTAGGAACCAGCTTACTTCGGATGATGCTGGGTTGGGCCTCCGGGTTCTTCGTGCAGCTGGTGCGGACTACGTGTTGGCCTGTGAGCTTTGCTGGTGCCCGAGGTCGTTCGAGGATATGGGCAACCGGTCCATCAGCGAATGTGCTCAAACTTGCCAGGACCAGAACTACTCCTTCTTTCAGCACGCATATGACGACAGCTGCACTTGTTGTCGTGATGAGTCTTGGGCGAGAATCATGCCTGGGACCAATATCTATTGGCTGCAAAACTTCACAGCAGCAGTTGTAAGTTCAGCTACACTCAGGATAGTCTCACCCTTGGCCCTCCTTTTCTTGGTCTTTAGGGTTTAGGGTTTAGGGATTGAGTGAACTTGACTCTTGACCGCCAGCGAAGATCGCAGGCCCAAGACACGAAAGAAGCGAGCCGAAACCGGACATGACCTGTGGGTTTACGAAAGAAGGGCGTTCCCTTATAATCAGGACCCCAAACAGGTGCCCCGAATTTCGGAAAGCCCCATATCCGCCTGATTCACATTCACAAGTCTCCACTGGTGAAACGGGTTCTACGGGATCCGCTCAGAGTTCAAGTTGCATGCAGCTTCCGAGGCATGGCAAGCTTCACCAATTTTTTGTGTGTATATGTATATATGTACAGTTTTTGTATGATTGTATTGTATTGTATTGTTTCGTATTGGTATTGGTATTGGTGTTGGTGTTGGTGTTGGTGTTGGTATTGGTATTGGTATTCGTATTGGTATTGGTATTGGTATTGTATCGTATTGTATTGTATTGTATTACATTTTGTATTGTATTGTATTGTATTGTATTGTATTGTATTGTATTGTATTGTATTGTATTGTATTGTATTGTATTGTATTACATTTTTGTATGGTATTGTATTGTATTGTATTGTGTTGTATTGTAGTGTATTGTCTTGGTAGTGTATTGGTATTGTATTGGTACTGTATTGGTATTGTATTGGTATTGCAGTTGTATTTATTGTATTGTATTGCATTTTTTATTGTATTATCTTGTAATTGAATTGGACTATATAGATGTCTAGACGCAGATGTGTCATGGAATTCGACCAAATGAGGCCCTTGCGCATTGTTACCCAACATTGAGAAGCATGGTGGGAACTCAATTCGGTTTGGCTCCCGGCGAATGTGGTTTAGGGTTTAGGGTTTAGGGTTTAGGGTTTAGGGTTTAGGGTTTAGGGTTTTGGGTTTTGGGTTTAGGGAGGTACTGTTTTCGATCAAGCTTAGTCTTCATACATATGCAGTTGATGAGTTCTGGGAGCTGGACCGTCCTTTCCGCATCAGCTGTTGGCAGGTCTTCCTGGTAGAGTGTGTTGGTTGTGAAGTGTGGCATGTGTGAACCCCTAAACCCTAAACCCTGAACCCTGAACCCTCAACCCTGAACCCTAAACCCTAAACCGTAAACCCTAAACAGTGAACCAGCTGGTCAATCTTCGTAGGTTGCGGGTTGCGTGGGCCTGCGTCCCGCAGGACCGTCTTGTTGCTTAATCGTTGCGTTTGGTATTCGCCTCCAGACACGTGGTGCTTATGGGTTTAGGGTTTAGGGTTTAGATACGATAACAGAGAAGTCCAGACCACACAGAATCCCCAAAGTCGTTAGCCCCCAAACAAAGTCCCCCGCCCCAACGTCCAAAGCCTCCACAAGACCTCCTAAGACTCAACCTCGAAGCCCAAAGCCCTAAACCCTTAAGCCTCAAGCCCTTAAGCCCAAAACGAAGCCTTGAGATGAGATTCCAAAGTCTGGACTCACACCCTAATCTCTAAACCCTCACCCATAAACCCTGAACCCTGAACCCTAAACCCTAAACCCTAAACCCTAAACCCTAAACCCTAAACCCTAAACCCTAAACCCTAAACCCTAAACCCTAAACCTTAAACTCAGCCGGCAGGTGGAAGAGGCGCCCTTCGTGCGACTTTCTAGCTTGGCTTCGTCTGGATCTGCTCTTGCGGGTGACTCGGACAGAACCCAGAGTTTAGGGTTTAGGGTTTAGGGTTTAGGGTTCAATTAGGGTTTAGGGTTTAGGGTTTAGGGTTCAGGGTTTAGGGTTTGGGGTTTAGGGTTTAGGGTTCAATTAGGGTTTAGGATTGGGGTTTGACTCCAACCTTATGACCGCAAGCCCTGAACCCTGACTGGTGAGCGGCGGAGTGCTTACGGCCCTGGCATTGGTTTAGGGTTTAGGGTTTGGGGTTTAGGGTTTAGGGTTTAGGGTTTAGGGTTTAGGGTTTAGAGGCGCCCCCGTCGAGCCCGATACCGACCTGCAGCAAATTGACGTCAAGATGCTTATGGAAGAGGAGCGCTTCCGGTGGGGGTAGGGTTCAGGGTTTAGGGCTCAGGGTTTAGGGTTTACGGATTCGTTAGGGTAGGATTTAGGGTTTAGGGTTTAGGGTTTGGGGTTTAGGGTTTAGGGTTTAGGGTGGTTTAGGGCTCAGGGTTTAGGGTTTATTGTTTAAGGATAAGGGTTTCTGGTTTTCCACCCAAGCGTCTTCAAACAACCTCCAAATGTCGCAGAGGGTATAGGGTCTTGGATTTCGGGTCAAGCCCTAAACCCTAAACCCTAAACCCTAAACCCTAAACCCTAAACCCCAAACCCTAAACCCTAAACCCTAAACCCTAAACCCTAAATGCTAAACCCTGAGCCAGGAGCTGCCATTCTTCAACCCCCCCGAGGAAGAGATGGGGTCCGACTTGGCAGGCTCCTTTCCTAAGCCGAGCCTAGGAGGGCTCCGAAGTAGGGTTTAGGGTTTAGGGTTTAGGGTTTAGGGTTTAGGGTTGAGGGTTGAGGGTTGAGGGTTGAGGGTTGAGGGTTCAGGGTTCAGGGCTTTCGGGGTTTCGGGTATACATATATATATATATATATAGGGCTTTAGGGGTTAGGGGTTTGGGGTTTAGGGGTTTGGGGTTTAGGGTTTAGGGGTTAAGGGGTTGAGGGATTTTTTTTTTAGGGGTTGAGTGGCCTAGCGGTCGAGGGGTTTGGGGTAGGGGCTTTGGGGTTTATGCATACTGTGCAGCCTCGGCGCTGTGTGGTCGGTTCCTGACCTGCGCCTGAAACCTGAAACTCCAACTAAGAAGCCATCTGGGTTTAGGGAAGCCAAACGCAACAACTCTAAAGACCCTAAGATCTAAGCACTGTTTAAACTATCCATCAAGATCAACAAGCCATGCCTGCCCCTAAACCCTAAACCCTACACCCTACACCCTACACCCTAAACCCTAAACCCTAAACCCTAAACCCTAAACCCTAAACCCTAAACCCTAAACCCTAAACCCTAAACCCCAAACCCTAAACCCTAAACCCCCTAAAGTCAGAAGCCCTCTGGGGGCGTCGATGTCAGGACCGCCACCACAAGGACCACCCTGCTGGGCACCCTTTGACTGCAACAAGCCCGGCGCCTGCCAGCTACATCTCTGAGGCAGGGGTTTAGGGTTTAGGGTTTTAGGGTTTTAGGGTTTTAGGGTTTAGGGTTCAGGGTTCAGGGTTCAGGGTTCAGGGTTTGGGTTCAGGGTTTCGGCGTTTCGGCGTGTTAGGGCTAAAAAAACTAGGGTTCGAGAGGTTCAAGGGGATTGTGGGGATCATTGCCCCTGCTGGTGTTTTTTGTGTCGCTTTTTGTGTGCGTCGGGTTGAGCTCAGGAAGTATCCCCATGCCTGGCAAGTCAGGGTTCCCCGAAACCGCGTTGCTGCAGACAAGCCGGAGCCAATCCGAGCACACGTTTCCTTGGTAGCCCAGTGGGACCCCTTTTCCCTTTTTTTTTTTTTTGTGGTTCAAGGTTCCCTTATCAAGTAGCCAACCCCCAAAACAGAGTGCCCTTATTGAAGCTTCCCTTCTCAAGTAGCCAACCCCCAAAAAAGGGTGCCCTGATTATAATGTGGTTACTGGGCGCCCAAGTTTCTGTTGGGGGACGTTCAGGGCCGAAGCTTGGCCCCTCCGAGCTAAGGTCTCTCTCTCTCTCTCTCTCTCTCTCGCTCTCCCTCTCCCTCTCCCTCTCCCTCTCCCTCTTCCTCTCCCTCTCCCTCTCCCTTTGTGTATACTATATGTGTATATACATGTCAATGTACCCATACGTATATCCTTTTTTGTCTACCTCTTGTCCCTCTGTCTATCTATCTATCTATCCATCTATCTGTCTGTCTGTCTATCTATCTATTCATCTATCTAGCTGTATATCTATCTATCTAGATATCCATCTATCCGTACATAACATCAACAGTCGACATTTTCCATCCTGAAGTCCATTGCTGCGCAGGTCCGGCAGTTGCTGGCGACGCTGTGAGGCAAGCGATGAGTCTGAGCTGGTCCTTTGGTGATGGTCCCCAGTCAGGTTTAAGGGTTTAGGGGGCTTAAGGGTTTCAGGGTTTAAGGGCTCAGGGGTTCAGGGGTGCAGGGGCTGAGGAGTTCAACCAAATCGTCGCGGGGGCGCCCTCCAAAGGAGAGCAGCCATGTGCAACGTGGCGGATTCTGAAGAAGGACAAATTTAGGGCTCAGGGTTCGGGTTCGTAGGGTTTAGGGCTTTTAGGGTTTAGGATTTAGGGTTTAGGGCTTAGGTTTTAGTGTTTAGGGTTTAGGGCTTAGGGATCGAAGGGTTCGTAGGGCTTAGGGCTTAGGGTCTAGGGCTTGGTTAGAAGCACGGTCGCTTCATGGTGCAGGGTGCGGGGAGTGGGCGGATCTTCCATGCTGAGCGCCCCCCCATTCTTCCATATGGGTTTCGGGTTTAGGGTTTAGGATTTAGGGTTTAGGGGAGTTGAAACCTAAAACCCCCAAATTTCAAGTCCTGAACCCACTCAAGAGCTCAAAGCCCGAAGCCCTACAACCCTAGGCCTCGAAAGCCCGTGAGCACGAATTACAGGTGTATCCAGAAGCCCAAAACCCCACAAGCCAAGACCTTCAAGCCCCCGATCCTACAACCTTTTCAGACCTCAACAGACCTAAGCCCGCAACCTCGAAAACCCTAAGCCCCTGCAACCCTGAAACCCCCTCAAGTCTACGTACGACCCTCGACCCCCTCAGCTCTGCCACCCTAGCCCTAAAACCTGAACCCCAAATGCTAAACCCTAAACCCGAAAACGCCCTAAACCCTACAACCCTGGACCTCCCGAACCCTAGACCCTCGAACCTCTAAAAGACAGGGGTCTGAATAAGTGTGAACTTGTGCTCCCTTTGCAATAATCATACGATAAAAACACCTCCAAACCCCATTCTAATTATTAAGGCCCCAACCCTACACCCTAAACCCTAACCCTATACAACAAAGACGAGCCCGCTCTCCTCTCGCCCTCCTAGAAGCCCTCAGTGCCAGGGCCTTAGGCCCCACCCTAAGTACACCTAAGACCCTGAGCTCTCTCATCCCTGAAGCCACATAAACCCTCAACCCTAAACCCCAAACCCTAAAGCTCTAAAGCCCTTAGAGCCTAGAACCATAGCGCCCTGGAATCCGCCTCTTGGCTTGGCAGCTTACACGTTGTTTTGAGACCGCACCTGCCTCCCTGCCGCCCTGCCTGACCGAGAGGTGCTTGGGCCTTGAGGGGTTTGTGGGGGCTGGGGGGTTCACCCTAAACCCTAAACCCTAAACCCTAAACCCTAAACCCTAAACCCTGAACCCTAAACCCTAAACCCTAAACCCTATTAGGGTTTGGGGTTCAGGGTTCTGGGTTGCGAACCGCAAGCCCTAAACCCCCAAACCCTGTTCGTGTTTAGGGTTCTGTTTCTCCCAATACGTTTACGGTGGAGTTGGGGATTGAGTGTGGGCTCTACGGGATCCAGATCCGCAACTCAGGGAATTCCTACGCCCTAAACCCTAAACCCTAAACCCTAAACCCTAAACCCTAAACCCTAAACCCTAAACCCTAAACCCTAAACCCTAAACCCTAAACCCTAAACCCCAAGCCCCAAACCCTGAACCCCCAATTATCCGAGGAGGGTTGAAGCGCAGCCGCAGGTCGCCATGATTGATGCCTTCTACATCTTCACCAAAGGCTGGACTGGCGGCTTGCTGGTGATGTAAAGTTGCGTCTGCGTCATAGAGAGGCCAAGACAAAGCCCGCCAGGCGCTCCAAGAGGCAGAAGCCCTTTAGGGTTTAGGGTTTAGGGTTTAGGGTTTAGGGTTTAGGGTTTAGGGTTTAGGGTTTAGGGTTTAGGGTTTAGGGTTTAGGGCCACCAGCGCCACTCTAACAAGGGGACTTGAAAGCTCAGCATGTGGCTATCTAGCGGAAACCCCTAAATCATGAGGCCTCCTTTCGAGGTCCCCAGTTTCAAGCCTCAGCCCTAAATCTGGCCATAGAAGTTTAGGGCTTACAGAGGGGTTTAGGGTTTCGGGTTTACGGAACTGGAACAGATCACATAGACCGAAGCTTGAATCTCCCATGCATGCAGTCATGCTTGCCCTTCGCCCTGAACTCCTCTGAACCCTAAACCCTAGTCCTTGCACCTTTGCGCCCTAAACCCTAAACCCCCGTAAATCCTGAAGCCCGTTGCAGGTGGATTGCTACTGTGGTCCACGCAGCTCGTGAAGGCCTAGCTGCCTGGGAGCTTCGATTCCCCCAGCGTTTTCGAAGCCCTTAGACTCCAAAACCCCAAACCCTAAACCCTACTACAACCTTCATCCCTAAACCCTAAACCCGAAAGCCGAAGCCCTGAAGCCTTAAGCCTTAAACCCTAAACTCCCTATTTCCTGCCCCTGCCTGGGGGCCGCAGGTCAAAGGAAATCCCCTGGACCGGCTCATCAAGGAGGTCCTCCTTGAGGCAGCTTTCGGGTTCAGGGTTTAGGGTTTAAGGTTTCGGGTTTAGGGTTTAGGGTTTAGGGCATGGGGCTTTCGGTTTTAGGGCTTTGGGTTAAGGGGCTGCGGCTTCGGGTTTAAGGTTTTTAGAGTTTGCAGCTGTTGCCGCGTGTAAGATTCACCACCTGACAGGAACGGGTGGGCGAGACCTTCGCGAACATCGACGCGTGCGCGGCAGAAATCGCTTGAGAGCCCCTGGAAGTCTCAGAGCCCTTCCTGCCATAAACCCTGCACCCACAAGCTCAGACTGGGGCTGAACAGGGACCCTGTAAAGAAGATTGAGCACCTTTTTCAAGACTTGGGTTCCTTGGCAACCTGGAGTTCAGGGCGTAGCTTAACATGCGCCTTTTCCGGCCTGTGGGTTGGGACGCTTCGGTTCCCTCCGAGTGTTCCAGGACTACCGATACTGAAGCAAAGGACTGCCCCGACGTGACAAGGAAGACCCAAACTGCAAGCAATCAACCGCTAAAACGCTCTGCATGTCGCGGTGGCGGTGCTCTGAACGCCATTGCGCAGTGCATGATCCCTAAATCCTAAATCCTAAGCCCTAATGCCTAGATCCGAAACCCGACACCCTAAGCCTCATTCAGCCCTGAAATGTTGATTGAAAAGCCCGGAGGTACAACTTGAAGTGGAAGTTGCTCAACGAGATGGACATCTTCTTTGTGGTCGTCTACCAAGGGATTCTTCAAATGGCCTACTTGGAGGCCAGGGTTTAGGGTTTTATGGTTTAGCGTTTAGGGTTTTAAGTTTAGGGTTTAGGGTTTAGGGTTAAGGGTTAAGGGTTTAGCAGGTATGGGCCCTGCACCCGCAACCCTGAATCGAGATTCTGGGCCCTTCTTGGTGGCTTTCAGGTGCCCTAAGTGATAGGAATGCCCTGCTATGCACCCAAAACCCAAAACCCAAAACCCAAAACCCAAAACCCTAAACCCTAAACCCTAAACCCTTAACCCTTCCCTAAACCCTTAACCCTTAGACCCTAGACCCTAGACCCAAGCTCAACATCGCGGCAGGGTCTCCTGGCCATGGTGGCCAAGGAATTTGTTCAACACGGTTGGGCTCTCAGTGGGGGAGACTCCAGAAGCCCCCAAGCCCTGAAACCCTCAATAGGGTTTAGGGTTTAGGGTTTAGGGTTTAGGATTTAGGCCCACACCCCCAAACTCTGTGCCCAGAAGCCCAGAACCCTGAACTCATAAATTGCCCCTTAGTTCTTGAGGGTCGGGCTTGGGGTTTAGGCCTTTTGGGTGGCCTGGTGAAGAAACTTCTTGAGGTCTTCACGTGACTTGCCCCCCAAAAAAACAGGAGAGAGACCGGGAGCCCCAAAACCCTAAACCCTAAACCCTAAACCCTAAACCCTAAACCCTAAACCCTAAACCCTAAACCCTAAACCCTAAACCCTAAACCCTAAACCCTAAACCCTAAACCCTAAACCCTAAACCCTAAACCCTAAACCCTAAAAACCCTAAACCCTAAACCCTAAACCCTAAACCCTAAACCCTAAACCCTAAACCCTAAACCCACCCTAAACCCTAAACCCTAAACCCTAAACCCTAAACCCTAAACCCTAAACCCTAAACCCTAAACCCTAAACCCTAAACCCTAAACCCTAAACCCTAAACCCTAAACCCTAAACCCTAAACCCTAAACCCTAAACCAGCCAGAAGCCCACGCAGCTACCCATCCTCCCCCCCACTTGGTCAGACTCCAAAATGGGAATGCAGCCGGGTTCAGGGTGTGCGGGTTTAGGTTGTAGGGCTCAGGGGTCAGGGTTTAGGGTGTAAGTGCTTGGCCTAAGTTTAGGGGGTATAGGTTTCGAGGTTTGAGGGTTTCGGGTGTCTGGTTTTAACATGTAGGACTTAGGGCTTAGGGCTTTGGCTTCGAAAAGCTGCCATTGCCGCAGTTGGCAACTCCTTCGGAAACGGCCTCACGATCAAGCATGTGGACTTCGATCAGGACCCCGGCAAAGCTTAGGGTTTTTGGGTTTAGGGTTGCTTGAGGGACATTTTCTTGTAGGTTGTAGTGGTTTAGCTGCCGATGGAGACGGAAAGGTGTATGAGAGAAAATTCCTGGTAAAACCGCCACATCATCGGCGCCTTAAGCGCACGTGAGAGGCAAGGTAGCCACCCCTTACCACATGAGAGTGGCCCCAGGTGTGGGTGTATCCCCAGCGAGGACAGACAAGCAAAGGGCCAGAGGTTCATGGTAGCATCCCAAGCCTGAGGGCTGCCCTAAAGATGGCCCTCCAGAGCTATCGGCTCAATTTTGCCAACTCCATTGCCAGGCAGAGGCCATGCCCTCCGGGTCCACATGGTCGCATAGTCTCCTGGATGAGTGCTTCAGGGGCTGCGGTGAGCCGGGCGAGTTCTATTTCTACCACGGAGCACCCTGCCCGGGACCAGCCGGGCAGGGTCCTGGTAGGGTGGCGCTTTGCCGCCAGTGCGTGAGAGAGGTATGTCCTTTCTGTGGCGAGCCCATCGAGGAAGATGATTTCACGAGTGTCACGGACAAGCTGCCGACCGTGGTGACGACGAGGTCGACGACCGATGGAATCCAGGATGGGAGCGTCCACCCTGAAGACTGTCAATGGTGGAGGCGGCAGCACCCTCTGCTACGACATCAGCATCTTTGGCACGGAGGCTCCGAAGCTCAAGCGGAACTGTACTGCACATCCTGTGGTAAGAGCTATGTAGAGGACCAGTATATATGTGACCCAGATGACAGTGAACTGCCACCACCTGTGATTCGGGCTGGAGTTGCTTTCGCAGGCAGTCTTCCCCCTCAGAGCTGTGACTGTGGTGGGTGGTTGCAGATTGGCGTCAGGGACTTTGGAGGCTTCGCGTCTCAGAAACTCCAAGCAGCAATGGATTCGCTTCTCCAACAATCGACGAAGAGAGTCGCCTCTGAGCCCTCGTTTTGGCTTAACCAAATCTGCCTTCGGCTGACTGACACACATTGTGTGGAGCAGCTGTTAGGAATTCCTGCGCTCTTCCAGGCATTGAATGCGGTTTTGCCCACCCTTCCCTATGAGCAGTGGGCGGACGCGCACCACTGCGACTTGATCAGCGCCGCGGATGCCTTGATCACTGTGAGTGGTTTGCTGTGTGCCATTGCAAATTTCATATTCCCTGACATGTCCATCCCTCTTCCGGAGCGCGTGGCTTTCCTGTGCAGAAGCCCCTGTGTGGTGAGCTGCGACCCGAAATATGCCAGGAGTGTTTTCGGAAAGCTGGTCACTGCCGCAAACCTGTTCTCTGCAGCCGCTCTGGGGACGTACATGCCGGCCCCATCCCGCGGCTACCCGCTAGATCCGAGAGTGCTGGCCCCTGCACTGCGACTTTTTGAAGTTCTGGGCTACAGGATCTACTCGTGGGAGGCTTCAACCCACGTAGATCCCTACACCCCTATCGCCGCCTAAGGCTCCTTAAGCCCCTTTGTGGCCTGAAGCTTGAAACCCTTAAGCCTTTGTAGATAACATATTCATATATGTATATGTATATATATATATATGTATATATATATATACATGTATGTCTATTATCTATCCATCTAGATATGGAACCTTAAGGCCAACTCGCTCCTTCAGCTTTCCGCCAGTACCAGTGCTTGAAAAAAGAGCGTATGTTTATATGGTTTGTCCAGAGTGTGAAGGAGGTTCCCTTGGACCCTAAACCCTAATTCCTAAACCCTTAATTCCCAAACCCTAAACCCTAAACCCTAAACCCTAAACCCTAAACCCTAAACCCTAAACCCTAAACCCTAAACCCTAAACCCTAAACCCTAAACCCTAAACACTAAAACCCTAAACCCTAAACCCTAAACCCTAAACCCTAAACCCTAAACCCTAAACCCTAAACCCTAAACCCTAAACCCTAAACCCTAACCCTAAACCCTAAATCCTGAACCCTGAACCCTAAACCCTAAAACCCCAAGCCCAATAACCGAATAACCCAATAAACCCTAAGCCCTAGATTGAGGTTAAGGCCCTGATTCCCAGTCCCAACACAGCACCGCATCCAACGGAAAGCCTGGACCTCCTAACCTCCGAACTCCTCCTAGGCAAGTCGGGTTCAGGGTTTAGGACATAGCCTAGGGTTCAGTGTTTAGATGAATTGAGGGATTTCTTTGGAGGACTTCCTCCGCTGCCGCCAGCGGGCGGACAAGGACCTCAAGGAAGCGCGCCGGCAAGGCGGTGGGAGACGTTGTGCTTTTCCAGTGGTTTTGGGGGCCAACCCCAAACCCTAAGCCCGAAACCCTAGACCCTAAAGTTTGCCCTAGCGCGTCCCCTTGTCGGACCTCCCTGAAACCTCCCTGATCCTCAAGCAGAGCCTGTCGAGGCCTTGCCCCCCCTCCCCCTACGGAACCTTCAAATTCAAGAATACCAAGCAACCCCCCCTTGCTTGGGGGGGGTGGGTAGAATCCTAAACCCTACAAGAGATAGTTCGGGAGGGGTGGGCTGCTAAGCCCAACGAGCGATAGCGAGTGCGCACCTAAGTCTAACAAAAGGCTCACCCCGCGCTACACTGATACACACTCAACCCTAAACCCTGAACCCTAAACCCTAAACCCTAAACCCTAAACCCTGAACCCTAAACCCTAAATCCTAAACCCTAAACCCTAAACCCTAACCCCCTAAACCCCTAAAACCCAAACCCTTGAAACCCAAACCCCCCAGGCGGTATGCGCTCCTTTGCCGACACCAAGAAGGGCGCCGAGGTGCAGAAGACCCGCGAGGTGACTCTGCAGGGCGGTCTTGCGCCGCAAGTCCTAGCGTCGTTAGGGTTTAGGGTTTAGGGTTTAGGGTTTAGGGTTTAGGGTTTAGGGTTTAGGGTTTAGGGTTTAGGGTTTAGGGTTTAGGGTTTAGGGTCGGATCATGCATGCTCCCCACCCTAACCAACTACCTCCCTCCTAACCAAGCACAGCCCAACTAAGCCAACATGGCTGCGGAACCTTCGCATTCCACATTCTCAAAGCCCTAAACCCTAAACCCTAAACCCTAAACCCGAAACCCTAAACCCTAAACCCTAAACCCTAAACCCTAAACCCTAAACCCTAAACCCTAAACCCTAAACCCTAAACCCTAAACCCTAAACCCTAAACCCTAAACCCTAAACCCTAAACCCTAAACCCTAAACCCTAAACCCTCAAACCTAAACCCTAAACCCTAAACCCTAAACCCTAAACCCTAAACCCTAAACCCTAAACCCTAAACCCTAAACCCTAAACCCTAAACCCTAAACCCTAAACCCTAAACCCTAAACCCTAAACCCTAAACCCTAAACCCTAACCCTAAACCCTAAACTTAAACCCTAAACCCTAAACTCCAAACCCCAAGAATCCTTTGGGGACTTAGATAGCCACCCCAAAGCCCGGCTGCCAAAGCACTTGGCAGGAGAAGGGGCTGCCAGCCACATCATCCAAAAAGGGCGCCGGCCTTAGGGTTTAGGGTTTCGGGTTTAGGGTTTCGGGTTTAGGGTGTCTTAGGCCTTTGCTCAGCACTGCGCTTGTCCTTTTCCAAGGGTTTCGGCTCCCTCAGCAGTTCAGTGCGACCAAAATCTTCTTGGGTTACTCAGCAACGTGGTTAGCCTTAGGAAAGCTTCGGGCTTCGGGGCCTAGGTTGGGCAAGTAGGGGTTAGGGCTTTCAAAGTTATGTTATCGTGGGCTTTAGCGTTCAAGGTGCAGGGAGTCAATTGGAGCTACTGAGCCCCTAAACGCCTGCAACAAATTCGAAACCCTACATGGTTATTGTCCGTTTTGGGGTTGCTATTGTCAAGGCGGCCTTTCATAAACGGACCGCAATTTAGAGAACTGGCCATATCTTACTCCCTTGAGCCCGTACACAAACCCAAAGCTCGAAACCGCAAACCCCAAAGAGTGAGGCCTCGAGCCAAGTGGCCGAGACCCTAAGCCCTAAGCCCTCTACCTTCTCTTTGTGGTACTTTACTGCAACTTTAGACCTTACCTTTTTTGGGTTTATTGGGTTTCTTATTAAGGCAGCTAAAAGTTTAATTTATAGCTACCCTCCTGAGTGCAGCCAAGTTCTGAGCCCTAAACCCGAAACCACCTAAGGTAAAAGTGGCGGGGCAGACGACAAGGACGAGGATGACGAGGCCGAATGAGTGCGTTTAGGTTCAGGGAACATGCGTTTAGGGTTTAGGGTTTAGGGTTTAGGGTTTAGGGTTTAGGGTTTAGGGTTTAGGGTTTAGGGTTTAGGGCCAGAAGCTCTAAGTTCAAGGTCACGGGTACAAGGGGTGCAGGCTAGTTTTGTAGGGCTGAGGGGTTTTTCAGGGCTCAGGGTTCTTAGTCCGCCATGCAGGATGATGCCGATGCCTCGAAAGTGGCCGAGGCCCTTCCAACTGCTTCCGCAGCATGTGTTGGTGGGTTCGGGGTTTAGGGTTTTGGGTTTAGGGTTTAGGGTTTAGGTTTCCGGGTCCAGGGTTTAGGTGTTTTTTTTTAGCTCCTAAGTCCTGAGCTTCGACGCCCTAAAGCCTCCACCCTTCGAGGTCCGTCGGGTTTCAAAATGCAGCCCGAAGGATGTTTACGCAATCCGTTGGGATCACAGGCTTGACGTCTGTGAATCAAAACCGCCTACACTCCAACATCGGCTTGCAAAAGCCCTAGAACCCCTCAACCCTCAACCCCCTCAACCCCTCCTAAACCCTGAGCCCTCAACCCCTCAACCTTCCAACCTTTCAACCCCTCCTGAACCCTAAACCCTAAACCCTAAACCCTAAGCCCTAACCCTAAACCCTCAACCCCTCCTGAGCCTATAACCCCTCAACCTTCAACCCTCCTTTGTGGCGAAGGCCAGAGGCAAATTGGGCGCCAAGTCCAAGGCGAAGAAAGAAGCTTGGGCCCTAGGCTACGGTGTGGCCGGGGTATAGGGGGTTTGGGGTTCAGGGCTTTAGGGTTGAGGGCTTGAGGGCTTGAGGGCTGTAGAGTTTTCAGGGTTTAGGTTTTTGGGGGTTTAGGGAAAGTTTTTAGGGGTTTAGAGGTTGCAGGGCTTTAGGGGTTTTAGGGTTTAGGGTCTTTAGGGTTTCGGGCTTTTGGGTTTGCGCTTTAGGGTTTAGGGTTTTCAGGGTTTAGGGCTAAAGGGTTTTAGGGATTTCAGGGTTGGGTCTCAGCATTTTGGGGTTTTGAGGCATAGGGCTACGAGGTTTCGAGCCAGGCTTTGGGTTAGGGGGTCAGGGTTCTGATTTTCGGGTTTTGGGTTGTAGAGGTTAGAGGGTTGCATACAGGGCGTTTTGAGGGGCGTAGCTGTTTGGCAGTGTGTTGAGGATTGGTGCTTCTTAATACGACCCAATCCCAGACCCCGTGAACCCGAAGTTCAAAACCTGAGAGCCCTTAGTCCTGCGACCCAGCCCTAAACCCTGACACCCTGACACCCTGACACCCTGACACCCTGACACCCTGACACCCTGACACCCTGACACCCTGACACCCTGACACCCTGACACCCTGACACCCTGACGCCCTGACGCCCTGACACCCTGAACCCTGAAACCTGAACCCTGAACCCTGAACCCTAAACCCTAAACCCTAAACCCTAAACCCTAACGCAGCTCCGAGGCCGACCCTGCAACGGCCGAGAAGCCCAAGAAGGGGAAGGAGGCAGCCGAAGCCTCCTCGGAGCCAGAGCTCCTGCTTGGGTTTAGGGTTTAGGGTTTAGGGTTTAGGGTTTAGGGTTTAGGGTTTAGGGTTTAGGGTTTAGGGTTTAGGGTTTAGGGTTTAGGGTTTAGGGTTTAGGGTTTAGGGTTTAGGGTTTAGGGTTTAGGGTTTGAGGTTTGAGGGTTTAGGGTTTAGGGTTTGAGGGTTTAGGGTTTGAGTGTTCAGGGCAAGAGCTCCTGCTTGGGATGGGTTTAGAGGTTGTGGGGATGTAGGGGGTTTAGGGGGTTTAAGGGGTTTGGGGGGTGTGGGGGGCTTCGGGGGCTTGGGGAGCTTAGGGGGTTTAGGGTTGGGATTTTGGGGTTTAGGGGCGTCGAATTTCGGATTTGAAGATTTTTTTTTGAGCTTCTGAGGCGCGAGGTGGTTGAGGGTTTAGGGCATCTGCCGGCTTCACTGTCTGCTTGTGAAACCCTAAACCCTAAACCCTAAACCCTAAACCCTAAACCCCAAACCCTAAACCCTAAACCCTAAACCCTAAACCCTAAGTCCTAAACCCTAAACCCTAAACCCTAAACCCTAAACCCTAAACCCTAAACCCTAAACCCTCTAAGAGTTCCAGTTCGTGAAGGCGCGCCACTGGGACGGTGGCAAAGTCTCCAAAAGCTTGATGCAGGACAGGGTTTAGGGTTTAGGGTTTGGGGTTTAGGGTTTAGGGTTTAGGGTTCAGGGTTTCGGGTTTGGAAGTTTCAGCCTGCATGGGAAGCTTACCGGACTAGATCCTTGCTGGTATCGGGAGAAGCCGGGCGTTTAGTCCTTAAGCCTTGAACCCAGAACCCTCACCAGCTTAGGTTGTTTTGGGGGTTCGGGCCTGCAGGGTTTAGGGTTTAGGGTTTAGGGTTTAGGGTTTAGGGTTTAGGGTTTAGGGTTTAGGGTAAACATTACACCCTGAACCCTGAACAGCAAGGAGCTTGACTTCTCCAAGAACAAGCCCGACGACGATGCCGACCTCGCCGCAAAGCAGGCCCTGTAGACCCCAGTTCCCTAAAGCCCCAGGGATTTGGGGTTTTCTGGGGCTTCGAGAACCCTGTATAAACTCGAAGCCCTGAGCCCTGAGCCCGAAACCCTAAACCCTAAACACCCTAAACCCCCTAAACCCTCTAAACCCGTACACTATGCAGCAACAGCACCAAGCCTCCGAAGCCCCTGGTAGCCTCTGGAGAGGCTGAGTTTCTCGGCTCGGGGGACGAGAACTTTGATGCAGAGGCGCGGGGAGGGGGCCACCATCTGGACTTAAACCCTGGGTTTGGGGTTTAGGGGTTTCGGGTTCAGGGTTTAGGGTCTAGGGTTTAGGGGGTTTGGGGTTTCGGGTTTAGGGTTAACACTATACCCTAAACCCGGCGGACACGGCTCGAAACACCTCAATGGGGTGCTCGTAGCCGAGGTAACAGATGCCCTCGCACTGGTTCACTTTAACTTCCTGCTGCACTCTGTTTAGCAGCTGGTTAACATTGCGGCCCTCGGGCTGTCTGTCTGGGATGGCTCGACAGGCGTAGCCCACCGAAAACGGGTCCACGCGACCCATCCCGTACCCCATATTTGCGTCGCTCTCTTTCTGGCAGGGTGCCCAGCGCGTTGGCTGGACCTCCACTGCTTGCACGGGTTCTGCCTTGGCTGCTGCCTCCTTCGGCTCCGGCTTTGCCTGCTCCGCCGGCTCCTCCTGCTCCTCAACCTCCACAGCAGCTGGCTCCGAGTGCGAGTGCTCCAAGGGTTGTGGCCGGCGGCACCTGGTCGGGGATTCTTTATGGAGAAGGAAGGCTGTCATCCCAGATGCACCGGAGCAGACATGAGCAGACCAACCTCGAAGGTTGAACGGTGGCTGCCACAGCGGTGGCGAACAGCCGAGACTTCACTTTCGCACGAGGCTTGCGAGGGTTGCCTACCAGGCACACGTTGCACGCATCGCACGTCAGCATCCTGCAGTCAAGGAAGCAAACGCCGACCTACCGGCTTCTGTTCGCCTGGCGCGTGAGAGTCTTAACTTTTAACTTGTAACAGCACTCGAACCTACCATGTGCGGCAGTGTTTGTTGCGTTGGCCCTGCGATGCGTGGCGTGTTCATGGGAGTACTAGTCTCATGTTAGTAGCCATCTCTGAAGCCAAGCTGCCTTCATCCTGACTTCCTTGCGTGGATCTCTCCACATGCCAGCCTACATCCTCAATCCAAGCCCTACAAGCTCTGATTCATGTCGGGAACACTAAACCCTAAACTCTCAAGCCTGAAGCCCCGTTTCAAAAGCAGCCTAGACCTAAACCCTAAACCCTCAAACCCTAAACCCTCTCTATCATATTTCAACCCTTTGAGCCATCCGGGCCCTCTCGGGACCAATGTTCTTCGCCATCCGTGCCCGCGGGACCTCGGGACCAATGTTCTTAGCCATCCGGGCCCAATTTTCATAGCCATTTGGTCCCTCCGGCCTTCGGAACGTTCTTAGCCATTTGGTCCCGCCGGCCCCTCGGGGACCAATGTTCTTTCTTAGCCATTTGGTCCTGCCTGCCCCGCTGGGACCCATGTTCTGAGCCATTGGGTCCCTCCGGCCTGTTATTCGCCATTTGCTCCTTTCCCGGGGGGGGGGGGGGACCAATGTTACTCGCCGTTTCGGGCCTTTAGGGGACCTTGCGTTGCTGTTGTTGAAGAAATGGTGAGCAACTGAAGCGTAAAGGGTAGATGACCTTTATTTTCTTAATGTCATAGGATTCTTCGGGCGCGTGGGTTTTGGGGTTTAGGGCCCAAATCCTAAACCCTGAACCCTGAACCCTGAACCCTGAACCCTAAACCCTAAACCCTAAACCCTAAACCCTGAACCCTGAACCCTAAACCCTAAACCCTAAACCCTAAACCCTGAACCCTAAGGCCCGCGACCCCCCCCACCCGCCAAGGTGGAGTCCCTCTCTTCTGGCTCGGAGGACGAGGCGAAGGCCAGGACCAAGGGAAACCCCCAAGACCATCGAATATAGGGGTTTAGGGTTTAGGGTTTAGGGTTTCTACCCCTTAACTCCTAAACTCTAAACCTTAGACTCCGAAACTCCTACCTTAAACGGGTATATATAGGGCCCGAATTCCCTCATTCCCTGCTAACCAACAGTAAACCCTAAACCCCAAATGTGGAAATACTAAACCCTAAACCCTGAACCCTGAACCCTAAACCCTAAACCCTACACCCTAAACCCAGGACACGGGGGAGCAGGAGCAGGAGCAGGGCCGCGTGGGCGGCCTTTTCAAGTCGCTGACCCGAGGCGTCAAGGACTGCCACCTTCTCATTCTCAAAGTGTACGGTTTAATTCGAGGGTTTAGGGTTTAGGGTTTAGGGTTTAGGGTTTAGGGTCTAGGGTCTAGGGTTTAGGGGGCTTGGGGTTTAGGTTTAGGGGGCTTGGGGTTTAGGGACAGGGTTTAGGGATGCTTCGGGATTTAGGCTCTAGAGCGTTTAGGGGGTTTTGGGAGGTTTAGGGTGCATAATTGGGGCTTGCAGGGTTTTGGGGGGGGTTTAGGGTTCAGGGGGTTCGGGGCCCGCTGCCAGTAGAGAGGTTTACGGGGTTGATGCTCGCGGGTCTGAAAGGTTGAGGCTTTGGGTTGAGCTGACAATCCTAAGCCCTAGACCCTAGACCCTAGACCCTAGACCCTAGACCCTCAACCCTATCCCCTATACCCTATACCCTACAGGTATGTTGCAGAGGAATGCAGCAGGAGGGTCTGCTGGCTGTGGGCGCGTTGGTTTTTCTCCTTCCCCCCGATGTGGCAAGTTTTTGGGCTTGGTTCGTGGATCGATTTGGGCCCTAAACCCCAAACCCCAAACCCCAAACCCCAAACCCCAAACCCCAAACCCTAAACCCTAAACCCTAAACCCTAAACCCTAAACCCTAAACCCTGAACCCTAAACCCCACAATTATAAGCCCTAAATAAACCCTAAACCAACCCCTAAACCCTAAAGCCCGACGCGAAACCTCGCCTGCAGAACCTCACGGGCGGCGCTGTGCTGGGGGAGGAGGATCTTGAGCTCCGGCCCCGGCTTGTAACGAGTAGGGTTTAGGGTTTAGGGTTTAGGGTTTAGGGTTTAGGGTTTAGGGTTTAGGGTTTAGGGTTTAGGGTTTAGGGTTTAGGGTTTAGGGTTTAGGGTTTAGGGTTTAGGGTTTAGGGTTTTAGGGTTCTAGGGTTTCTGGTTCTGGGGTTCCAGGGTTCTAGGTTTTCAAGGGTTCTAGGGTTCTCGGGTTCTGGGGTTTCCGGGTTGTGGGGTTCTAAGGCTCTGAGGTTTCTAGGGTTCTAGGGCTCTGGGCTAAAGTGTGTCGACTTATAGGTTAGGTTATCATGGAGTTCTGGGTCAAAGGGTCTTAGGGTTTAGGGTTTAGGGTTTAGGGTTTAGGGGGTTTAGGGGGTTTAGGGTTATAGGGTTTAGGGCTAGGCGTGTTAGGGGCGATGCGGAGGTCAGCTCTCAGGTATCGGGACAGTCCAGAAAACCCGAAACTTTTTGAACCCTGAACCGTCAACTTCCTACAGCCCCAAGCCCAAAACCCAAAACCCAAAACCCAAAACCCAAAACCCTAAACCCTAAACCCTAAACCCTAAACCCTAGCCCTAAACCCTACACCCTAAGCCCTGCCAACTCAATGTCTCCGTGTTGACCGCGCGAAACCTTTGCCCAGAGTGGAGTAGGCCGTTGAAGCCCTGAGCCCTCTGTCGAAAGCGCCCCGGAGCTGAACAGGGTGGTTAGGGTTTAGGTTTTTGGGTCCAGGGCTCAAGAAAACCGACAGAAAAAGGCTCCGAAACCCTGAGCCTTCATACAATCTAAACACAGCGCCCCAGGCCCATCCTGAAGAAGTTCAAGACGGAACTGATGACCAGGCAGGCAGAGAAATTGGAACCAGAAGTGTTTGGGGCTCAGGGATGGTTCAGGTTTCAGGTTTAGGGTTGAGTTTTTTTTTTTTTTTTTTGTGTGTGTGTGTGGTGTGTGTGTGGTGTGTGTGTGTGTGTGTGTTTTTTTGGGAGGGGGGGGGGGGGGTGGGGGGGTGGGGTTGCCGAAGAATCCTCGCAATGTCGGCGTTGGGGTAGGGGGCGAAACGTGGCGCGCAGGTGTTTCGGAAAGCAACCCTCAGCACTCTACGCTTAAGGAAGTCCAAAAACTGAAGGATCGGTCCCTAAGAGGTGTTCTCACTGATCTTGCTTTGCAGGATTGCTCAAGCTGTTACAGGAGCCTGGTTGCTTATAGCAAGGCCTTTGGGACACTATATTATTATCAGTGTTCCCTGATTGCCCCCGTCCCCTCCCTCCTTTTGTCGGAGGAATGTGGCAGCAGAAGTGGCGGACAAGCTGTCTGATTCAGCGCTTGGCCTGGAGTTCGGCTTGAGGGTTTAGGGTTAGGGTTTAGGGTTAGGGTTTAGGGTTTAGGGACCCAAAAGCTATGAGTCATTTGTATCACTGGCAGCAAATGAATATTCGAATTGTTGTGGTCTAAATGGGTGGGACAACTCTCCAGGATATCAGTTGGATTTAGGGTTTAAGGTTCTACAAGCCCTCAGCCCCGCACCCCAAATGTGCGAAATCGCCCAGCCCCTACGGCTTACCAAAGCCCGGAAAAGCGCGAAGAGAGCCTGTCCCAGACCCGCAGCAGCCCTGAAAAAACCCACTGGCTCCAAACCCCAAGAAGCTTCCCCAGTCTTGAAGCACCCAAACCCAAAACAAATCCCAAACATTCAGAAGTTTAGGGTTTAGGGTTTGGGGTTCAGGGAACCTGTGCCTGAAGACTCAAAAAGCCCGGTGCGTCTGAGGTGCGAAGAAGCCTTGTCGGTAAGACCACCGGGAGATTTACGACGATGGCCTCGACGGTGAAACAGGCTCTGAAGGCCCAGCCCTACGCGCGCTTCAGGGGGGGGTTTAGTTTTGGGGTTTGGGGTGCATTTAGGGTTTAGGAGTGTAGGGTGTTTGAGGGTTTATGAGTGTAGGGCGTTTTTAGGGTTTGGGAGTTTAGGGTGTTGTTGGGGTTTGGGGGGTTTAGGCTGTTGAGGGATTGAAGTGGTTAGGATGAAGGAGTCGAAGGGTTCAGGGTGGAGGGGCTGAACGGGTTTAGAGGTTCGGGGTTCTGCGCCTTCGAGGGGGGTACAGGGCATGGTGGGGGGGGGGGGTTGGACTTCCATCCGAGGGGAGGGTGTCTGAGCTTATGAGGGCTTCTTCCAGATAAGAATCCCCAAGCTGAGCCTTGGGAGGGGGGGGGGGTGTTTTCAGGAGTTGAAGTTCTTAGGTTTCAGACACAAGTTCTTCTCTAGAGGGGTTGCTTGTCCAGGCCTCTTACTACTGGCAGCTGCACGCGTCGATCATGAAACCATTTGCCCCGACATCTCCCCTGAGCACATCGCGTATAGCGGGCACCCAAAGAACGCGCACCAAGGACCCTAAACCCTAAACCCTAAACCCTAAACCCTAAACCCTAAACCCTAAACCCGAAGCCCTAAACACTAAACACTAAACCCTAAACCCTAAACCCTAAACCCCAAACCCTAAACCCTAAACCCTAAACTCTAGACCCTAAACCCTAAACCCTAAACCCTAAACCAAAGCGCGTTCATCCTTGGCTGCAGCTTAGAAGCCGCCCTAAAGCCCTGAAAGATCTCCATCCCCCTTGGGGCCCAAAGAATCAAACCCTCAAGTACATAAAATCCCCAGGCTCCCAAGCCCTGAGCCTCAAGCCTGACTCAAGCCCCCGAAAGCCTAAACCGCAACAACCTCTACCCCTCTCTACCCCCTCAAGCGATGGAGTTGATACAAGGAGTCCATGGAAACACTTTTGACGCCAAAGAAGTCGATCGATGTGGCGGGTGGCCCAGGAGTCGGGCTCGTGGTTTAGGGTTTAGGGTTTTAGGGCTTTAGGGCTTTAGGGTTTTAGGGTTTTAGGGTTTTAGGGTTTTAGGGTTTTAGGGTTTTAGGGTTTTAGGGTTTAGGGTTTTAGGGTTTTAGGGTTTTAGGGTTTAGTGTCTTAGGGTTTTAGGGTTTTAGGGTTTTGGGGTTTTAGGGTTTTAGGGTTTTAGGGGGTTAGGGTGTTAGGGTTTTAGGGTTTTAGGGTTTTAGGGTTTTAGGGTTTTAGGGTTTTAGGGTTTTAGGGTTTTAGGGCTTAGGGTTTTAGGGTTTTAGGGTTTTTAGGGTTTTAGGGTTTTCGGGTTTTCGGGTTTTAGGGTTTTAGGGTTTTGGGGTTTTCGGGTTTTAGGGTTTTAGGGTGTTAGGGTGTGGGTGGGGGAAGCCGAAACCCTACACCCTCAACCCTAAACCCAACACCCTAATCCTAAACCCTAAACCCCAAGCCCGAAACCCTAAACCCTAGAATCCGAAAGCCTTAGCCTTAAATTCGGTGTTGAGGTTGGCTAATCTGCTTTGAGGAGGCGTTCGACTTTCCGGGTGGCGTGTTGCGGTTTACAAACCCCAAACCCCAAACCCCAAACCCCAAACCCCAAACCCCAAACCCCAAACCCCAAACCCCAAACCCCAAACCCCAAACCCCAAACCCCAACCCCCAAACCCCAAACCCCAAACCCCAAACCCCAAACCCCAAACCCCAAACCCCAAACCCCAAACCCCAAACCCCAAACCCCAAACCCCAAAACCCAAACCCCAAACCCCAAACACCAAACCCCAAACCCCAAACCCCAAACCCCAAACCCCAAACCCCAAACCCCAAACCCTAAACCCTAAACCCTAAACCCTAAACCCCAAACCCCAAACCCTAGACCCTAAACATCCCTAAACCCTTTCCCCGCCGAGTTACGGGCAGCTCTGGCCGCGAAGAACGCGGGACGGGCGCCCCCGGCTCGACATCTTGACGCACTTCGCACCAACCCCTGGAAGTAGGCCCCTAAGCCCTGCGCGATGTAGGGTTTAGGTTTAGGGTTTAGGGTTTAGGGTTTAGGGTTTAGGGGTTAGGGTTTAGGCTTTAGGGTGTAGGGTTTAGGGCTGAGGTTTAGGGAACCCGAAACCCCCGCTAGTTTTTCCCACAGGCCCATTCTATATCTAAAAGGAAACTTCGTGCCCCGCAAAGCCTCAAAACAAGGGCACCTTAGCTGAGAATCCCCTACAAACCTCTTGGGGTCCCTCAAGCCCTCCCACAGGCCGCAAGTCCTTTCCCTGAACCCAAAACCTAGACTTAGACTTAACCCTCAATCCAACGAGCTCAACGCGTGTGCCGAAGTCAGCATTTCCCGAAGTAGAGGGACTCCCCTCATATGACCCCAAGATGTTTCTATAGAGACTCCCCAATTTTTAGGGTTTAGGGTTTAGTTAGGGTTTAGGGTTAGGGTTTAGGGTTTAGGGTTTCGGGTTTCGGGGTTAGGTGTTTAGGGTTTGATGGAAAGGAAGAGGATTTGGCCGACCTGTTGAGGATTTTTGGGGGGTTGTTTACAGCCGCAGCCCAAACCCTGAACCCTAAACTCTGAGCCCTAAGTTAAGGGTTTAGGGTTTAGGGTTCAGGGTTTAGGGTTTAGGGTTTAGGGTTTAGGCCTTAGAGTTCAGGGTTTAGGGTTTAGAGCTTTAGCTCACACCCTCAACCCAAACTTGAACCCATTGGCCATAGGGCCCACCATGTGTCGCTCGACCTACCTAAACCTAAGCCTGAAGCCCGAGGCCCTAAACCCAAGAACCCTTTTTGGCGCCTTTAAACCCTGTCATATGAAGCCGCTACGCTAACCCTAAACCCTAAACCCTAAACCCTAAACCCTAAACCCTAAACCCTAAACCCTAAACCCTAAACCCTAAACCCTAAACCCTAAACCCTAAACCCTAAACCCTAAACCCATAAACCCTAAACCCTAAACCCTAAACCCTAAACCCTAAACCCTAAACCCTAAACCCTAAACCCTAAACCCTAAACCCTAAACCCTAAACCCTAAACCCTAAACCCTAAACCCTAAACCCTAAACCCTAAACCCTAAACCCTAAAACCTAAACCCTAAACCCTAAACCCTAAACCCTAAACCCTAAACCTAAACCCTAAACCTTAAACCCTAAACCCTAAACCCTAAACCCTAATCCTAAACCTCTGCCAGGTGTACACTATAGTTTTTTTGGGCGTGAACGGTGTCGGCAAGTCCACGAACCTCGCCAAAGCTGGCGGCTCAGAACGGGCCAGAGAGCCCGTAAACCCCGAAACCCCTAAACCCTAAAGCGCCTTAAGCCTCCGCCCCCCTCCACCCACCCACCCACCCCCCCCCCCCCCCCCCCCCCCAAAAAAAAAAAAAAACAAAAAAAAGAAAAAAAAAGAACACAAGAGACAACACAACAAAAAAAAACTTTAACCCCTTTAAACTCCTAAACTCTCCAGGTGAGGGCTCATAGCCGTTGAGGGTGGTTTCTAGAAGGGATTCCCAGCCTTTCATCTTCAACCCGAAAGCTTTGCAAGTCGAAGAACGACTGGAGGGGTGGGCCCGGTGGTAGCCTTGGGTGCAGGGTTCTGCATCCCCCTTGGGAATCATTGTTTATTCTTGTTTATATAAAACCCAAGAGGATATTACAAATATGATGTTTATTAAGGTTCTAAGGGGAGTATAGGGTTGAGGGTTTAGGGTATCCCAAACCTCCGTAGCCAGAAGTCCCCAGACGCTGCGTAGATCCAGATCCCAAGCGTAGAACCTGCCAAGGAGACAGGGTTTAGTTAGGTGCTTGGGCTTTAGAGTCTCGGGGTTGTCTTTTTTGCGGGGTTTTGGGTTTGAACCTGCCCCCTGCGCCCAGGTTGCGTACTATTTGAAGCACAAAGGGGGGCTCAACGTCGCTTGCCAGCACTTGCGTGCCCGGCCCTGTGTGCCCTAGGGGCCCTAAGACCTCTTGAGCCCTGAGCCCTCAGCCCTGCGCGCTGAAACCCTAAAGCTTGAGCCTCCCTTAAACCAAAACCCCAGAACCTACACCCTACCACCCCAAAGCACTGCACGCCCCTGGAGCAAAATCTAAGGTTCTTATTTGCGCTTGCGACACCTTCCGTGCGGGTGCAGTGGAACAGCTGAAGACGCACTCCAGGTCCGCAGGGCGCATAGGTGTAGAGCTTTGAAACCCTGATATCCTCAACCCAACCCCCCCCCCGTAAGCCCTGCAAGCCCTATAAACCCTATGAAGTTGGGATGTTCCCCCTTATACTAGCAGTCCTTAATAGGGATTATAGTACCCACCCCCCCATTAGAATCCCTGTTAAGTTAGTACAAGGGGGAACATCCCAACATGCAAGCCCCCCTGCAAGCCCTAGTCTTAAGGACCCCAAGCCCTGCTAACTCTACAAGCGCTCGCCGACCCGGAAACCCGCATATCTGAGACTCCAGAAGCCCCACACCCTCATCCCGAAAGCCCCAAGCCACAAACCTCAATGGCCCTAAGTCCACGAACGGCCCCAAACCCTGAACCCTAGAAACTAAGCTTTAAGCCCTAAATCCACCCTTAAAATCCCAAAAAGCCCCAAAAGCTTTCCTCCTCCCTCTGCCAGGTGTCTCGATGTTCCTTTATTTGAGCGCGGCTACGGCAAGGCGCTGGGGTTTCGGGTTTTTTGACGGGTTTAGGGGTTTCAAGTTTAGGGGTTTTGGGTAGAGGGCTTGGGATTTCAGCCCTCCTAAACCCGAAGCCCTAAGTCTAGTGGGGGTCGCAGGTGGGATGGATGTTCCATGATTGCGGCGCAAGTTCCGCGTGAAGACTGCCGGAGGGGTTCGGCTGCACAGGGGCCGCTGTTTGGGAAGCCCTTCTATTTCCTACTCTACACCTACTTGTGTTCCCTCTATTGGGTTCGACTTTATGGATACTCAAGTGTCACTGTTCGGGGCTTAGGGTTCGAGGCTTAAAAGGCTTTAGGATTCATACACTGGCATCTCCCAAAATACGGGTACCCCGAATTTGTCCCGGAAGACTAAGCTCCTTGTCAAAAGGAACTCCTCGCTTGCTGTTGCGGGAGGATCCGGCCGACATCGCAAAGAATGCAATCGCGCATGCAAAGTCAAACGGCCCAGCTCTCAGACACTTCTCTACCCTCGCAGGGTCCCCCTCCCCGCCTCAAGGGTTCCCCCAAACGTCTAAGAGCTCACGTAGGGAATCTTTGGGGGAGTATCCCTTCGGCGGGAAGTTTGGGGACTCCTATGATAGGCCCAAACCCCAAGCACGCTCTGCACACACACTTGCAGAGTGGCAGCATCTGGTTTCAAGAGGGAAACAGAATGACTAGAGTCCAAGACAATGATCTCGGAAACTCCAGTTACAGGGCCTAAACCCTAAACCCTAAACCCCAAACCCTAAACCCGAAACCCTACACCCTACACCCTAAACCCCAAACCCTAAACCCTAAACCCTAGACCCCAAACCCGAAACCCTCTCCCGTTCCGTGAGTCTTGTCGAGGTCACGACGTAGTTCTTGTAGATACGGCCGGGCGGATGCAGGCAGGGCGCTTGGAGGCATGCTTCACACCCTCTGTCCTCAGCAAGCACCCAAAACCCCAAACCCCCAAACCCCCAACCCCCAACCCCAAACCCCAAACCCCAAACCCTAAACCCTAAACCTTAAACCCTAAACCCTAGACCCCAAACCCTAAACCCTAAACCCTAAACCCCTAAGCCCGAAGCCCTAAACCCC